GATTTTTTGATGAAAAAATAAAAATTAACAAAAAACGCAATCTTTATCTGAACTAGTTAAAATTATTCTAATTATTTTTTTGTTACTTGATACTGTTTGGAATTTCATGAATGCATTCTACCTATTATTTACTCAGAAAGAGAAACTGAAATTTTCCTGTTCGTCGTTATGTCGAGCGTCAGGTTACGCAGATTAGCGTCCTCAATCTTTGCATCTCATTTTTTCTTTAGAGACAACGGGTTTTTAAGTTAGACTGACGCAAGATGAGACACGATCGCCGTGACACTTTCTCTTAGCTTCGACTTTATTAGACAGGCATTATTATCAGGTTGAATATTCTCTCGGTGGCAGTTCAAGTGACAGGAAGTTTACTTCATTATTGCTATGAGCATGCTTAGGTCACATTTTAGTTTCATTTTGAAAGCGTAAGGTCGCAAAATGATATATAAGCATGATGACATATTCTAACGAGTAACTCATAGTTTCTAAAACATAAATAATTATTAGGTGCCCAAATGCTCAGGGAAATTCGTCACCAAACGTATTGCCGCTATTTTTCTTGAAAAGTAATATGTCGAGACCTAGACATTTTTGTCCTCTGAAGGAATTTAACAGACACTAGCTTCAGTTTTTACAGAGAAAGATGTCAGACTAATTCCCCAGACCAGGTATCTTTTCAGCATAGGAACTTTCACAGACATTCGACACGGAAATTGATCCTTTCATTTCAGCCCAAGGCTTCTAGTCCTCATGGATTAACGTTGATTCTTAACCACATGTACAACGACTCAGCGGATTTATGTGCGAAGCATAATGTTGGATGAAATATGATGAGCCACGATAATGGTCGACGTGAGAGACGTATCATGACCCTAATAATTGATCTGGCGACGTAAATCACTTCATCACTAACGTTCGTAGTCCTAAGATTAACAGGCTTTCCCGTTCACTTTTCAGATAGTTGGATGAACAGTATCGTGGTACTGTGTCTCGATCCTTGTCCATATATGTTGTTGTCAAATAATATATTGTTCTTCCATGTTTGTCATCCACTTATGACCCTTTAATTGTTCTGATTGCAGCATTGCTGGATACTATCGTTTACAAAGTATTCTCAGACTTCTTAAAAATCAACTTATAAGTGAGTTTTTATAATTTGGATGTCACAAATATAACATAGGTTACGTCATAATATTTACAGTAACATTCCTGATATCAGATTTTTGATGGATTGCTTTTTAAACAAATTTAGCTATTATCAAAATAAAACAATGCACTTCGTTGTTCAGACGTAAATAACGCCTGTAAACAAATTAAGTGACAAAATTCAGCCTGACTTATATTATTTAGATGGAATTGTTGAAGGTTTAATAGCAGAATAAACTCAATATGTAACTAGGTTGCCAAAACTCACAGTATCCTGTGAAGGAAATCTCTAAGGTCATTTAAAAACTGGACACCAGTTTAAAGAAATGAGTCAGTCGGAAGACAATCACGAAGGCAAGAGTTGTTTCGGAGTAGTTAGGTTGCTAAGTAATTTTTTAATAAAGTAAAAGGCTAGAAAATAAATCAACTAATCATCGGTAAGTACAGAGTAACATGTTCTGTAGTGCATTATTTGGCTTAATTTAACTGATCAGCCTAACGTGAGATTCCGAAGGCGTACTTAGCACGAATGTACTTGTCGGGTTATTACTTTACTAATGACCCTACTTGTTCCGCTTTATTTATAGTCTATCCGCTGAAGTTGAATAGAAATGTGACTACTTCACTGGTGTAATCTAACGTCTACGTCACATAGCAGTTTTGCCACACTTTCCTATCTCATTGTGTTGAATATTCGGTTAGCGTCGGTCACCCTTGACCCTAACAAAATTTCATCAGCTACCCAACTTCGAGTGACCAGTCTTCCGTGTTAGGCATACGTTCAAATTGTTGGATAATTTTGCTACTGTTTAGTATAATTTTGATAACCCTGTAGAATGAATCGAGTTTCATTCCGAATGTAAGATAAGGTCGAGGAACCCGTATGTCAGGTTACAATTACTATTAAGTATAAAGAGCACTTTGAATACGATAAAATGGATTGAGCGAACAGTGGGAAAGAACATTTCACCCACTTACAGCTACTTCAACTTATCCAACAATTAATTGGTAGGGAAATACTTGAAACAGCACTTACGTAATCAGTTTTCCTTAATGTGATTCATTTTCATTTGAAAAAGTTTCGTATAGAATTTGTCAAAACACACAAAGAGTAGCCATATACATAAGCTCTTGCTTGGAGGTGCACCAGGTTCACAACCTCGAGTTTAACAATCTTGAGGAATCCATATGGTGCTCTGTAAGACTGTCTAGTACTTCCAGGTGTCTAGTCGGAGTCATTTACAGGAAGCCAACTGCCGACACCGAGTACGATAGTCGTATGCTGGAAGGACTATCCCGCTCTATCCGTCTCGGTTTCACACACATACTGATTCTAGGGGACTTTAATCTCCCTAGAGTCAACTTCGCGGAACACACGTACACTGGAGGCGACAACTCAATTGAAGCTCGGTTCTACAACCTCATCGATAACTTGGGCTTATATGAAAATGTGAGGTCGGCAACTCGTTGGAGAAACAGTCAGACACCATCGCGCTTAGACTGTGTATTCACTAACGAAGAATTCCTAGTCGACAACCTCTCAATCCTGGCTCCTCTGGGAAAAAGCGATCATGCCGTCATAGCCTTCAGTTTTGTCATCAAAACTAAGCTAAGGTATCCCAACAATAATCTGCGTTGGAATTTTAAACGGCTGAACGTGCCAGCTCTACATGACTATCTACAACAGGTCGTTTGGGATGTTCACCCTCAAATCGATGTGGATGGTCATTGGGACTTTTTACTGCACACGCTCTTATGTGCTACAGACCATTCAGTTCCTCAAACGGTTCCCAAGAGCTTCAAGCCACCTACAGTAATCAAGAACCGTACCCTTCGCCTCCTAAGCCGCAAACGGCACTGTTGGGCGGAATACAAACGAACTAATAACGATGGAGCGTATAGGCAATACAAACATATCAGGAACACATGCACGAAGGCTATAAGAGAAGACAGGCTTCAGTACCAAACAAAGCTTATGGACAAATTCGCCTCTAACCCTAGAAGCCTATTCCGTTATGCAGCCTCTCTTCGTCAAGCCAAAACAGGAGTTTCTCAACTGCTAGGTCTTAACGGCCCGACCAACAACGATGGCGACGCCGCTAACCTTCTGGCGGCCCATTACTCTCAAACATTTCAACCGGCTGACATCAACTTTATTGACGACAGTTTCATCTCCAACTCCACAGGACTTTCTGAAGTGGACCTAAGCGCTGACTTGGTGTTCCGGAAATTGCAGCACTTAAGACTTGACACTTCTCCTGGCCCGGATATGGTTCATCCTGCCATACTGAGGGAGGCAGCCTCAATCCTGGCAACGCCGCTTAGCGTGATGTTTTCACACTCGCTTAGCCGAGGCAAATTACCGGAAAACTGGAAGTTGGCTCACATCACACCAATTTTCAAAGGTGGTCGACGCAATGAACCTTCAAGTTATCGGCCGGTGGCTCTTCTGTCATTACCTTCAAAACTCATGGAGTCCCTGATATGCGACGGTTTAAATGACTATCTACTGTCCTTAAATTTCTTCTCACCCCAACAGCATGGTTTCAGGAAGGGTCCCCCAGGGCTCAGTACTAGGGCCTCTTCTCTTCTTGATCTACATAAATGATCTTCCTCAACAGGTGACGTCAGATTTATTACTTTTTGCCGACGACGTGAAACTTTGGAGAGAGATACGCAACCAAGACGTTACACAGGCACTTCAGGATGATCTGACGCGACTTCAAAGTTGGGCAGACGATAACGGACTTACCTTTAACACTTCAAAGTGTAAAGTAGTCCATCTGCGACATGTAGCAAACTACAGTTACAACTTAGGAAACTCCTCTCTAGTAGTATCCCAAGTCGAAAAAGATTTAGGAGTCCTGGTACCCCATGACTTAAAGTCTTACGCTAACTGTGACAAAAATGCCTTCCGAGCAAACCTTGCACTGGTAACGTTGAAGCGCATTTTTGGACAGTTTGACGGACGAACTTTCCACACAATCTTCAATAGTTTTATCCGTCCCCATTTAGAGTACGAAAACATAGTACTCCCTCCCTCACTCCAGAAGGACAAGGTCACTTTGGAGCGTATCCAACGGCGAGCCACGAAATCAGTTCGAGGACTCAAATCTAAGCCTTACGAAGAACGCCTCCGTTCACTAGACCTCTACCCACTAGAATATAGGCGTCTTAGAGGTGATTTACTAATGGCTTACAGTATTCTTAACACTTCTGGACATCCTCTTAAACACCTACTTAAGCTTAGTTCGAATAATAACCTAAGGGGTAACACCCAGAAACTGGAAACACAACATAGCAAGACGGAATGTAGACACAACTTCTACTCCTTAAGAGTTGTCAAAAGCTGGAATTCGCTGCCGGCCGAGCTAGTCCAAGCGACTTCTCAGGAGTCCTTCAAGAGGCAACTTGATCTATTCTTAAGGACCAAGGACAGTATCACATTATGATTTACCAATTTCTTTTCCTTTTTATTGTTAACATACCTAGGTTCCTGCCTGGAGGATTTGGTGATCCCCTGCTACTAGACACGGAAGCCTGTTAAGCGAAAGCTTCTTCTATTCCGTCCACAACCATTTGAACCATTTGAAGTCGATGCCTTGGATACAACCTTGATATTACTCAAAGTTGTTACTCTGTGACACATTTGACACCTTATGTAGTCGACTTCTAATTTTGACTATCCAATTGTCTTATATTACATCTATGTTACTGTTGCCGATTGTTTTCATCCTTAAACGTAGGTAAATTCTATGAGATTGCCTAGTCATCGGCAAACCCTTTCTTTTCTTCTCTCCCTTTCCAGATTCCCATAGGAACTACTCTTCATACTCCCACAATACACAAGATAATTTCAAGTTAAACGCAAATCTACCATAGAATGGACGTTACAACTCATAATACGGATACGAACAATGCCGAATTCGTTGATTGGCTGGGAGTCAGAATAAAGCCACCTATGATTGTTTTTCAAGATATTCATGATAATTCACAATACACCACTCAGCTAACAGTACAAAATGTTGGGACATCAAAAAAGTCATGCGATTTTACTCTCATTGCGCCGAAGTAATGAAATGTTTCTCTTAAATATTCAGTTAGACAATCGTAATCACTGACAGTCACCAAAATATACCCTTAGTTCCTGGAATGAAGCATACATCTACGATTACGCTCAGAGTTTCGAAAGCGGGAAATGCTAAAGAATGTATCGTTGTAACTGTTGATGGAAATCCCCGAAAAATTCCAGTTTTCACGTTAGTTTTATTATCTTGTGTGTATTAATAAAATTGGTAGATTTCTACCTAAGCCTCTTTGGAATATTCCGCAGAAACTCAACTTTGGTGTGCTTGTGCAGGAAAACAAAGTGATAACTAAAACTTTGGTAGTAGAAAATAAAGGTTCTCAAAATGGGAAATTTCGGATTACGAATATATCCGATCTATCTATTGATATTGTGCCACTATTTGGCGTAGTTCAGTCTTACTCTCATATCAACTTAAAAGTTGTCTTATTACGCTTTTATATTAATGTTTTTTATGCCAGGTAACTTTCATACCAAAAGATATTCGCGAATTTGTTGAAATCGTCAGGTTTGGAAGATTGTAATTGATTAACTTCTATTTACACAGATTCGATCTTGGAACAGGTGACATTTTCAACGTCGAAGTTACTGGTAAAGTAATAAAACCTGAATTTAAAGTGCTTCAATACGCAAATTGTGAAAATCCCAAAGGTATGTTGATTTGGAATTTGGTATAAATTTCCTGTGTAGGTGAGGAGGGGATACAACTAAGTCACTGGAACTTTGGCTATGTCTACTACAATACAGATGTACAATGCAATTGGAATCTGGTAAATTACTCACCAAAAGATACTTCGTTCGTTGCCGGATTTTACGGCAAAAATGATTCTGTGAGTTTCGAAGTGATTTTATAGAACATTAAGCCCAATACTAAAATGTTTTAAGCGAGCACTTTTGAAAAATCGTCTTGTTAGGACCTAACCTTCATCAAAATACATCGAATTACTGTCAAAAGTTTTAGTTATATTTGTGTGATGTTTGACCGACTGTAAAATGACTTAGTTACAGCTAAGATGCATTGAAAAGTAGTTTGGAAATATTAAAATTTACCTTCATAACCAACCCTGCACATACAAAGTTCAAAGTGCCTGAATATGGAAAGCTTGTTTGACAAGACTGCCACCATTAAGGGCTAATATACCTGTAAGTGGATAGCTTTTGAGCGTACATAGTAACAAAACGTCACCACTGTAACTACTACATCTTTTTCGTATTAAGTGAAACGAAGTGAAAAGCCGACATATATACAGATTGGTTGTAATACGACACTAACACAATGGGATACCAGAGTAGTGCACATGGTGACGATATGAATGGTAGCAGAAAAAAATTCAAGCACAGGTGATATAATTTAAGGAAAAAATAAATATTTATATGATAACGTTTTCCGTAGATATCAGTAAACATCAAAATCTAAGGGAAGACAAAGAGTAAATGCGCCTACATTATTACTAATGAGTTTGATATATGTCATCTACAGTTTCCAACCATTGGTCCCGATAATTGCATGGACTGAAATCAGGTAGCAACCACCTACCCACATGGGTTAGTCCAGCAGTCTACGACTTTGTAGACTGATACTACATTTTGGCTACTGCTCCTCTAGCCTTCTATGATAATTTGTAGTATTCGAATTATTGTATTAACTAGGAATTTTCGAAATAGTGCAATTTAAGACAAGTAAAACTAGATGAACACAAATAAATTTATTGTATCTGAAATTCGTAATCACCAGAAGATCGAGTACAAATGAAGCACCAGCTTTTATCAGAATCCGTTCTTAGATTTCGTCACACAATAACCCACCAGGGTTAATGGGAGCTCTAAGATAGATGAAGTAGTTGATGCTCTTAACCACTTTGCCCCCTAATATTAATTTAGGCGTTGGCATACACCAGTATTAAAGCAACATCTTACGTTTTGATATAAAGGCGAGCATAATGAGCATCAATACACCGTTGCTTAGATCGATCAAAAAGCCATATCTCTTTCGTGCCTTCACCAAACAGGACTACATCATCTATCTATTCTAAGTCAACAAGTGGGTCTTCCGTTATAATATCAATTTCTGAAAATTTGGACGACAGAACCGCCTCTTCTGAAAGCATAATTGTGGCGAAATTAAACAAAAAGGGAGAACGCAGACATTCCTGACAAACTGCGCTTCACGATGTAATTTCCGACAACAGTTCGCCGTAAGCCCTGTCCCAGTCAGTAGCGTTCGAGCTGAGAACATGTACGGGGTTATTCCACTTCTTTGGCACACCTTCAATCATAGACACTGACCAATAGCGTGCCGACCAACAAATTTGAGGGCTTCATCGAATTCAGGAAGTGGAATTATAGCCGAGAATCGGTAGGTATGTAGGTGATTCAGGACCTAAAGAGGGGGAGATATTCGGTTTACATACACAAGTCTACTAAACCTTGGATAAATTTTTGTTGAACCCTATTTTTTAGCCACATTCAGAAAAGAAACCGTTCCAAAGATATTACTTTGGATAGATTAAATCAAAATGACTAAAAATAATGAGTGAAAAACGAACGATTACTACATCGACGACAACGTCATAGAAGAGTCTAATAATTGCAGCTGTAATTTCCTTCCATTTTTGCATTATGTGCAGATAAAATGCATTCGGAATATGAATGCAAGTTTGAAAATAAGCTACTGAATATCGGCAACTTTGAGCCAACTTTACTAAGTATAAATGGGATTATCTTAAGGATTTGGCTGCATAACGGAAGTGTAAGTTAGATCAAGGTCTTTGACAATGAACACGATGTATTTGAATGATAATCGAAGGTAGAAGTCATAACCTATTAACACTTTAATGAAAAGCAATTGATAAACAATAATAGGATGTCAGAAAAATATGAAACTTCAATAAAAATTACTGACTAAACAAGTTTTAACAAACGCTTCATTTTCAAGTTATATACGTAGTCTACTACTTTTTTAATCATCTCACATGAAACTTGATTCAAACTTTTAATATGACCCATCAGTTTAACTGTCAAAATGAATTGTGAGAAACGAAGAACGCTATAACCTAGCATGTTCAAAAAGGTGCCTGTATTTTTAATGTTGGGTGACTGGCTTGTATTTCTATGCAAAGACGTAGTAGTTTAAGTTTCCGCACATCTTGGTAACGGTGTCGAAGATAAAATATACGAACAGAATGTTGGAAAAGAGACAGGAATAAAATTAGTAAATGGTAACTAAGTAATAGGTTGGTTTAAACGTTATATACTCAATTATAAGTTAATCGTGTGGAAATATTTCAATGAGTCACTGTAAGAAAGTTGTTTCAAAAGTACTGCACAAAGTAAGATCATTCCCGAAACCTCAAGTAAGGTTTATCAGGAACCCAAATGTTATGTTTGTTATTTCATCTGTCAAACAAGCGTTCTGTGCTCATTGTTTTAAAAAATAGTATTGACTTGAAATTAATCTGTGTAGAAAGTTACCGTAATATTAATTGATATTATTTTAAAAACCTAATTCCAAAACGTTGAAAATTTGTTAGGATTTCCTCCTGACATGTGGTAGAGTCCCTAGTTGAATTAAGTAAAATTTGTGATCTCCAATGGATTTGAAATGAATTGAGTTTATTAACAGAAATGAGATTTTAGCCTGGTTAGACTGTTGTAAACAGTAAGACGTAATGTTTTTCTGTACTTTCTTTTGGGATCCCAGTAAAATAAGGGGCAATTACTTTAAAATCTAATGTATCAGTTAATCATAGCAACAATGTAAATAAACCAACAAATTAGAATTTAGGACACCAGTTATCATTTCCGTAGTCTTATTTTGCAGTCATTTTGATAATACTTGTTAATTGTAGCTTGCAAATGATCGACACTTTGGCTATGTTAGAAAAGTTTTGAGCACTTCTTTGTAACAACTAACTAGTACTTTATTAGTCTCAAACTAAAGATTTAATCAGTCATTCATTTTTTAGGTATACTAATGATAGGCTTACCAAGCTTTGGTGTACTTATACTTTTATCGTATGCAAACATATTAACAGAAGTCTCCAAAGTGACGAAGAACTTCACAACTGGTCTAATTGAAATATTATGATACCATATCAGTTCATTTTTACATAAAATGTGTAGGTGAGGTTTACTTAATGTTACTGTAAATTGAAGCTGTAATACAAAACATTTCTACTTGTCAAACTACGTACTTCAAATTGTGAGAAATTCGACTTACGACCGCTCAAGCGAAATAGATATAGCTTTGCAGTTTTGTCTACACAATTTGAGTTAAGACATAAGAGGAATTCTCTACGAACGTCCACTGGTACGTTTTACATTTATGTTGTTGTAGAATTGTGTGAGTATCATCAATATTAAGTTTAAAGGTATCATACACTTGAAATGGATATCAATTCGCTCCATTTATAAACATTACAACCTCTCAGAAAGTAATTACAAATTAGAGATGTATTACATAAAAATTTTATTTCCATGAAATCTTTAAATTTTCCAGTATTACAGATTATTATTATTATTATTACTAATAGCTTTATTCAATATTACGTGTGTTCAAAATGAATTTTTTGTTGCCAGGATTTGGAAAATAATAATCCCGGTAGTGAAAGTGTACCAAAGTATGAACAGAACAATTTAAGATTTAAACTAAATGAGTACTTCAGCATAACTCCGGATTGTGGGCAATTAAAACCATTCGAAAAGCTGCCAATCTCTTTATGTCTTTCTCCTAGATGGAAGAAGCCAAAACAAGGTTTTGTCAGTTTAAATGAATCTCCAGCAATAAAACCATTTTCCATATGCCTTCGTATACACAAAGTAGATATCAGTTCTTGTGATTCTTTTGATCAAAATAGTAAGAAAAATTTTGTTAATTTAGGTTCAATAAAAATTTCACATACTTTTGTTTCATCCACTGATGACTTTATTAACACATCTTGTTAGAATAACTTATAGCATTGCTCGTATATCCTGGGACCACCGAGGAAGTAATGCAGTTATTAAGAAACGAGTACTAGGTAAGGATGGCAAATCAATTGATGAACTAGTGAAACTTCATCAGTTGAGATGACTGAGACACGTGTTACGTGTGCCCAGCCACCGATTGCCCCGACGTGCGGTGTTTTATGGTGTAAAAGTAGATTGGAGGAAAGCTAGGAGCGGCCAGACCAAAATATGGCACGAATCTATGAAGACACTGACAAGTGGACTGAGCCATGTCGATAGGTGCAGACTACCTGGTTGGGATCCGCGAGATGATAGCACCGGATGGTTAGAGACCTTGAATGACATGGCTCAAATTGTTTGCAATGGCGCAGGTGCATCCACTCTTTGTGTTCTCCCAAATTCTAATTTTCTGAATTCTTCATGTCCCTTTCTTTTTTCTCTTTCCGAGTTTATTTCACTGTATTATACCCCATGATTAACATCTTCAAGCTTTAATGTTTCCAATTACTGCTTATACTTTTAATACCTCTACCACTATGAGATTTGAATCGAGGATTGTATCTGTGTGCTAATGTGGTATAGCAATTTGAACTGATGTACATACGTACGAAGTTCTAAGTTGATACTGACTGACTGACTGATTTCTTATATTCTAAACATGTAACTCTTTACCTGTTAAGTACGGAAAACAATTTACTTCATCTAACCAAAATCAAAGAAATGTTTTATAAATATTTTCTAATTGTGTGAAGTTTCATGTACCACAATTAATCGTAAAGACATAAACATTTTCACTGTCAATAGTTGTTTTATTATTGTAAAATATTAGTAGAATTAAGAAAGTTTTAGGAATAAGAAGTATCAATAACTAAACAATCATAAAATAATGAAGCAAATACTCACTTACAAAATAATACGCTTATAATTAGAAATAGTTTCTTAAAAAGGTGGCATATTGATAAGTTTATTATTTGTATAATCATTTCTATGTAAACTAACATGTTTTGTAAAATTTTCTAATACACAATATAAATAGATCTACTTTGATTAGCATACAATATTCAATGATAATAGCTTATCTTAAGGAAAAGTTGTTTGATTTTGTGAGGATTCTATATCTTGATCTCAAAAATTTCCCTAACAAACTTACTGATCTGATCAAAAATAATTTCAAGAAAAAACTTTAACAACTATCAACACTATGATTTCTGGTAACAAATTTTTATTATAAGATGTATTCCACATAGTAAAAGTACTATTTAGAGTTAAAAATAATTAAAATTTTATATTAACTCATGGTGTAGTATAAAAACTGTGAAATTCGTAATTGTAATCAAAAATCATGGATAATAATGGACATAAATCTCAATCATTTCAATATCTGTTTAGTGGTTGTGGAGATTGTTAAGCTTTTGATTGAAATGATGAACCGGTTGATGTTAGACCACCTTTGGAAACCTGAAAGCACTAGATGGCCGTCTCGTCCTATTGTGACTCCTCGGCAGTGCGCATCCACGATCCCGCACGCGGGACTCGAGCCCAGGGCCTTCATTCTCGCGCGCGAACACTTAACCTACTGGACCACTGAGCCGGCATCCAATGGTGTTAATGTCAAATCTACCATGTGCTCACTAGTGACTAGCTTCGTGAGAAAATTTTCGGAGTTCTAGTGAGAAGCCGTGACCAATCGAGCTAATCTGTGTCGGTAGAAACAGGTGTCTACCTCAGTACAATGGAAGATGGTTGTGCAATTTCTTGGGTTGGTTAATGTTAGACACTAACATCATTGGATGGCGGCTCAGTGGTCCAGTAGGTTAAGCGTTCGCGTGCGAGACTGTAGGCCCTGGGTTCGAATCCCGCGAGCGGGGTCGTGGATGCGCACTACTGAGGAGTCCCACGGTGGGACGAAACGGCCGTCCAGTGCTTCCAAATTCTCAATGGTCGTCTAACATCAATTGGTTCATGATTTCAATCAAAAACATTTCAATATCCATCAAATACTTTAAAAAAAGTATTGTATACAACTAAAATAGTGAATGATGTATAATACTAGTAGAGGTAAAAGAAGTGAAAATGATTGCCCTATGTATTTATATCTACTCATTAGTATTTTGTTAGTTCAATTCAAACTGTATAGAACTACATCAATACAATAAAAAAACAGGTTCTATTTTGCAAAATAATCTATTCGATTACATTGATGAAATTATTTACATTTTTTTTTTCATTTAGAGTTAATCAGTTCTTCACAATCTTCCATCTTAATGGATGATCAGAACAATTTAGAAATAGTCTTAACAGGTTGTTTAATACCAGTACAATTTCAGATATCACCAATTAATGAATCAATGAATGTAGACAATCATAATTTAAATAAAACTAACGGATTAAATACAATAATTAGTAATGAAAATGTTAAAGTTAGTAAAATATATGAAAATCAATTTATTATACAATTTCCTCAATGTATAGTTGGTTCAAAACAATGTACTCAATTCAAATTATCAAATTATAGTAAACATTTACCAATTCATTATAGAATGCCTCGAATTGCTCATTTCATTGTAAAACCAGAAAAAGGAATAATTGATCCACAAAAAGATTGTTTAATTACTGTTTCTTTTAGTCCAAAACAAATTGGTGAGTTTATTTATTACTGATAAATTTTCTGAGTCTTGATTTATAATTTTTACAGCATCATAAAGTGATATTATGATCATTAGAAGTATTTGAATTATAGTATGAACTAAGAATCCCAGAAATAACGTAATCGGATCAAGAAGTAATAGATAACCATAAACGAATGTATTGTATTTAGAATTCGAAATCAAGCATTCAACAAGTACAAATGAATCATTAGTTCATTAAAACACAACAGATATGTAATGTCTTGATTGATCTAGTTATAAATAAATAAGTTAAATCCCAGAAATCAATGTAATTAAGGTATAATTTGAATACAATTGGGAATTAAAAAGGTTATCAAGATAGTAATGATAACTTTTGTGTTAAATTGGAATAAATCTTTCCACTTACAAACAAGATTTAGAACTCAAAACTTTACTACAATACATGAAATGTAAACCATCATATGCTTAAACTATAGTCTTTCCGCCAGTAGATGTGTTCAGACAGATTATTTGATTTATTTAATAAGTTTTAGTTAGAAATCTATCTTTAAACCAATAAACTTTGAAACTTTCAAATAGTTTTACCATTTATAATCTTAGCACAAAATATTTTAGTGAGTTTCCATTTCCTGTTTCGTGATCGATATTAACGAGTAGTGTTGAGCTATCACCAGTTAAATGTTATCATTTCAGAAATCATCATCTTGAATAATCTTCATTCTTTTCAATTCATATTGTTAGCAATCACGATATCTTCGACTGTACATTTTTGTAACTTGTACTGGGAATGGTTATAATCTTTGCACAAACTCACCTGAATAGGTTATGCAATTAATTGACATAATGATCTGTTAAATCAAACAAGGAAACAGATAATTTGTTGAGATATCTAGATGACAGGAACAGGTATTCAAGCAGGCCGCCTCGTATCATGTTGTTGAATTATATTCAGTTTTATTTGTTTAACAATATCACTTTTTGTATTTAAAAGGAGAATTTCATGCTGTTCAGAATGTTCACATTCTCAACTATTTAACTGGTGTAAATCCAGTTGTTATATACCAGTGTAAGCTCATTTTTCATGGTTATTCACCGGCTTTAACAATACCACCAGAAATAAAATTTAATCCAGGTAATTTTTTGTTTTTTTCTTTCGAATAATCAGTTAATTTATTCACATATGAATTTAGATAAGGACTGTCGATAAAACGCAAGACACTTTATTCACCTTACCTGTGATTTGTCACTTGGATGTACATAAATGATAGTGATTATTTTGATATAGGCACTAGAACCCATTTTCTATTGATTTAAGCGTCTAAAGGTTATCTACCTTGTTGATGAATCACGTTATCTTATTATTTATACTGGCTTGTACTTGCTCAGAGTTTGTGTTTTAATATAAACACCAACACTGGTATTCAAATACATTCAAGAGAAAAATACTAAAAAGAAAGTGGTATATGTTGTGTTTTTATGTCCGGCTTTTTATCACGTGATTTATCCACCAATCAAAATACGACTTATACAATCTTAGCACCGTGCCAAACCAATGACGTTTGACCGGTATGAGCAGCCTAGCGTCCTTATCGGTCCTATTTCCGCCTAGCCCGTCCACTTGAGTCCAGAACACCAATACCAGCTCTCACTACGCGAATCAAATCAGATCATTTATTCCATATATACTGGGTTTATATATAAATCAAACAGACCACAACGCACCATAAAATAGGAAATAACATTTGTACACAATAAAGTCAAAAAGTGACTGTGAACGTGGGAGGCAATAGTCAATAAACTGAACATAGCTTAAGAACAGTACATCGTAAAATAATAAATTATAGGTCAAAATAAAGATTATAATAAGGGGAATATAAATATACATAATCTAATTATTGAATAGTTATACCATAAGAATGTATAGATAATATTAGTCAGAAGTTACTCGTGACTTAATCTTTGCTCGGATATAACAGTATATTTCTTAAAGTTTACTGTCAGATACTATTTAGAAGTTTGATTAACTTGTAAACATTTGACAACAATGAGACATTTTTTCAAAGAGCATACATTCCAAAGAAGACAAATCAACTTATTATATAATAATATTTCATCTTCATAAATGATCATGAAAATAATGTTGACTGATTAAGTAATTGAAAAGAGAACGAGTTATTTATAATAATCAAAGTATTAGGTTGTAAAATATTGAAAAAAAAACTATCGTTCAGTGGTTGTCAGATAACAAACCATATGATCAAATGATTGAAAATATGTTATGGTAACAAGTCATTTATTTAGTAGTTATGTAGTGAACAGGAACACGGGTGGGAACAATCGAATGTATTTAACACAAAATTACAGGACTTGTTAATAAAATCTAACAATCAAATAGTAAATGCTTAATTTGCAAATGTCCATCGATTGTCTCAAAATGACTCAGACATCATTGTTCTTACATTTTCATACAAATTGCATCCTATTTCCATTCTTTACTGTTCAATCCTCTTGCCTCTCTGCTGCCAGACCTTCTGTTCACGACTAACATCATATACTACTTATGTCAATCTAAGTAGCACACACCACAGTTATATGAGAATAAACAAACGAATATTAAAATTAAATAAGAACACAGAGTAACATAAAAATTGAAGGATAAAATACATATTTTGACCCATCTTGGTACAGCCTATGTCGACAACTATATTGGAGGGAGATTGTAAAGAATTTTTTAATACAAAGATTAGATTTGTGAACATTAAGTCGGATGGCTTCAAGAAGAAATCAGTAAACCATGCATTATATTTGATGAAATATGATGGATCAATTAACGAGCTTTACTGACGTTAGCTTGATGCTCTGTGTCAACCAAGAAAAGGAGAATAGAATTCTTAATCAGACTTAACTATTTTTTCTCAGTCAGGCTGGATGGCGTTCGTCAGTACAGGATAAATTATACGTGTTATGCAACTGGCTCCACAAGAGCCGTTGAAGTGATGTACACATAGATGTTACATATTCAGACAATCTGTTTTTCATCACCAGATTTTATTATCGGATGAGTAATAGAAACCACTTTCGTTTTCAACTGCAGTGGGCGTTTTCCTCGCAGTCTTTCCTGTTCTTTGATTTTAATTCTTACAGATGATATTGCTTTTAATCTATAGATTTAAAAAGGTCGTCTCTTCACAGTAGTCTTTGTTCTTATTCTTATCTTGTTCTTATGTCTATTGATGAATTTTGTAGGATGTTATTCTTACTAAGAAGGTTACTCGTATCGTTCAATTAATCTTTTCTTTAACATTATGATTCAGAATTTTAGTGAATTAGCTTTATATCTAAGTAGAACAGAAGTTTAACCACTAAACGATGACTATTTGAATAAGTTAAAATATCAGCCTCTCCCAAAACAACTTTACTTCATTACATCATCCCATATATGTTTTTTGTATGCAACTAACTTTCTAACTAGTTTAGAACTCATGTCTAAAATTATTGCAGTTACAGATGTTCTTAAAAAGTAATTAACGTTTGCTGGTAAGATACTTATTGTCATTGCTCATCATTACGCCTTGATAAAAACACTTTTTATCGTGTTGGGCTTATTTGAAATATTGTGTTTTTGCTTATTTCAGTTGTTTGTGAAAAATGAATCAGTTTAAAAGTAGTTTAGATCAAGAACTGAGGTCAGTCAGAGAAGTAACAAGAACAAGGAAGTATAAGATAAACGTCTTATTATTTTACAATATAATCCCACCATTGCTCAATGTAATAAATAACTTACTGTATAATTATGGAATTTGTTGACATCAAAATATCACGAAGTTTCCTAAATGTAACTTTAAGTAATCTGTCAGTGAAACCGTTATTATTACTTAGATGGACTGTTTGTAAATGATTAGTTTAGTTTGAAAATGGGTCTTCTCATCGTGTTAATGGTAAATTGGAGCGTCGGACTGTAAATCGGGGATTTAAGGGTGTAACACAAAGTACTATCTGAATTTCTGAAGATCGATATTATATGATGTTGTGCACATGCATTTCTAATTATTACGAAATACAAAGAAACCACCACATGTTAATTAATTTCTACTGCTAAATTGTAAAACTTTTAAGAGAATCAAACAATAATTAGTTTTACGTAATGAGACATTGTTATGTCAAACATCTGGATCGTTTCTTTTGCCCGAAATTAATTGCTCATGATAATTGATGTTTTCTAAAAGGTCATTTTTGATAAATACTGCGTGAATAATGATTCTTAATCTATTCAGCTTATAGCAATAAATGTGCTCACATCTTTTAGGGATCATTCCTAAATGGGCAAATGAAGTTGGAAGAAATACAGATCTTGTCACATTCGGATCAAATTACGAATGCCCAAGAGCTGCAATTATTAGTCTTATGAGTATGAAAAGTTTAAAAGGTCTTAAATCTCATGTATCAAGATCTGAATTAAATACTACAATGTCTACAAAAATTGCTTTCCCAAATGATAGACTTGCCAGTATTAGACCAGCAAATAAACGTGAAGAATTCAAGTAAGTAATTGATAATCACTTTTTCGCTTAAACATGTAATTCATTTTTCACTGAGCTACTGACATTCGTTATTCACATTGATTATTTATAATACCAGGAGTAGTTTATCAAATACTTTGTTGAGTATCAACAGACTAAATCCTACTTAAATCTGCAAAATATATTTTGATGTAAAACATGTATTACTTTTCATATATACATATCAAAGAAAGGGATTTTGGAAACAACATCACGATTAAATTGTATTAACAAGAAGCAGATTTCATTTGTCATTGTTTGTAAGATGCCAAATACCATTTTTGTAACTTTTTCTTTCAATGCATTATTAGTTAAATATCACATTTTATCATTGAAGCCCAATTAGAAAAAACAAGTGTCAGAACACAGTTGAACCCATCTGGTTAGTGTATTTTTTAGCGAGTTAGTTTTCTACAGGATGGGGTCGCTAGCCCCATGTCCAACCCTCCTCTTTATTTGAGCTTGGGACCGGCAGAAGCCCCCAGAGGGACTCCAGGCGGAGTTGAACCCATCTAGTTTGATTATTCAGTCAATCACTTTAAACGTTCTTAAAAGTTTATAACAAATATGGGTAACTCTTGAAGTTGCAAATTTACATCTTTATATTATTCTAAATAAATACTTGTATTTAAAGATCATCCATATTTATATATCAGTAAATACCTATCTGAGCATACAATAATGAAAGTAATATTATCTGTATCTGGATTATAATTTGGAAACTTATAATGGTGTCATTTGCTAGGAAATGTATACAAAAGAGAAACACATTCAGAAGTTATATATTTTTAATTAGTGGTTTACTGGGAATTTATGATACTTGCATAAAAAATTTCACCATGAAGAATTGTTACTAGAGGAAGACAGTGAAAAAGCAAAAATAATAAACAATTACTTGGTTGTTGTTTGAGTTCATTAGCAAATATCAATAATTTATCATAGAGGCTGACTATTACCGAAATAACGAAATAAATGCTAAATATTCTGTATGTAGTATAAATAGTTATCATTATTTTGAAAGTGAATTTTTCTGCCATTTAAAAGACGATTGAAAATAAGGAATCATTAGACCCTACCTGTAATGTGTTAGTCAGTAGTTTCAAATATAATCAGTTTTCGATATACTGTGATGCTGATGAATTAGCTGATTCCATCGGTCACGTCATCAATATTAGGACAACAGGAAGATCATTTTAGAGTGATTTACCCATGAATGCGTGATGATTATTAAGATTATTAGCATAAAGTACAAACAGACTTCTAACATGGTTATGTAACTATCGCGATTTGTTGATATGAATTATTGATGAAAATATTTCACATAAATATCAGGATGTTGATTCCATTTGTTTTGCTTGTTCATAGCCTCTGTCAGGTATTTTGTTCTTCATTTCTTGAAAAAATGTTATACATATGAGACAGTATTATATCTGAATTATGAATTTCAGTCTATAAACAAATAGAAACTGTAAGGAACATGTTATGTTGAATCAACTCAAGAATTCAGACCAAGCGATTAAGTAACTCATAAAATCCCGAAATCAAAACACGAGATTTGTCTAGAATATGGTGCTATTATTATTTCTTAGCATATGTAATTGATCTATGACATCTACTCACATTCAGTTTCTACCGAAATGTGACTACTTTGATAAAACTAAGTAACAATCAGAGTCTCTATCACTTCAGTAATGGAAGTCAACAGATTGATACAAGTGATATATACACAAAACAAGGAAATCCTTAGCAGTAAACAGATGTCCGTTGAATAGATAAGAGATGAAAAAGCCTGTCATGGGTATTGAGAAAATAGAATTACAATAACAAAAAGGATTAAATACCTTAGATCTATGTAATTAGAAGGAACACACAACAATGAGCCGTATCGTCAATAAATGATTGACTGTGATATCAGTTACTGAATACTGGTAACATAAATAATACACAATAAGGAAACGAATATGAAAGAAACGGAGATGAAAAGAATAAACTAAATTAACAAGTTGTTTTAAATAAAACATTGCTGTCAATAATGATTAGCATAAATTTTCAAGATGTTCACAATTATTCAAAGTTGATTTTATGAATCAACCATTTAACAGACCTATATCATTTAAAGTAAATTCATTCAAGACGTGGATGCATATCAAACAACTAATCAGTCATTCATACTGACTTTAGAGTGTTATATGAATGCATATCGTTCCGTTTTGCCACATCACACACTAGTACAAAGAGAGAGAGAAAAAAGTAACAAGATAAAAGGATAGGGAAATAATCGGTAATATGTATAGCGACAATCTAAATATGAGAATAGTTTTCCCATGAAACAAATGAATCAAGAAGAGTAACAAAAATCTTAACAAGCGAACTATTTTAACATATGGTTAGCATAAAGTCTGTATAAGTAAATGTTCATAAGTCGACTTTTGAGAAAATGCAGCATATTCGGAGCATCGTAATCATTTTTTGAATATTATCTTTAGAATATAATATGTTTGATAAAATGAGAAATAAAGTGTTCATATTGGTTTTATTCTTCCTGTTTTTGATCACAGAACTTTATATTGCCGTTTGACGAGATATACATATACGGATCGAGATTATGAATGGACTGAAGATGAAATGAATAGTATAAATAAGCGACAGTTAACCTATACTGATGTTTACCGAAGTCATGCTCAAATGATTGAACAAGTTCAAAAAGATCGTATATTAATGAAATGGAACAAACCACCAAATGATGGTTCAGTTTTAATGGAACTGGATAAAATATCACCGAAGTTAAAAATTGAAAATTACGAGGAATTTCAACCAAGTAGTTAAATATTAATAGATTATATTTGTTATATTCAGTTTTCATAGCTACAGTTAAGAAGTCTCTACATATAAGAACGTTTACATAAAGACTATATGTTGATGAATCTAACTACAGAACTGAGTAACCAACTACTTCCTAGGCTGTGAATAAAATTTGGTTAAGAGCAGTATATATGTCTGTGAACCCTTTTAATTTATACAGTATATGGTACTGTAAATTAACTGGATCTTATTCATAAATAAAGAATTAAAATCCCTTCTGCCTATTTTATTGGGTAATCATCATATGTTCCAATATTCACTGATATCCATGTATCTGTTTATCACAAAAGTACAATTAAATATTGACTTATTTCTGAAACTATTATTTATTTGAGGTATATGTTGAATAATTTTTGTCTGAATAAAACGTTTCCTTCTGTCTGAGATCGAGAAATTATCTAGAGAACTACAATTAATAGACCTGCAGTATTTCCTAGTTATCTCTTGTTCGTTTTTTCTTTAACTTGTAAATGTTTGAATTGATATCACAATCAAAGATTTTACCGTTGAACCTTATACGATATCTAAGTCCAGTTACACAAATCAATGATCGCCTTCAAATACCAAACACCGATCAGCATACATCACAGTGTTATAAAACATGAAAAAGCATCTGGATCACAACTTGATGTTAGACACTAACACCATTGGATGCCGGCTCAGTGGTCTAATGGTTAAGTGCTCAGGCGCGAAGCCAGTAGGTCCTGGGTTCGAATCCCGCGGGGTGCGGGATCGTGGATGCGCACTGCTGAGGAGTCCCATACTAGGACGAAACGGCCGTCCAGTGCTTCCAGGTTTCCAACGGTGGTCTAACATCAATTGATTCATGATCTCAACCAAAAACTTAACAATCTCCACAACCCCCATACTGACAATTAACATGTGCTCACTAGTGACTAGCTTCGTGAGGGAATTCTCGGGGTTCTAGTGAGAAGTCGTGACCAGTGGAGCTAATCCGTGTCGGGTAGAGACAGGTATCTGCCTCAGTACAATGGAAGTTGGTCGCGCAATTTCGTGACTTGGTTGATGTTAGACACTAACACCATTGGATGCCGGCTCAGTGGTCTAATGGTTAAGTGCTCAGGCGCGAAGCCAGTAGGTCCTGGGTTCGAATCCCGCGGGGTGCGGGATCGTGGATGCGCACTGCTGAGGAGTCCCATACTAGGACGAAACGGCCGTCCAGTGCTTCCAGGTTTCCAACGGTGGTCTAACATCAATTGATTCATGATCTCAACCAAAAACTTAACAATCTCCACAACCCCCATACTGACTATTTTCATTTAATTTGTACTAACTCATTGACAACACAATATTGGTTAGTAATAAGGTTTTTATTTACATTTATCCAAACACATTTTTGTAATCTTTTATTTCTTCAATATTATTCAACTTGTATACATAATTATTTATGCAGCTAGAAAACTGCAACCAATGAATCTATTGAAGAACAGTACAAGCGATGACATAAGAGTGGAGAAAAAAAGAAGGTATATCATTGAATTACTTTTTCCTTCATTAATATTGTTTAAACGTTTACATGAAAGATGATTATTGTGAAACTAAACTTTAACAAAGAAAGAAAAAACAATCTCCATTGTCCAATCTAGAGTATACAATTAGTAAAGTTCATTGTAAAACCATCGATGTAAATTTCGTTCTAAACAAAATTAAGAATGATAGAGAATTAGTCATGACAGAAGTTTTTATTTTCAATCAATAATCAACTTATGTCAGTTTAAGAAGAGAATCATTTCTAAATTACAATGTTTTAGATAAATCCTAAATGAAATCTATCTACAACTAATGAACAGCCACTAACAAATTATATTTAACAGATAGTATTTGAATAATCGACGAGACTCTAATTTATGGACGACCTTTGAACGAATCCTAAGTGACCTTGACAATTATTAACCAATCAGAAGACAGTTAGTATAAAGTAAAAATATATTATAAGAAAATAATGAATTACAGTGGATATTCTTCTTTTACATGATTTAAAAACTTGTTAAGGTTTGATATAGGTTCAGGTGTTCTGAAATCATAATGCATACGGTATAGGAACTCGTCCATATGGCTCCATAACAGTCATCCTCTCGAGCCGCGGTACGGTCTTAAAAATTCCTTCAATCTCGACCACATGGCTTCAATGTTGTTAGTATGAACGCCGGAAGTAGGGTCGACAAAATGACTTTTATGAACTTCGACATGATAGACATACCCAAGTCCATGAAGGCATCTATACGCTCTCCAATCATCTGTATATACCGTAGTGCCCGGCTGCACGTATTCCTTTATAATTGGTATTATTGTGCTTGCTTGACACTTTCTCACCATCTGGAAATGCCCCTTTTGCGTTGAGCGATTATAAATTCCAAGTACCTGTCAATTATATTTACGGAAGTGCTACTTACCCAATCTTCCTTGATACTACGTCCTCTGTTGTATTTTCGCTTTCGCACTACTGTTTCATATATTTCCACAATACTTCCGACTCCTCCGAATGATTGGTGTAGACGTGTCATTTTAAGTGTACATATATCACGACGATACTCATACCACTGGACGGCTGAAGATTCAGTAACATCTGCAAACGCCGCAGCCAGTGTTACTGGTGCCTTTATGGTCCAATTTGCAACTATTATCATGATTTGCCTCAGTCTCAGTCGCGATCGAGCGAAGAAAGTCCCCGTTCGAGCAGACGTTTTTCTCCAACATAAAGAACAACGAAATACGATCTCATCACGATAGTCTGCACACTTTACTGTGGTCATTTGATAACTGCAGTCACAGGTACAGGACCTTCTTAGTAGTTTCATCTCTTGTAGCCTCTCAATAATCACCTCTTCTCTAAAATCCACTGTAAACCGATTGTATGTGTGCATCAGGTGTTGAACTTGGCTCCATGACCTTGAAATTCCTCAGACGCTTCTGATTGACTCGTCCATAAATTAGAGTTTCGCCGAATAATCATAAATATCCACTTCTTTTTTTTCAATGTCAACTTATCGCTAGATGAAATTGTTCTAAAAAATAGTTATAGATTTATATTTACCCATTTGATTATAGGTCACTAATAATACTCATTATATTTCTTTTTGTGATGACTCTAACCATTTTTCAATAAGATAATATCTTATCTATTCCTTTTTGAAATGTGTCGAAGAATTATTGTTGAAGATTATAATACTATATTACATCCATATACACAATCTTTCTTTTATATATTCTTATCATTGAAGTAATTACTTCTATGAATTCAGTGTTCATCTTGTTCAACTAATGAGATATGGCAACTTGAACCGATGTATATATGCGATTGGTCCTATGTTGTAGCTGAATGATTGAAAATACGATTGAAAATACTTTTCAGTTTGATTACCACTTGTTATTATTAGTCTTGTATATATTTTAGTGTCTCTTTCAGAAAAGTGTGATATTTTGAATTTCCTAGTAGATAATTCATAAGCGAATGTTTATTAAAAGCATCTATCTACTCTTAATAATTCGTTTAATGTTAAAAAAGAATCAGTAAAGATGAAAACTACATTACTGTCGAAAGTGTTTATTAATTTCTAATGTATTAATTCTAATGTATTAGTAGTATCCTGATAAATAAAATCCATTCAGTTAGTTGAATGATTTACATCATTTGTATGCTGTTAAGTGTTTAAAACTAAATCATCAGAATTACAAAGGGTAAGAAATCAATGAAAAGAAACTAGACAGTCGTCATCAGAATCTTTAATAATAAATTAAATTCATCGTTAATAATTCACCTTGAAATATTCATATAGCAGAATATTATTGAAATGACTATCTTTTCTTTTTATATCAATCCACCAACATTACTGTAGGTGATGTAACACTTAAAAACATATTTATGTGAATATTTTATCGAAATTTCAATGGTTAGCTTGATAGGAACTGGGAACTAAGTAGTATATAAAATGCATCAAATGTAACCAATATATTTGAAATAAACTCTATAATCAATGTTCATATAATTCCAACGTTTCTCTTCATAAACTGACAAACACTCCTTTAGTAGAATGAAAACACAATTTCCATTATCCTTATGAAGAAGCTTGATACAGTTTGTTAAGAGAAGCATTGAGGTTAATTAAATTTCAGTCATTAGTATTCATTCAAATAAAACTTTTTCATTGAGCAAAACATATTCCCAAGTTTGATTAGTAAAAGCAAAATTGGTAACACACATTACACCATACTTGAATACCATTTTGCATTATTTAGAAATGCTTTATTATATTAATTTAATAGTTGAATTCATGAGTCAATTAACGCTAGACCACTATGGGAAACCTGGAGGCACTGGACGCCCGTTTCGTCCTAGCAGCGCTCACCCACGATCCTGCCCCTCCCCGTGAGATTCGAATCAAGGACCTATCGGTCTCGTGCGCGAGCGCTTAATCACTGGACCACTGAACCGGCAACAGACGGTATTATTTCAATTATTTACTTATGTATTACTTATGCACATTAATATCTGTAAGCGTCGGTTATTAGTGTTTGAATACATTGTAAATTATGAAGACTTTTAATTGACGAATATATTCAATAGATCTTCTATACTTTTATTTTTATCTCTTATATAACTTATTTTCATTATTATAGACATTCCACATCTTTAAACGTTCGCTTTGTAATTATTTTTAATAGCCTGAACGAGTTCTATCATTGAAAATGGTGACCAAGAAGAAAGTTAGTGATGAATGTAAACGTAAACTTTCTGTTAGTGATATAAATGAACTATCTATTTGTAAGTTTTATTTTGAATTACTGTTTTTTTGAACAAATAATTAGATTTTCATAACGATATGGCTTATTATAATAGACATTTCCTCCTATATACACATTATTCTTCTACAGAATATAATGAATACATTTTATTTAGATTCTTAGTAACTGTTATCATCTGTAATATAGTTAAACATAATAAGTTGAACATTGAAGCTAATAACCTCTCTTGCCTCTAATTTCGTTAGAAGATTAATGCTAGATTCATTAACGTATTTTTGTAAAGATGGTTCTATGAATATGATACTTAACTATCAGAATGTTATGATGAATAACATCTACTTGCTAGATATAATGTGAAATAGAAATACAAGTTCCAAAATATATGTGCTCACCAATGAATAGCTTTAAGAGGTAATTTTCGAAGTTCTAGTGAGAAACCGTAATCAAGGGAGTTCTACCGTGTCGAGTGTGAAGTAGTTACTGTTATATCCCGATGCGAATAATGAATGGTAACTTTTGGGACCCATTTATGGACCAATACTATACGTATATTTTTATCGTATAATTTTTAAGTAACTAAACTATTGATATATGTGTCCCCCTTACCATAAGCTTTATATTGACTTATGAACCGTTATTATGCTATTTACTATTCTTAAGTTATGCGCAGTTTATCGATTACTACTTCCCACATTCACAGCCACTTTTGGCTAAATTGTGTACAAATGTTGTTTCCTATTTTATGGTACGATGTGGTCTGTCTGGTTGGTATATGAACCCAGTATGCTTGAAATAAATGATTCACATTGCAGAGGCTGAGATTGGTGTTCTGGACTTAACTGGCTGGAAGCGGGACCGATATGGACTCTAGGCTGCTCGTACGTGTTTTATGCTTCATTGGTACGGTCGATAAATTACTGTTCTCTAATTGGTGGTATCACCACGTTATACACCACCAGGGCATACAGGCCACAAGTTATAACAGTTACCCACCAAAGACGATGGAAGATGGTCGCACAATACCGTGGATTGGTTGAAGTTAGACATTAACACCGTTGGATGCGCAGGCTCAGTGGTCTAGAGGTTAAGTGTTCGCGCTCGAGATCGGAAGCTCATTGTTTGAGTCCGTTATGTAGGATCGTGGATGTGCACTGTTGTAAAGTCCCATACTACGACTAAACGGCCGTCTAGTACTTCCAGGTTCTGATTGATGATCTTGCTCACATCGGCTCATCAATTCAACTATTAGATTAGATAGATTTTAATTCATAATTGAATATGGATTTAAGTTTAAACCGTTGAATATTGAATTATGTATGTTGTTCCGTGCTATATAATCGACAAATTTCGAATGACTGAAAATTAATAAAAACCACAATTCATCAACCGATCTAAAACCACTCATTCAATAAATGAAACAGAAGAACTTTTCAGAATCTGGAAAATAATCAATTCAAATACAAACCGTATATTTAGAAAATTAACAAAATACTAAAAAATATAATAGTCAATGTTGGAAACGAAGGTAGAAATACAAGTAATGTAGTTTATTAGACCATAGTAGTAATTCAGTGTGGAAATCACTGCATCATGAATATATTTTTCATCTTCTATAATCTCTTTATTGTCATTTTGTCTATAGTTCCAATAAATATTGATTATGGAAATATTTGTCCAAATGTGGAATCAACAAAATTTATTACAATAAAAAATCCATTAAATCAATGTATTTCAATAAAATTGGATATAATTCTTGAAGAATTGAAGCCAACTACCATAAGAAATTATATAGTTCAACCAAAATCAACACTTGAAATACCAATTACAATAAAAATTACAAAAGTGTCTAACTTTCAATGGTAAGTCTACTCATAGTTTTTTCTCTCAAACAATACACTGTAGTAATAGTCGAAGGATGTCTTTCCAATGGAATTAGTAATGGTGTAATCAGCAGAACATGGGTGGGGACAACCGAATTGTATTTAGCACAAAATTACAGAGTTACTTGATAAAATAGAAAAAACCATACTATAATACTTAATTTACAAAATGTTCATTAATTGTCTCGAACTTCATTGTTCTTGCATTTCCATACTAATTGCTTTCGATTCCCGCCCTTCCTTTCTTGATCTTCCCCATCTTCTGCTGCCAGACATTACATTCCTGACTCGCGTCATATATTACTTACATTAATATAGGTAGCACGCACCACAATAGAAATTATAAGTAAATCATAAAATCAATTATAACTGCAAATAATGTAGTGAGAGAGCTGTACATTTATAAAGGCATTTTTTCAAGATAGGACAAAATGACTATATCCTACTATTTCACTGATAAAATATTGTAGTAAATTATCATCACTGATATTTTATCTTAAGAAGACGTCCCCCAGTGAACTCAAGGAAGCTCTAAGAAGCTCAGAAAGAGCTGAAGATATTCCATCCAATCATATTTTGGAAGAACATTCCAGAATCTCGACATGTATCTTCCCCATTGGACAAATGTTAAAAATCACTGTACGCGAATTGGGTGACTGTAATGATAATTTGATTTTTACTAAAAACTATACATACCTGATTGTTTTGTATCATATTTGACACTGTTTGGAATAACATTCTTCTGTCTTCTAATTTGCAACTTGAAGGACTCTAGCGTTCAAGTGCTTAAGTAGTACGTGGTATAGCATGAATTTAAGCTCTAGATATAACATATCTCATGTGAAATCTACAGGTCGATAGTTGCATTTAACCGATTTAGATTAGTGCTTCTAAGAACTATGAATAATATTTGGAATATTTTCTTCAATTTTAGATGCTACTTTCTGTTTTATACCGCAGTTTGATTAGATAATTCTGAGAGGCAATGTTTAAATAAAACATTGAAAAACTCATTTGTTGTATAGTAATTTGTGAGGTTTTTAAATGAAGGCTGAAATTATCAAGATATAATTTTGCTTTCTTGACAGTTTTCATGAATTTTTGTGACTTTTGTGTTTTACAGGCTAATAAAATAAATACTAGTTACTAGTTCTATGTACAGTGATTAAAATTTGTACGTCATTAATGTGACATCTTTTAGTCAGCGTACAACTTTAATCTCTAAGTTTCCATTATTATCTCAAAATTTCCAAGTTTTCAAACTTTGATTTCAGTAAAAGTAAAGTGCCCCATAGAGATTTTTAAAGATACCTAGGGCGTTCTTAATGTTCAAGTATTCATTTATGTTAATACATTTTAATCCATGATGAATTTAATGATAGTCAGTATTGTCGGGAATACGAAAACCAAAACGTTTTGTCTTTTAAGCAAAAAATTCTCATACTGATTCAATATAGAAGTTCATGATCCTCGACTGTGATTTTCTTAGTGATGTTCATTTTAGCATTCTATTCTTTCATTCACTTAACTATGTACCTACCCTTATGGCTATTTATTGACAGCGAGTCGGCAGTATTATGATTTACGACAAAATAATTAAAACAAACGGATAACGTTATCATTTAAAAAAGGGTTTTTAAGACCATTAAGATTTACCAGGGTAAGATTGTTTTAGACACCCAAGCATTCAGATAATTGACTAGAATGTTTGAAACACATTTTTGGAAAATATTTTGTTTGGGAATTTTCAAAATTCTCAATTATGCGTGTCATTAAAGTAGAAAAGAAATTCAATGTTATATAATTCTGAGAAGGTTGAAATATATGTAGGTTAAGTGGACGATTTTGGTGAAGTTTCGTTTAGTTGGACAATTACAGCTTCACGACTAAACTATCCAGAGATCGAAATCCACCGAAATGTTTTAAAATTATAACATTCTATATCGTAGAGCTCCTTATTATAACACATGGTTAGTTTTCTGTTTTATCTCTCGTATGTCAGACATCTCCATATTGTAATAATACACTGAGTATGCAACAAAAAACTCAGCTAACTTACTTTATTTAGCATCTTTGGGCGCTTATTTTGACTTCAGGTAAATGAAAATCAATTCATCCACAAGTTAATATTAGTATTATTAACTTATTAATTGCATCATCCTATATTACTCGAAATTAATGTTTTCCTTAAGAATTAACTTACAAAGTGAATTTTTTTAGTTTTATCAATTTTGCAATAAAACTTCATCTGAAAGTGAATTACGATGCTTATGTATAAATTAGGTAAAAACTTATTATTATCAAAATTTCTCATATTATTTGCTCAGCAATAGAATAGTATGATATTATTTACTTACTTACACCTGTTACCCTCCCCTCTCCAATGGAGCATAGGCCGCCGACCAGCATTCTCCGGCCCACTCTGACCCGGGCGTTCCTTTTTAGTTCTATCCAATTTTTGTTCATTCTTCTCATGTCTGTCTCAGTTTCTCGGCGTATGATATTATAGTCAATTAATAAAGAAATATGATGTATTTTATCTTACTGACAAACAATAAACTAATCAAGATACACCCTTATACCAAAATAATATGATCATATTGTACTGAACAGAACACCAGTGGGGACAATCGAATGTATTTAATACAAAATTACAGGACTTGTTAATAAAATCTAACAATCATAAAGTAAGAGCTTAATTTGTGAAATGTCCACCAACTGTCTCAAAATGAATCAGACTTCATTGTTCTTGCATTTTCATACAAATTGCATCCTGTTTCCATTCTTCACTGTTCGATCCTCTTGTCTCTCTGCTATCAGACCTTCTGTTCACGACTAACATCACCTACTACTTATGTCAATAGACCTAGCACACACCACAATATTACTATTGATCAATAGAGTCTGTAAAATGGAAATGTTTTTATAAAAGGAATAAATCTATGTACTTCTCTATTCATTACATGATAAAAATATTCTGAAAATTTAATCGAATATTTCTGTGATTTATTTAAACACAAATTTAGCAATTTGAGTTTCTTATTAAATGATCAACATAAAAGTAACCTGGTTATATGTGCAACAGTTGTACCAATTCAACTGAATCTTACACCGTCTACCGTCGAAATCACTTCTGCTAATCTATCATATGGTTTAATTAGAACAACTGGCATGTCTGGATATGTTACGTTGCACAATCCGTTACATGCCTCCGCAAGATTTTGTTGGCAAACATTAGGTGATCAAAATCCTTTTACAATATGCCCAAAAAAAGGTGAGGGTCTATTTTTTTTCTTCAGTTCTCTAAACTTTCCGTAGAGATTCAATACAAGTGTTTATGCTGATCTAGAAAAAAATTTATCTATACGTGGTGCAGTTTTATAATTTTCAAACTAATCAAAGGATCAGAGTGGGTTTTGTGGAGAGTTTTAGAAATTTCACAGGTTGAAATCATGAGTCAATTGAAGCTAGACCACTATAGAAAACCTGGAAGCACTAGACGGCCGTTTTGTCCCAGTATGGGACTCCTCAGCAGTGCACATCCACGATCCCGCAACACGCGGGCTCGAACCCAGGACCTACTGGCTTCGCGCGCGAGCACTTAACCACTAGACCACTGAGCCGTCATCTAACGGCCGTCCAGTGCTTCTAGGTTTTCCATGGTGGTTTAGCTTCAATCGACTCATAATCAAAGGATCTAATGATTTTAAGTTGTCCTACCAATACCGAAAACAATTAGCCCTGGTATCATATTTAATAATAGATTTATGAACTCCACTTGTGTTAAGATGATTGATTTCACTGACTGAAATCATGAGTCAATTGAAGCTAGACCACTATAGAAAACCTGGAAGCACTAGACGGTCGTTTTGTCCCAGTATGGGACTCCTCAGCAGTGCACATCCACGATCCCGCCCTCCCTCCCGAGATTCGAGCCCAGGACCTATCAGTCTCGCGCGCGAACGCTTAACCATTAGACCACTGAGCCGGCATCGAACGGTGTTAATGTCTGAATTTAACCAATCCACAAACCATGATTTCAACTATTCGAATTACTAAAATCGTCAAGACTACAATTTGTGGACGAACCAATCAGATTTAAGATAGCAGGTCTTGAAATTCACTCACCCATTCGTTCGAATAGCATCTTGGCATTTTAGCTGCTGTCAGTTCGTGATGTGAACAATAAATCTAAATCTTAACCCTTACCATCAATTGTAAATCATCGTCTTTATTCTTCAAACTGCTTTATAACCTTTATTTAGCCCTATTAAGTAGGTAGACACTCTCAAGGTCACTTTGGTTTCGCTCAAATGTCGTCCATAAATTATAGTGTCACCGAATCTGTTGCTCAAAAAATCAAAAAAGTTGAATATGCATGACTTCTTTTGCATAATTTTAAATTTATCTTTTATCATCTAAAAAAAATGATATTTTCTAACAAATTTCATACCTGTATGATTTAAGTAATGAAATAACACTCATCGAGTAGACACGTTACATAATTATATAATGACTAAACTAATAACTAAACTAACATTCAGTAATTGTAATAAAGAGGATTATAATAAACAAAGTAGATATTCGAAAAATCAAACAGTTGCTAAGTTGTATGATATATAAAAAAGAAGAAAGAATCAACAAAATATTTTGATGAATGGTCAGTAATATAGTAGTTATGTAAGAATCAAGAAACGAATGTTGAGAATAAGTAAAATACAAGAAGTGGAATAAATACGAAAATAGTTTGTCAATGTTCTGCTACAAACTCACCCTTATACCAATGGCTTAGGTTGCGAGCGTGGTTGTACAAACTTCTTTTGGATGCAAAGGTTTGACTTGTGGACATGGATTCCGATGGCTTCAGCAATGTACAAAAGACAAATTCGTAAACCATGTGGTAAATTTAATGGGATATGGTGGATAACCTTAACAGCTTTATTCAATTCAACTTGATGACCTGTGTCCACCAAGTGAGCTAGAATAGAAGTTTTAATCACTGCTACCTATCCTTTGCTCAACCCAGACGGATGGTGTTCTTTTATATTAATGTAGAGTCATGATAGAAAACTTACTAAAAAGAAACTTCCTCGTTCGATTCGTTCCTTTTTTATTGACCAAATATCAGAATGGGAATTTCACTAAATCTCATACACTTGAGTGATCAGTACATGTTTGAGTAGTTTAACAGGTCATAGATGCTTTTATGGATGATTTCTCATAGTTTTTACGATATTTATGGACAGATACTTTGAAAGATAAACAACATATCATTACAGCACAATGATCTGGGAACCATTTAACAAAAGTGCATATTATTTAATAAATTAATAATTACCTGATTGAAAGTTTTAACAAGGGAACTAATTCATATTAGACTGTGTTTCAGTATCTGTAAAAGAAGTTACATTTAAATTCTATGTTACTTCACGCCATTTCATTTTCACCGTGTATTGCCATTTATAAATAAAAAATAGTTTAATCTTCAAGTTAATTTAATTCGAAAAACCAATATCCTCTAACTTAACTCTGATTGCCTTGTCAGTAAATTAAATTTATACCATAAATTGTTTGTAAATGGCTTAAAGCAATATGGAATGTATTGCCCAGCACTGAGTTATAATCGAGCTAGATTTAAATCATTTTTGTAAGGTTTTTACTATATACGATATTGTATTATGTTTAGAGATAGTCGATAGGAATCCTTAAACCTAGATTTCCTACCAGTGGTACTCATCAAAATGGCGTACGTGAAATTTCGAGGAAATTAACACTCTGTTGCATTTAAACCAGCGTTGCTCGTCTTCATAGTCCAAGATGTTACCAATGAGTTGTTAAGTGGTTTTGTACTTAGTAAATACAACCAGTAAACAACGAAAGGTACTCCGGGTGATATTCAATCACTTAGACTAATGACCACATTGGAATGGTTGATGGAATCCAATGTGTAATAGGGACAAAATTAGATTTTATTTCACTCGTATTCGCACAATTTGTGTTTAATTTCAGGTTTATTATCGGAACTTCAATTTTGACATATTTACACATTCTTATTCTATAGAAATAATCACAGTTCATTTTTTTCTTCTTTATAGGTGTAGTAGAACCATTTTCTTCATTAAATTGTGAAATTGTTTATTATCCAAATATTAACACTATAATGGAAGGCAAATTTCATTTAAATTTACTAGATCAAAATGATGATCAATTAAATACATTGTCTACAACAATAAATAAATTTGATGTTAATCACAAAGTATTGGAATTATCATGTATTGCAAAATTATTACCTAGTAAATTATCGTTTTCTACACGTCGACTACCACTTGGATCAGTAGCCCATGGTCTACCTTATACACGTCAGATAACTATATTTAATTTAGGACAAAATCCTATTCTATTTTACATTAACCAAGAATTCAAAAGTGCCGTAAATCATAACGGTAGTATTCCATCTTATATGCATAGATTATCAAGAGCATTACCAGCAAGAGTTGAAATTCAAGTTAGTCCGATAGAAGGGGAAATCCCAGTTGGTGGTGAGACAACTTTAAAGGTAATGTGTTTTTTAGTAAAACACTTTTCTTGTTTTTGATAGAGTTTTGTTCTCTAAGCTGGATGGTTTGGTCGTGGAGTTTTCATCGTCTTCTGAACGACATTATCAGAACAAACTTCAGATAGAAGTCTTGTTGTATAAAATGTTTGTAACTAAATTTCAGGAACTTGTTAAGTACTTTAAATACATTATGATCCCTACATAATTTTCAAATTCACTTGGTCGGCTTAGTATCATTTTATATGTGTATCTAAATATTATTGTAGGCTAGAATAAAGCCTGATGAACATCTGGTTAGAAATAATCTTATTCACTATATGTTTTCTTCTGATTCGAAACTTTAATAACTATGAACCCATTATCAACCTTCTGTGGTTCACTTAACAGAGTATTTAAGAAATACTGAATAGTTAGTTTATAACAAATCACGCAAGCAATGAATCTTACTGTTTCGTTGAGTGTCTGGGAAATATCTAACTTACCAGTACCAGTCCACTATTTTTGCTACTCAGTAGGTTTTGCTCCTTTGTTCATTGACTAATTCAGTACTACAACCAGTGTTTACGTAATACATATATTCTTGTCATATCTTGTATTGTGATTTTTTTAGTACCATGTTGCAATACTTCCTTTTCTACTGAGTTAGAATGTTTCGTTTATCTTTTAAGGGAATTATGGTCTACTTGTATCATACAATATAGTTAATCCTCTTCAGAGAGCGTCTAATATCTTTTTATGAACTTTGCTAAAAGTAGTTTATCACACAACCACCCACCATCTTAATTCTGGATCATCAGAAAAATTAAACTTGATTCTTTTAAGTATTGTTAATGTTTGAACATACTGATCTAGAGTGTATCTGATCAATTGTAAATGACATATTGGAATGCCATGTCCGTACAAGATTTTAAAACTTCATTTTTGAAATGAGATATTTAAACAATCGCATATAATAAGGCCGAAAAATTGTAATTCACTTCATCAACGTTTAGTTGTTATGCGAATATCTTCGATCAATATACATATATATCGAACTAATTGGGCTCAGTTATTTAATTAGTTTACTTCATAGTTCTATCGAACTAAACTATTTACTTTTTATGTACTTAATAAAGAATTCCCTAGTCTATCCATGAAAGGTTATCTTTCCAAGACTTAATAATATCTACAGTTTTCAACTAAATAATATTAAATAAAAATTGTTCAATAAAAGATACTCATACTACGACTAGAATATGGAAGCCAAAGTTCAGAAATATATTCCGTACGTCATTTTAACAAGCCCATCAATTCTCTAAAAAATACCAGAGTCCTTACAACACTCAACTGTTTGTACTAGAGTATATGAATAAACTTCTGCATATATTTATGATGTTTATATTGATTGGGACAGGTTATTATCTTCATATTGTAGTTTAATGTAAGTATTATCACAATTGTTCGCCTGATAGGAGAAATATGACTTGACCAAAGTTATGTAACATTAACAAAATATATTTCTCCAGTTTAATAATATATAGGTTAATTTAGTTTGGAAGCTACTTACCAACTAGATCCTATAAAACAACTAGAAAATATGCGCATCTGTAGAAAGCATTTCTTAACATATTATTTGTAGAGCCTATTTTGCCAGGATACATGAGAAAAAAACTATTCACGTTAAAAGTTGGTCAGAAGTGAAATTTGAAGCTATTCGACCTTTTGGATACGCTGAAGAAGCATTAAACACCCGAACACTAGTGGTGAAACGAATCAATGAATCACCCTTAGTACTTACTGCAGATACCTCCAAAGATACTTTATGAGCATTGTTACAATAATAACCACTTGCTTTCCTCTCTAAAAGATTTAAATCCAAGGCAACCAAAAAATAGTACATTAAGTGAGAATTACTATCTATGTATTTAGTTATCAAATACTTTCGCTAGGCGTTAGGTCTTATTACTTTTACGGTATTCACTGATCACTAGTGTAATAAACCAAGAATAGGATTATTCATAATAAGGAGGGCACAAGTGGCCTCTGAAAATCTATACATGAGGATACTTACAAATACTGCAATTTCGGGTTTAGATAAGAAAATGTTATACAATACTTCCAAAATAACTATGAAATGGTTGCGTTCATTAAAACTTCAAATGAACTGTTATTAATGACGTGAGTACTTCTAATACAAAGTTATTTACAGTGTGATTCGAGAATATGTTTAGCAGTTAAGAAGAATAATGATTGAGTATGAGTATGTATTTTGATGATAATGTGAATTAATACGTGATTCAAGTTACTGACTGACTGTCTTTACAAACAACAACGGAAGAGATAAAAAATTACGATACAAACATTCCTTTAGTCGAACTGACCATTTGTATACATAATCGATCGAATGCCTAAATTACTGTAGGTAGGTAATAAAAATATAATCAGCGTTTCTTGACTTTTTTTATGTCCTGTGAATGTATATCATACAAATAAAAAGATTGAGAAAGGTTTTCGCTAAAAATCTGACTTAAACTTACCGCGAAAGGATTTAGTGAGCTAAAAATAATTTAAAATCCTGATTTTGTGGTCGTCACAGTATGACCATATCAGACCAACTGATTATGTGTGATCTTATCATCCTGAAATAGTTAATTTTCTTCTAATTTATGTAACGATGATAAAATGATTTCTGGAGCAATTTCATAGATACTTTGCATTTTGTACTTTGATTATAAGCAAGAAAATGATTCCAACGTTCTATGGGTCTAATAGAAAGAGATTGTTGATGTGTAGAACTTACATGATTAAATAAACGAACTTTCGATTTTCAAAATCAATGAACAGACTGCTGATCGATGGACGAATGTAATGACACTATCTGTACTAATCAAGAGACTAAATTATTGACATAATCCTGACAAATAATTTCAAGTCGAAAACGAGATCACTTGTCTAGAGAATATGTTTCCTTTATTGATATGGTAACATACTTTTACACAATATTTGAACATGAAATAAATATGATATAATGTAATAAGAGATTAGAAGAAATTACTTTGTAGGTCACTCATTCTCCAATCATTTAAAATTATAAGAGATAATCCTTAAACATCGTTCAGAGGAAAACACATAAATTCCATTTGATGCTCAGATTCATTTCAGAATTACTAGACAAGTCTTCGTTTACAAATTATTCAGAATATTTCACTCAATTAAAAATTGATATTTTAATATCCGTGTGTATGCTGAACATGCTAAATAGTTTATTAGTTACGAGATGTGAACATGACTATGTTCAGCATAAAATATCGAATTGTGCACTAGGACGTTATAGATGAGAACTTCAGGGATCTTACATCAAGCAGTGCATTTACTTTACTCAGTTCTATCATATTACACTCATTCACATATTTACTGCACCAACATATGATTATAATATTTCCTTGATAGTTGGAAGTTCAGTCAAATGTTCATGAAATAGTGAAAGATAAATAGTACAGTGAGCAAATATAGATCTTTATATTACCGATCGTAAACAAAATCGTTTTTCCGCACAATATCACTATCCATTTAACTTATCGGAAAAATATCATTCAATAGTAATTTATTCTTTCATTTTAAATTAAGGTCACCTGTATACCAATTGGATTGGGTAAATTTGAATCATCTATAACATTAAGTACATATGATCGTCAGGATTTTAATTTATCCGTATGTGGAACTGTACTTAAACCACAAATTCAGTTAATTCCAAACACTTTCGAATTTGGTGGTAAGTTTACATTTTCAGTATTTTTTTTCTCTAAATATTCTGACGTTTTTTTTATTGAAAGTAATAATATCAATTATAACCAACATACATGAATAGGAAATTATTCCTCTTGTTATCGTCATGTAGCTATCAATTTATAATTATGCTCTACAGAGGAAACAATTCAAATGCATTCAACTATACTACACACAACTCTTTGTCATGAATTTTAGACGATTTAATCATGAATTTAGTAAACTTATATCTAAAACATTTTCTAAGATATCCGATTCAGTCTAACAATTTAGTATCAGAATGGGTTTTGTGGAGATTTTTAGAAATTTCACTTGTTGAAATCGTGAGTCAATTGAAGCTAGACCACCATGGAAAACCTGGACGGCCATTTCGTCCTATTGTGGGACGACTCAGCACTGCGCATCCACTATCCCGCACCCCGCGGGATTCGAACCCAGTCTCACGCCAGGCTCTTAACCAACTAGACCACTGAGCTAGCCGGCACCCAACGGTGTTAATGTCTAACTTCAACCGATCCACGAAGTTGCGCCACCGTACACTATTGTCTTCAGTGAGTTCCTATCTCACAACAGACCTGGTTGAACTCTACGAAACGGCCGTCCAGTGCTTCCAGGTTTTCCATGGTGGTCTAGCTTCAATTGACTCATGATTTCAACAAGCGAAATAACAATTTAGTGTTTTATAAAAATCTGTTCTTAAATGGATGAATAATTAACCATTTACATTTATTATTTCAATAATCTGACACAGAAAGGATTGAATAAATATATTTAATATAATTTTTATGATATTTCTAACTTTTTGTAAACCAAGAAAACAATAATCATAGTTACATAAGTTTATTTGAAGTGAACGAGAACGCAGTGGGGAGAATTGAATGTATTTGAACATAAAATTACAGAACACTTGGTAAAATCTGAGAATCATACAGTAAATACTTCATTTGCAAAATGTCAATCAGTTGTCTCAGAATTCACTGTTCTTTCATTTCCACACCAATGATATTCTGTTCTCGTTCTCTTTTCTTAGATCTTCTTAACCTTCTGCCACCAGACACTTCACTTTTAACTGATGGTATATACTATTTATATCTATGGACATCAGTAGCACACATCACATTTTATATAAGAATTACCTGGAAGTTTATGATTATGATACGGATTATTTTAAAGAAAGTTTTATTAAAAATAATACTAAATACAGACGAAATAAAAGAACCAATAATACAGTTGATTGTTTATAGTCCACTTTTGTTAATTAAAAAAAATTTAGCCAAGAATAAGTTAATTATTATGAAGAAAAATGATATATGGGGTATTGCAGTTAGTTTATATGTTTGGGTAAGACCATCCAGCCAGTCAATCATTATAGCTAAAATCTAGGATAAATGTGTATAGCTACATGTCTTTACACTTCAATTAAACATAATAAGTGAGAAACATAACAATAAATGAAACGTATGTAGGGAAATAATATCAAATGTAAAAAATAGTCAGTTATGAGAAGCATAATTCAGAGAAATATATGAAACCGAAGAATGAAAAATATAGAATAACACTAAATCTAACTTTTGATAACATTGATAAAGATTACAGTTGCATCACTGTGGTTGATTTCACACTGCGTCACTCGAAGTTGCTAAGCACAGTATTATACCGTGAGACAATCTAAGTTAGACCACCGATGATAACTCGGAAGCACTGGACAGCTCTTTCGTCTTAGTAAGGGACCTCTCGATAGTGTTCATCTACGACCTCGCACAAGGAACTCAAACCCAGAACCTTCTGTCGCCTGTGTGGACAGATTGTTGATGATATTTTGATTGTGAGAAGAGCCGTTATTTTGAATCTCTACTGAATATATTTTATAAATATCATCCATTTACCTGTTTCATGTAACATAAGATTTCATTTCTAGATCTTTTGTTCACAAAAATAATAGACAGGATTGTCTAGTTACCTATTCATTAACATTCTACATGGAAACAATAAATCTAATAAAATCCACTACCTTTGGAACCGTGAAATTATGAACTAGGTTCAAAACATCTTCCCTTCGACTTTCTTTATACTATTGTAAAGGAGTGATCATTGTGAAACTCATGAGAAACAAACATTTTGGATGAAATCGACACGTAACAACACTAAATCCTATTTTTAAAATGTAAATAATAAAATCCATAATCACTACTCTCAATCATCAATCACTTCAATAAAATTATTGCTTTGTGTTTCTATTCACTAGGGAAACAATTCACAAAGTGGTATGATTTCCATATATATATCTTTTTCATAAATACATTAAAAATTTTGTATATTCTTATATTATATTTTATAACTCACAGTACAAGTAAATAAACATTTTTATAGTTGAAATTGTGAGTCAATTGAAGCTACACAACCCTGAGAAACCTGGAAGCACTGAACGGTGGTTTCGTCCTATTGTGGGACTCCTCAGCAGTACGTATCTACGACCCTGCCCCGCGGGATTCGAATCCAGGACCTAACGGTCTCACGCGTGAACGCCTAACCTTTGGATCACTGAGCCAGCATCCGACCGTGTTAATAAACGTTTGTCAGAGAAAATAAATGCATGGTATCAGTAAAGTTTTCTGCAATAAAAACTTGAAAAAATCAAGTTTTCTGGTTTGCGTTTTTTTAGAGTTAGTTTTCTACTGTATGGGGTCGCTAACCCCATACCCGACCCTCCTCCTTTATCCAGGCTTGGGACCGGCAGAAGCCCCCTGAGGGTCTCCAGAAGGGGTTGAAAAAATCAAGTACATTTCTTAAAAGATAAATGAAAACTTCAAGATTAGATTATTCAGCTTATGAAACACGATATCATAAAGGAACTGAATTTTAACGTATATTATTGTACGTTTTCATTAGTTTAAGTTATAAAATCATGAAGTTATTGGGAAGAAGTTAAATGTTTCTTTAACTGTCATTGAAACATCATGATCACAAATATAAAAATATAGTTTTTTGTGACGAGCTAAAGTAAGCGAAATGATTTTTTCGCACTCACATTTTGTTGTTTCAATACTGTTTCCGGTTTTTGGTGATGTCGTATGTGGTGGTATTCTTACCATTCAATCGGACTAGTTCTAGTCAGCTTGGTAGTTATTTTTGTGTTTATTTACTTTATAGTTTGAGTGTCTGCGTTTGCCATAGGGCGGTAGGGTTTCTGTAACCAGCAGTGATCGAATTATCATGTAGAAGGCTGACAAGCTGCAATAGAAAAAAAGATGGCAGAAAATTGAATCAAGAAGAACGAAGTAGAGTAGAAGGTAAAGAGAAGTAACTGAATGAATCCATTGGTAATTCAAGTAATATGATCATACAAAATTGTAACATGTAGACGGAAATGTTACAAGAAGAGTAAGAAAAGGTTGAGTTGGATTTGTTTTAAACCTAAAACAAATTTAGTTTACGCCGGTGTATAAACTCTCCATGTTTGATAGTTCCGTGGGGATAGCTGTGAGAGGATAATGATAGAGGACGTAAGTTTTCCATGTGCCATGGAGATGAATGTTCATAACATAATATATCAACAGCTTGAATTTCCCTGTTGTTGTGATGTTCTTTAGGGGCTCGAATGACTTCTCTTCTATGCCTTCATGTCGTCAGCATATATATCAGGGTCGCTATGCTAGTTTTATCTAAGAGACCGTTGATAGATGCCTGGAAGAAGACTAGACCTGAAACGATACCTTGTGAAACTCCTAATGTACAGGTCCGGCAGCTCACGTGCTCTTTGTTTACCTTGGTGCGAAATATCCAGTTCTCTGGGTAACTTCAAAGTCACGATATCAGTATATCACTGAAATCCACCTTCACAAACTTGTCTTTAATTAGTGTATACGTTGTGTCGAAAGGTTTTGCGAATTTAGGGAATTCTGCATGAACCGATATCTTTTGATCCCGCCAAGTCATAAACCTGTCTTAAGCCAGGAAAAGACTGTATGCGAAGGATCTGACATTTTTCAACCCATGTTGAGCTTCATGAAGAATGTTGTTTTTGTTCATTTATTCCCTCAACCAAACCTTCCATGACCTTCAACAGACGAGATAAAGTTTCTGTACCATTTATGAATTGACCATAGTTATTTATCAACTAGATGATTTTATTCGGAAAAGTTTATTCTTTTGTTGAATTGAATCTATGAATAAATATTTATAAACATTATTTAGTTGATGATCATGATAAATGGTTATAGAATTATGCTACATATAGGACTAGAAATACCTCATTATGAATGTGAATAATAAAAAGCTATTGATCTCACTAATAATACATTTGTGTGGAACATATTTAATCAATAAATCAAATAAAATATACATAGTGGTTGAGAAAAAAGCCATACTAAGACGAAACGGCCGTCCAGTGCTTCCAGGTTTTCCATGGTGGTCTGGCTTCAGTTGACTCATGATTTCAATCTGTGGAAAAAAACCTGTTGAGTAGTGGATAAATTACGATCATCAGCCACAGAATCAATTAACGATCAAAAAATAAAGTTGCACTTTTTTTGTTTAAAGTAAACTTTGTTCTGGTTAATAGTCACTATTAATTTAATTAGAATCAGAAGGGGTTTTGTGGAGATTGTAGTATTTTCAACAGTTGAGATCATGAGTCAATTGAATGGTTTTGAACTTTCCAGTTCAGTCATAATTTCTTTATACTGTTGTCAGTAATGGTCAATTTAGATGTTGTATACTCTTCAACTTGTAATTTTATCATTGAACACTTCATGTAGAACATACATGTTTTAATAAATTCATATCCGAATGAGTTACCATCTTCAAAGTATATCGATTGAGTGACAGTTATAATTTTGATAGGGACTTAAATGACAAATTAATATCATTTACATACATCCAACACTTAATGTGTAGGATGTTTCATGGTATAGAAATTTATCACAGTGTTCCTCTGTTAATGTTGTGATTATTTTTGGTTCGTTAAATCTTAATTTAGTGTATTTACAAGCCGTTATCTTCAGCATGATTCAAGTTGTTCTTTTATCTATACATCTTATTCCTGTTATGTTGTAACACTATGAAAACATTTGTTTTTTGTTACAGTATCCTTACTTTTTTTTGTTAGTTGGGTTTTGAAAAACTGTTAATTTTGACGACAATGTTCTTTATGGGCTGGTATCAGCTGGAAAATAGTTGAAATTAAGATACACTAGACAAATGTTTCATGAGACATCTGAATCCTTCTGGAGTGATAACTAACAAAAGTTGGGTATGCAGACCACTGAATTTCGGTACAGTGGTCTGGGATTATCGAGCTTGTCGTGAGATATAATAGTTACTGGTATGACTTAATATCGAAGAGTGGGTGTCCCTTGGTAACCGTTGCAAACTGAAATCAAGCACCTATTTAATCCTAAGTGGTTCAAATGATTATTCAGCTGATACCAGCTCGTAATGAAAAGTATTTTCAAGTACTTTTTTGGTGATTCAATGCCCATACTTAATTATATTTACTTTTCAACAATCAATAATTTTTATAACACATCTTATATAATTTAAATATAAAAACGAGAGCTGAGGGTACAACGGTTAACTACATTTACAAATCATAACATCTACGTCTAACGAGGCCTGAAAAAAAAGATTAACTGGTATGTTGGATAATATTATCAATTAGTAGATCTGTAGGCTACATGAATGATTGTTTTCAAACGATTAGTGGAAAAAGGTACTAGAAGTGGTTCAATATATAATCTATGTTAAGAATGTATTTTGATTAAAAATTCCCGTGACATTAAAACACCGTTCCTTGAAAAAAAAGAGATGATTTTCAATAAATTCTCGTCAGATTCTTCACCCATAAGCATAGATAAACGATCCAAAAGAATTGTTACAGTCAAAGTGTAAACATATTTTAAGACTCCAGCATACGAGTGAAGGACTTAATACTAAAATGACCAGTACATAGTATTCACTTGAATCAGTTTTATACGACAATTGAAACTGTGGTAATGATGACCAGAACGAATTTATGTTACTTATCGTGCGACAAATAATAGTACAGTCACGAATCAGACCAAACTTGTGGTCATCGATTACGCAATGTATGGAACTGTTATCTACTGTACTCAATGAATGAGGGTTGCACAATATCTTGAACTAATCAAAGTTGGATATTAAAATCATTAAGTCCCGGCTTAGTAGTCTAGAAAATAAGCGCCTGAGCTTGAGACTGAATGTAGTGCGTTTGATTTCCAATGGCAAATTCATATATCCCCGTACTAAGGATACCCGAGATTGAACGAAATGTCTATAAGCTGCTTTTACATTTTTAACGTTGGTTTAACTAGAATCAGTTTGTGATTTAAACCATGAAAATAGTAAAACTTTTAATGATAATACTTTGACGGGAAAATTCTCAGGTATGAAAATATGAACTGAGTGAGTACTTGTACATTAGTCGGATTCAGTTTTATTGTAATGACAGAATCATTGATTTGATTTTTCTGTTCGAACAATACAACAGACAATATCATCTATTCTTTATTTTTCAGGTGTCAGAATTGGTTCAATGAAATCTCTTCCATTTGAGATTACCAATAATGGTATTACACGTGTGTTAATAGAAATACAATTGAAAAATTTCGATGAATTTCAAATTACCGATCATATAAATTCCCTTTCATTAGATGGATATATGAATGAACAAATTTATACTAATAATAGAAATAATTCAACTAGAAATAAATTTATTTCTTCATATTCAGAAGAATTAGAAAAGATATCTATAAATACTGTCAAAGTGCCTCATTCATCCAGTTATCTGGAATACGATAAATCAACCTGTCTTTATCATATTCATATACCACCTCAAAGTAAATGGATTGGTTATCTAGTCTATAAACCTAAAGATGTACGTTGTTCTATTTAAACATAATGTAAATTTTATATTTTACATAATTTAAAACTAATTTAAACGAGCGGTGAATGAGAACACAAGTGGGAAGAATCGAATGTATTTGAACGTGAAATTATAGAATATCTAATTAAAATGTGATAATCATACAGTGAATACTCAACTGTCTCAGACTTCATTATTCTTTTTGTTTCCACATTAATCATGCTCTGTTCTCATTCTCTTTTCTTTGATCTTAATCTTCTGACTCCAGGCATTTCACTCGATGATACGTGCTACTTATATCTGTGGGCATTGGCAGCACACAGTACATATGATTTTTAATATTGAAATAAGCTAAATAAATTTATTATTCACTAGTATATTCTAAATCTGTCTTTTTTAATATTTAACATTGGAAATCGTGTTTTCTAACACAGAGATTTGAATTAATAATTTTAAATAAGTATCAGAATGGGTTTTGTGGATATTATAATAATTTCAATGGTTGATATCATCAGTCAATTGAAGCTAGACCACCATGGGAAACCTGGGAGCACTGGACGTCCGCTTCGTCCTAGTATAGGACTCCTCAGCAGCGCGCATCCACGATCCCGCACCTCGCGAGATTCGAACACAGGACCTACCAGTCTCTCGCCAAGCGCTTAACCAACAAGACGACTGAGCCGGCATCCAATGGTGTTAGTGTCTAACTTCAACCAATCCACGAAGTTGAGCCACCGTACACTATTGTCTTCAGCGAGCTGATTTCTCACAACAGACCTGGTTGAGCTCCACTGGTAACGGCTTCTCACTAGAACTTCAGGAGTATCTCTTGAAGTCAGTCACTAGTGAGCAGATGATTAGTATCAGATGGGGTTTGTGGAGATTTTAGAAATTTCACAGATTGAAATCATGATTCAACTGAACTCTATATCGATCGTTCCATCAGCTTCAAGTAGTCTAAACTTTAGAAAAGATTATTAAAATAAGAAATTAAAAATTGATTCTACACGTCATTATTATTGCATAACTTATTGGCGAGACTATAATTTATGGACGAACCAATCAAATACACGATAACGAGTCACAAATTTTGGCGGGAAATTCATCCATGCATTTAGCTAAATAGAGTTTTGGCATTGTAGTTAATATCAGCTGGTAATGAAAAACCTAAATCTAATTTTTAATGCTTACCATCAACTATAAATGAGAATTCTAACTGCTTTGTAACTCTCAGTTAGCCCTTATCAGTAGGTATCGGCTCTCAAGGTCACTTCAGCGTCGCCCAAATGTCATCCATAAATTATAGTCTCACCATTACACTTTCTATCCATGTCCTTCTGAATTAAATAAACAGTCTTAAAATATTCGTATTCAAATAAATCTCACATTGTTGTTCTGTACTACTTACTTGCACTTGAATAAATATAATACACATTTTTTTATTCAGACGTACATTTGAAATCATTTATGACGATTTAATTAAATTATTATACTTGTTTATCTAAATACAGGTATCATTTCATGACTTTGTGCTTCCACTACTTATAAATAAACTTAATCCAAAACTTCTAAGTCAAAAATCAGATGATATCAATAATATTAATGTTAATACTGAAGAAGAAACAATAATTGATGGTGAAACTGATTTAAAAATGTCTAGTCAAGATTATGAACCTAGAGTTATAGCTACAGCATTAAGACAACCTATTACAATTGAACCAAAAAATGGTATACTCAAATTTATTGCTACATTAAATGATAATGTTTCAGAACCGACAAATGTTTTATATCAAGTGAGTGAAATTTTGATAATAAATACAGTTTTTAAGTAAATAAGTCAATATTTTAAAAAGAAGAATATATTTGTAAAATCTCAGCGAATGAATTTTTAAGCAAATGCAACGGTTTGCCTGGCAATCTGGTCCAAGCTTTTTCAAGGAAATTATAATCAAACAACAAAATTATCGAATATAAATAGGTACATGGTTCTTCGGTTTACTGTATACTGAATAAGTCATCCAATTAACGTGAAGGATATTTTTATAAATAGGTATTTGCATTAATGTGTAAGAGACATGTTTTTACAAATATGATGATTTTACAAATATATTCTTCTTTTTTGGTGGAGTTTTGTTCTCTGAGCTGGATGGTTTGATCGTGGAGCTTTCATCGTTCTTCTGAACGACATCATCAGCACAAACTTCAGATAGAAGTGAAGTGTTTGAATTTCTCCATATGTGTCTCAAAGCTTGTTCTGTGCACCTCGACGTTGATTGGTTCTTATTGACCTTAAATTTGTCGTTGTTTACTTCTTTGTTTTGGTTGTGTCTCCCATTGTTTTGATTTTTGTTCTTATGTTTGTGCATGATTTTTCTGATTGGTTGATAAATTGGATTGATTTGAATATGCTTGTTGATTGCTGATTGACCTGAGTGCCAGGCTTCTAAAAATTCTCTGGTGTTTTTGCAGTTTCCTCTATCTAAGATTTCCACATTTTTCTAATCGAATGAGTGTCCGCAGTTGTCCACGTGTATTGATATAAGTGAAGAGATATCATGCCGTTTGACTGCTAATTGATGTTCATGTAGGCGAAGGTGAAGGGGGCGTCCGCTTTGTCCGATGTAGTGTTTTTCGCAGTTGGCACAATTTATTTTGTAGATGATGTTTGATTTGTTTTCCTTTGTTATTTCATCTTTTGGTTTGCATAAGATTGATTGTAGTGATTTTGTCGGTTTGTGTGCCACACCTATCCCGAAGGTTTTCAGCAGTCTCGTCGCGGTTTCTGATATTCCTTGTATGTACGGTAGGGTGATCCTTTTGCTGATTTTTGTGCTTGACTTGGGTTGTGATGCTGTGTGCCGTTGGTGCTTTTTGATGAAGTTGATTAGGTAGCCGTTCTTCTGAAATACATCCTTTAGGTATTTCTCTTCATTTCTTCGTGCTCCCAGTGTGCTGCAGTGTGTCCTCGCCCTCTTGAACAAATTGTGTATGCAGTTGATTTTGTGAGCTCTGGGGTTGTTGCTGTTGTAGTTGAGAATTTGGTCCGTATGGGTCGGTTTCCTATATACTTGAGTTTCCAGTTTTCCTGTGTCGGTTCTAGTGATCAATATATCCAAGAATGCTAGTTGGTTGTTTGACTCCTGTTCCATGGTGAACTTGATGTCATCGAAAACGTTGTTGATCAGGTTGTAAGTGTTTTCTAGTTCATTCTTTTTGACGATGACGAAGGTGCCGTCTACATAGCGAATCCAAATTTTTGGTTTGATCACTGGTAATATAGCGGCTTCTAATCTTTGCATCACTGCCTCTGCGATCAATCCTGATATTGGTGATCCCATTGGTGTCCCTTTCGTTTGTTCGTAGATTTTGTTGTTGAATTGAAAGCATGTTGTTAGGCATAAATTGATGAGTTAGCAGTCAAACGGCATGATATCTCTTCACTTATATCAATACACGTGGACAACTGCGGACACTCATTCGATTAGAAAAATGTGGAAATCTTAGATAGAGGAAACTGCAAAAACACCAGAGAATTTTTAGAAGCCTGGCACTCAGGTCAATCAGCAATCAACAAGCATATTCAAATCAATCCAATTTATCAACCAATCAGAAAAATCATGCACAAACATAAGAACAAAAATCAAAACAATGGGAGACACAACCAAAACAAAGAAGTAAACAACGACAAATTTAAGGTCAATAAGAACCAATCAACGTCGAGGTGCACAGAACAAGCTTTGAGACACATATGGAGAAATTCAAACACTTCACTTCTATCTGAAGTTTGTGCTGATGATGTCGTTCAGAAGAACGATGAAAGCTCCACGATCAAACCATCCAGCTCAGAGAACAAAACTCCACCAAAATCATCCACCTGAGCTACAAATCTTCTCCACTATCTCATATTCTTCTTTTTAATGTCTCAAATTAACTCGGCGCCCAAATATTGTGAAACTATTCGTTCAAATTTAGACGAAAGTTCTTATTTAAGTCAATATTTTATTCTATAAAGTTTGATATTATAATCATTTTTAATAAAAATTATGAATTAACTTCTGGAAAACCGACGACAACTATGTTAATACCAAAGCCATATTCAAATGATGTTGAAACATCATTTAAAGATATTTCTTTGTTTTGAACACCTTGTTATTTTAAAATAACATAGTCAAACTGATTTCCCTGTGATTGTCACATGAGGAATTTTGTCCTTTCTTATAGACCGGCACAATCAGTGATTGAGACCAGTCAAATGGGATTACTTCCAGTTCCCAAATTCTACCTAAGACCTCAGTTAATCTCACTGCTAATACTGGACCACCATCCTTAAAAATCTCAGAAGTAAACCTGTCAGGGCCTGCTGATCTCCCTCGCTTCAGATTTCCTATAGCTTTTTCAACTTCGTAAAGAGACGGAGGACCTACATTAACATGCCATTTGGGTTGACTAGAGATCGTGGGAAACCGAAGTGTGGCTGAAGGCCAGTTGAACTGATCCCTGAAGTGTTCTGCACATCGATCCAATCCCCTGGATTGAGAATGTCTCTTTTTTCCTCTTTCCAAATTTATTTTACTGGATTATACTCTTTAAATAACGTCTTCAAACCCTGATGTTTCCGATTACTGCTTATACTCTTACCGCCTCTACCACTACGGGATCTGAACGGACAACTGCATCTCCGTGCTAATGTGGTGTGACAACTCGAACTGATATACGTACGTACGAAATTCTACGTTGTTACTGACTGACTACTGACTGTTATGTTAAAATAGTTACACAAAAAATATATGAAAGTAACTATTTAACAACAGTTGGATAGAACTGGAAAGGAAGGCTTAGGACAGAGTGGGTTGGAAAATGCTAGTCGGCGGCCTATGCTCCTTTTGGGTAACAGGCGTAAGTGAGTAATTAAGTAAGTAACTAATTACATTTCAAAAGTTTATATTGTTGATCTTGCCACTGGTGGATATGTATATTGAATCATGGTTTTATAGAGAAATTTATTAAAATCTGTAGTATAATGGAGTGAAACGAACTTATATATTTTAGTACATATCATTAACGAAGTATAGAAGTTCCATGTTTGACCATATGTCTAAACTATTAATGAGTTTTTAGGTATCAATGCCATAGTTGGACTTAATAGTTTTAAATAAATTGAAGGTTGACTAGAAACTTAATACTGAATATTTATTTTGTGATATCTTAATAAGTAGAAAATTGTATTTCTGATGTTTTGTGACTTAATGTAAGCCATTTCTTCAGAGTTAACAAATAACCAAAATAAAATTAACACATACAAACAATTGTTTCCTACTCATTGGAATATCACAAAAAATATACTTATTATCATCTCAAAATATGATGTTTAGACATAACTTTATGTAAAAACATACGGTTCTGATATCAAATGTGGATACTTTAACTTATGTACTTTTGTGTCAAACCCAATATTTTTGATAACTAATTGTCGGATATTCAAACTTTTATGCTTCAATAACCTTATCCTTCTTCATTGATAACATTAACTAAAATCTATACTTATCACTATAAGGTTAAATTTATTCGAAAAACTACTAATTTCATTGTCATTAGTAATTCATAGGATTTGAAATAATTCCAAAAGAATCTAATATCTTCACTAATTAAAATAGTTTGTGACCACTCGATAGCAAAGTGACTGGCAAGTCTCCTAGAACCCGTTAGAAAACTCATTTGTAAACATTCCGTACATGATACTTTTGAATTTATCGAGCACGTAAAAGAAGTGAATGTACGTGACAAAATTATGCTATCTCTGGATGTCGAATCATTATTCACTAATGTTCCACTCACAGAGACCATTAATTTTATCTGCAAGTTCATAAATAATAAGGAGATAAACATTGAAATACCTGAGGTTTATTTGAAGGAACTATTACTACGTTGCACTTGCAGTGTACAGTTTACATTCAACGACGTAATTTATAGATAGAAGGATGGTATAGCAATGGGATCCTCACTTGGTCCATTACTGGCAGATTGCTTCATGGCCAGTTTAGAAAACAACCAACTCAAAAGAATTATAGAAAACCTCCACTTGTTTTAAAGGTGCGTGGACGATATCTTTATCATTTATGACAACAAATGTGACTTAAGTGATCTCCTAGAGATATTTAATAATTGTCATCCATCAATAAAATTCACACTTGAAGTTGGAAGCAAACAAAATATTCACTTTCTTGATGCGGAAATGACAAGAAAGCAAGATGGTATTTTAAAAAGAGCTATCTACAGGAAACCCATGTAGAATTGCCAACTATCAAATTTTCACAGCTAGGTTCCCATCAGCCGGAAAAGAAATTTAATAATAACACTCGCCACAAGAATACGAAGAATCTGTAGCCACGAGGTCGTAGAGGAAGAATTAGGCCTTTTAAAGGAGATACATATCAAAAACGGGTATCCTTCGATGTTCATTGGTGAGAACATGAAGCCGAAAACACCAAAAACACAAATAATTACAGTAGAAAATAAAATTTTATACATGAAAATCGACTTCAAAGGTGACGGAGCCGCATATATCTTAAAGAGGAGAATTTCGGATTCTTTAAAAAGAACACTCTTCGCAGCAACATTGCGAATATTATTCTTCAGCCAATCATTGTTCACCAATAATCTGAAAGATAAATTATCGCATCTGACCAACTCAATGTGCATTCACCAATTTACCTGCTCTTGTGGAGCTAGGTATATAGGTCGTTCGATGCGTACTTTATCCAAAAGAATTCAAGAACATTGTGCGGCGTGGCTAAAAAGAGGAGGCAACGGCTCAATAAGAAGTTCTATAATCGAACACCTTGTGAACACAGGTCACTCAATCAAGACAGATTCTGCGTTCAAAGTCATCTACAAGGTAAGTAGAAGCCTTCCTAAGACAATTAGACCGCATCTTCTTTGCATTGCTGAAGCAATAGCCATACATTTTGAAAAACCAGAATTGTGTGTGCAAAAGAGACTGGTACAACCTCTTCTTCTACCATGGTCTTAATGTGTTGTAATTTTTTTCTCTTTTTCATACTCTTCTTCCTTTACAGCCATCCGCTTCACCTTTCATCTTCCCCTTAAATCCCCTACCTCCAACTGGTTTATTTTTGTTTCCACGATCATTCTTATTAGATTGAATTTCGATTTCAACATTTTATCTTATCATGCTGAGCCATCGTTAAAACTATTATTAAACTTTCTTTGTTTTAAAATGTTTTTTTAAACCTTTGTTTATTAAACTCGCCATGTCTATCAGTATTGTTATCATCCTATAAAAATAAGTATATATAATTTCTATTGTACAGCTTTGAAAATGAATTCGCTGAACTAATCTTTCGTATTTAATGTCTTAATGGGTGTATTCCGTTTATCTTGTGACCACTGAGGAATGTTAATTGTTAGATTTTTTTTATTTATTTCACATTAAGATTTGTACTTTTCATAAACCAATAAGTGATTACTAATATTTGCAAGACTATTATAATGTCAAGAAAATATTTTGTTTATTTATTATTATCAGAAGGGTTTTGTGGATATTATAGTAGTTTCAATGGTTGAGATCATGAATCAATTGAAGCAAGACCACCATGGAAAACCTGGAAACACTGGACGGCAGGTTCATCCTAGTATGGGACACCTCAGTAGTGCGCATCCACGACCTCGCCTCGAAAGATTTGAACCTAGGATCTATCAGTCTCGCTCGCGAACGCTTAACTACTTGACCACTGCTGAGGAGTCTCACAGTAGGAGAAACGGCCGTCCAGTGCTTCCAGGTTTTCCATAGTGGTCTAGCTTCAATTGACTCATGATTTCAACCATTGAAATTATCTATTATTAGTTGGGAATGTCTTTTACACAAATGTATAAATATTGAATAGATACGATATATATAAGTCAGTTAAAATGTCATAACATTTTTGTACTAAATGTCAACCATTAGTGAAATTTAAACCTTAGTATTTTTTGACTATAATGCTTTCTTCCAATCAATCTAGTCAATTTAACTAAGTAATATTATTCTTTGGTGCTCTTTACTTTAGAAATGAATGGTTTGAGATATTTGACGAGGCAATTGATCTTTTATACTTACTGCTACAAATTAAATAATGTTTACGACTCATAAAGTTATACTTTAGGAAGATTATAGGTCAAAAAGTCCTGTGATTTCATGACAGTTAATGCCACTGGGTTATTAAAATATCTTAGGGTAGTACAGTCAATGATAAAGTATTCCATTTGGATCGTTTTTATAAGTATTCTGCATAGCTTACATATCTTTGTATTGAAACTAGAGTGACTATTACTGATTACAGTTTTTTTGTTTAAAAAACTGTGAAATCCGATTTTTAAACAGAATAATACTAATAGCATAAGTTAAACTAAACATTACGCACTCATCCCATGGAAGTTAGCACATACAAACTGTTTTCATATATTGTATGTATATATTTTAGCATCTCTGCATAAAGTCACTAACCAATTTACCAATGAAATGGCATTTAGTCATGCATAAAATTCAACGTTTCAATAAACATGCTCATGGAAAATTGACGATACTCAATGCACAAGGTATAGAACTACTGCCTGATTTAGATGGTTACATTAATGGAGATTTTACAGAAAATGATGATAGAACAATTCATCTTGAAATTAGATTATGTTCAAGTAAGTAAAATTAAATTTTTCCACTGGAAGAAAGTTACCTTCAAAGTAAACGTTTTTTTTTTGTATTTTGTACATTTTAATTGAAATAATAATTTTGTTATTCGATAAACTATCTGATGTTGTGAAACGATAATCTGTCATCAGTAATGTTTAAAAATGGATCTGCTATTATCACATCAGGTAATCTCATTATTTTAACTGTTGGAAGTTGGAAATAAAATTGTCAAAACTAATTAGATGGTGGAAAATATTTGTGGCTCAGGTGGATGATTTTGATGGACTTTTATTCTTTGAGCTGGATGGTTTGGTCGTGGAGCTCTCATCGCTCTTCTGAACAACATCATCGGCACAAACTTCAGGTAGAAGTGAAATGTTTGAATTTCCCCATATGTGGTTCACAGCTCGTCCTGTAGACCTCGATATTGATTGGTTCTTGTTGACCTTAAACCTGTCATTGTTGACTTCTTTGTTTTGGTTGTATCTCCATCGATTTGATTTTTGTTCCTATGTTTGTTTATAATCTTTCGGATTGGTTGATAAATTTGTTGAGGTCTACAGGACAAGCCGTGAACCACATGTGAAGAAATTTGAACACTTCACTTCTACCTGAAGTTTGTGCTGATGATGTAGTTCAGAAGAACAATGAAAGCTCCAAGACCAAACCATCCAGCTCAGAGAACAAAACTCCATCAAGAAAAGACTAATTAGCTTAAAGTAGAGAAGTTACTCATTATTACTTCTTACCGTTATACTCTCTGCATGAAAGTTATTTTGTTTTTTAGTAGTATTTGTGTCATAAACTTAGATATGTTTTTTGTTACCGTGAATGCCCAACAGTTATTTATACCTGCGTTCAACTGTATGTAATTTGATAGTTGATTTTTAAAATCATCAAGACATGTCTAGTCTCAGTAATATATAACACTATCTATTTTATTCATCATCTAACCATTTATCGTTGGATTATTTAATAAATATTCAATGAACTCAAAAGATCGAGTACATACATATTCTGAATTAACTCATAAAGTTATGGTGATTGCAAGTTTCAATTTCAATGTTGACGTTACACAAGCAGTTTTAACTATCTCCTTAACACTTTAATTCTTCCAAACTAAAACATAGATCCTAAGTAATTATACACATATCATATATTTGTAAATAAGATAAGGACTTATAAACACAGTTATTATGACACATTATTAATATATCCTTCTTTCTAGATAAACCAGGATCTTTTAAGTTAGAACTGCCAGTTTGTTTAACATTTCCTGAAGATTTAAACAGTGAACAAAGTCCAAAATCTAGTTCTTCACTTTATAAAACACTTCAAATTCATATTGAGTTAAGTAAGTTGGAATTGAAATTTGAACCCGAAAGAATATTGATACCACCTATTCCCACTGGAATAAATGTTAGAATACCAGTCAAACTGACAGCTTATCAAATAAATCAACCAATTCAAATATTTGGATTTTGGAATTTTTCACCAATATGTGAAGCTCAATCAATTAGCGAAGAAAATATTCAATGTCCATTTGATATTGAATATCCAGAAGGTCAAAGTAAGTTTTAAAAGACTGAATAAAATTATCGATCAAAAATATCTTGAAATGAAATAAAATCTGTTTATGCCTATATGAACTAAAAGCATCTACTGTTAAATATTATTTTGCATACCGAAAACCATCAATATATAAGTGATTTGTGTGAAATTAGTATGTTTCTCTATCTGTAATGCGATAATTATTACTCTAATCAAATATTCTGAAATGTATTACAGAACTTACTTCGTATACTACGAAGCAATAGGTTTGTAATCCGGATACATTTCTTATTATTGATTTCAAATTAATAAACTAAAATTCATTAGGTTATACTAACTAATATAAAGTATGAAGAATAGAATTCTTGGCTCGATTAAATTATGCATTTTAAAAATGCTTAAGATTTTCAGTTGAAATGTAACCTTTTGTTGATATTGTGTTCTCTGAGTTTGATAATTTAATTACAGTTTCCATTTTTATTCTGGATAACACCTTCAGAGCCTACTTCCACATGATGTTCAAAATGGCAATGACCATTTAGCTTGATGAACACAAAATCAAAAACTATTTGAAGTTTAGTGGCATTAAGGAGTTGCATATGTATATAAAGAGGAATATTCAAGTCAGATCAACTTAGATTATAGAAAAAAGAAAATGTTGTTTTGTGGCACATAATAACAACGGTCAATGATTCGTCTTATAGGTAGTTAGTTCAGTAGGTGAGTTTAAGTATACTTCTTCTGGTTACATAGAAAACAATTAATAATATTGATACCTTATAATTCAGACGACACATATTACTGAGCAAGAAATAAGCACCGTTATATTTTTATCTGTCTCTTCCTATTTCTACTGACTAACTCATCACTGTCTCTGATTTTTCTTTTCTTTAATAATCTACAGTTCTAAAACCAAATTATAACTCATCAGTTTCTGATACAGGAAGTTTAAATTTATGTGTTAATTTTAACTGTAAATTAAATGGTCTTGTTCTTGCACCCAATCCAAGACCATTATGTTTAATCATAATTGCGAGCATCAATAATTGTGATAATACTGAAGTATGTTATTCATCAAGTAAAAGTTCAAGAGATCAATTTTTATCATCACATATTTGTTCAGCTGCCCTACCTGTTAGTGCAGCTGTTGATAATTGTCTGATCAGTTGGTTTGATTATATAACACGTCGACCGAATGAGTTTAGACTAACTGATTATCAAGTAAGTTAAATGATTGTGTATGATTACAATTTAATAATGTCGTTTTCGACGAAAATAGCTTTTTATCAAGGACTAACATCTGATAAAAGAGCTGAAGATATTTTTTCAGATGTAATCTACATGTTCGTGAACGTCCACAACTTAAAGATTTCAAATATGAAAAAGCATTTATCTATGGTTCTTCGATTAATATCAGTCTTTGATGACGATATGATTTGTGATAAGGGTGATTACATTTAATTATGACTCGGTCTCAAGATATCGTAACTCCTTTTACCACTTAGCTCCGGCTACTGTAAAAGACAAATATTGCAAGGAAGACATATTCGCAGATATCAAAAAAGATTGTTAACAATTAGAATTCGTCTCGTTTATACAAGTTATATTTAATGGCTATTAATAAAAGAGGTTATCATAAAGGGCAATTGTCACATAGGTTTAATGCTGTGAAGCGTAGCCATTAAGCGTAGAAGATATTCATAAGCTACTAGTATTTGACCGCAGATGCCTCAGAAATATTGCTGGCATCTGCTGGGATCACCGGGTAAGTGATAGTGAGGTTAGATGCAAGGTAATGGGGGATGATGGTAAATCAGTTGACGAAGTCGCAAATCTTTATCGACTAAGATGGTTGGGCCACGTGTTGCGTATATCTGAAAACCAATTACCACAACGCGAAATGCTGACTATTGTTGGGGATAGTTGGAAGAAAGTTAGGGGCGGCCAAACCAAAACGTGGCATCAGTGTTTGAAGACACTAAATTCTGGTCTAAGCCATGTTGGTAGATGCAGACTACTTGGTTGTGGTCCGCGTGACTATCGTAACCAATGGTTGGAGACTCTTGGTGACATGGCTCAGAATCGATCACAATCGCGTCGGTGTATACACTCTCTGTCTTCCCTTAAACTTTGAGATTAAAATCACTTCATATCTTTCTTTCTACCAACTAATTCATTTTTCCTGTACCATATACTTTCTTCTATATATTACCATCATCGAATTGACTACTTCTATGAATTCGGTGTTCATCATGTTGTGTAGATGAGGTATGGCAACTTGGACCGATGCATATATATGCCTGGTCCTACGTTGTAGCTGACTGGCTGACTGAATAAGAATGAAGGCTGTAATGAACTTATATATAAATCAAATTAACGAATATCCTATTGAATCAGTACATCTGATTTCTTCCAAATAAATATGACGTGGGAGTTTAACGTCATCAACACACAACATTTAGTTATTCTCTACAAAATTCCACCAAACTTAACCAAAATAAGAATCTTTCCTTGAAGTTTAAGTGTGCTAGTCTTTAAGCAGCCAGTAACAAAAATTGCAACCATGAAATACATTTGACGTTATCTCAACCAAATGAAGAGTTGCACAGAAATGAACACACAAACTAAAGAGTAGATACAACGACTAATAAAAAATCGAACCAAACACATTTTACAGGGTTTAAATACATCATTATCGAATTCTAGGCTCTGTTGAATTAATGAACAACACCAATATAGAAAGTTATTAAAAAACAGATTAAACTGTCATGAAAAACAGACCTACATGTTACAGTCCTTGGAGTAAATGTAATCCATACCGTCCAGTTACACTTTTCAAGTCATATTTCTTAATATTTTAGTATATCACTGCCATGGACATTTTATTTCGATTCCTTAGTTTTTTCATTTCCCTACCATAGTGTGATGTGTGATGAATGAGATTGATTTGCTTTTTTTTCCAAATCCTATATCTAATATATCTAATATATATGATCGACTTCATCATTACTCATGTTAACTTGTAGTCAACGAAACTATTATTACTGACAACGAGTTGTTGCTTGATTCCGTTATTTTCAAACACAAATTTTTAATCAAACTATGGAAAATATTTAAAACAAACTTATATTTTACATAGTCGTTGATAATTTTCAACTTGTCTTATCTATGCCCATCCATAAACTACTGTACATAATTGCATTACATAACTAAATAGCCATTTCATTCTAATTTCTTTCTTTTTTTTTCCTAGTATCTTAGAAATAAATTGAACGAAATAAAACTGAATCATAACCTAAACATTATTTCACTATATCGCTTGTTTGATGAATTAAAACTTTCACAGAAAGAATGCTTAAACTTAGAGAATATGTCTTCTGATCAAAATTCTTCAGTAGGAAGTAATACACATTGGAACACCGATCAAAATTGTTTAAACGGTATTAGAAATGCACGAAATAACATTTTTGATATTTCAGAAAGTACGTTTATTACTTATACATGACAAATTTTATTTCGAATAAACAGAAATATGAAAGATAAATATGAATAGATTTATATCATAAGTTTCATACATCATTGAATAGAAAAGTAAAAATTTTCTAGAAATACCTTTATAAACCCTAAACAGTACTGAACTTTGATTATTAGTATGGCATAAAAGATAACTTTAGGGATCTGTTAAAAATCTTTCAGACAACTTGGTCGACAAAGATTTGTGATCTCATTACCACATTAAATAAGACATCATCTGCCAATATAAATCAGCTTGAACTAATATTCAGCAATAAATATTCCATTATTGTATATAATGATGAATGTAACTTTATGATCGTCCACTCGCATTAGGGCTTTTTTTAACCAAAATCTCCTATCACATTTATTTGCATCTAATGAGAGCACTTACCAGATGCCATACGATGTGCACCCGTCAAACATAAGACAATACACTAAACTAGACTAAATCGATGACTATCTTAATAGTTATGTTTGTAATGCTGACTTCATACACCTGGGTAGTTTTATTAACATTGTAAAGTAAGTCGATGGTATTTGGTTTTAGGTAGCTAAAATTTAACATTTTTTATGACGTCAGCGAAACATGACCAACATTGGTACACTGCACTGCAAAATATGACTGTAAACTGTGTCCCCTAATTATCCTACTCAAAAAGCTATAAGTCCGCCCCAGGCACTGCGTATATTTATTAGAGCTTTTATTGCTGTGGTCGGGCATCATATGAAGTATCCAGATCATTTATTTTTCATAGTGAGCTTCTGACTTCTAGTAATTGGGTTGCGAAATAATCCTCAATTATGGTCACAGTGAATGTATGTTTTCTGTCTTCATGCAATCTAGATATTCATATGTTTCGAACCAACAGCCGACATCATATATCGCATACTGTAAATGGTAACACAGTAATTTAGATACATGTTCTATGTAATACTCTTTATGACTCTAAAACTTCTCACTGAAGTTCATTTATTTGTTTCAACTCATTTTACTCTCTTTCACTTTCGTTTACGACCCTCACAGATCATGTGGTACCTCAAATACTTGAAGCTTCTTCGTATTATTTATTATATTAGCCATATATCGTATGATGTAAAGCATGAGTGAACGTTAAGCTTACACTCCTTAATTGATTTGTGTTAGATAACCACCACTGAATTTTCTCACTAATGTATCAAAAATAGTGATCATTAATTTACCTATGCAATTCTTTGATTCATAAATTCATTGGCATATTTTCTGTATAACAGGTCCATTTATTCATGAAGATCACTCAAAAGACTTTGAAGATAACAATGAGATGAGGTAACTACAGATCATTACTTTATATGAATTAACTTTTTTCTATCAACAACATACCATTCTTCGTGTAAACAATGCCTGTTTTCTAGTACTCAATAATCGTAGGCCTCGAAAAGTTACACTCTACAGTGTGTGGCTTTATTTGAAGTTATGACTATTCCCAGCCATACACCTTTATACTTCCAATATCATACATTTAACACATTCTGAAAAAAATTAGGCTTGGATCATACATCTGATATTGTCTGGCAACTGTAAAAAGTGTTGAATTTTTAATCAGAGGCTTCAATTATGTTTGGAAGTAAAGTATAAATGTATACAGCTGATAAATCTCATGCACAACCTAGATATCTATACTTACAAATTATGTTATCAAGAAAACAATAAGTGAATTAATTAGTCAAATACATCTGAATTTACAAAGTCGTATTTTTTCAAAAAAATATCTGGTTGTGAAAGGTCATTTTCTTTTGTTAGTTTTGTTTAGCAATTATTTTGTAAACTTACTAGACTATACGTCCGAAGTAGGTAGTTAATCGTTATATTCATGAGAATCCAATTGATATCAAATTTTTAATAAGAACAAATGATCTATCCCTTAATTTCATGAACATTTACTTCAAAAACTATACTATTTACTCTAGGAGGACTATTATGATATCGTGTTAGTAAATTTTAAATCCCTTAGAGATATGATGTCAAGTAACAACATAACAAACTTGAACATTTATTAATCAATTTCCATCTTTAATAAATATTTTTACTAAAATCATAAACTAATTGTAATCTGTCAATTTATATCACAATATATGTCGTTAATAAATTTACATTTTAATCGCAAATGATTATTTTCATTTTGTAAAAAAAGTACATTTTTAAGCAAAGATAGATAGTGACTAGCAGTGGAATTTAGAACGCGCATTTCGTCCCATTTGTGACTCATCAGCTGGATGTACCTGCATCTTAGAATTGATGTTCACTCTGATGTTCATTCATTTCTATTGATTCATTTTCAATTTTAGATTATCTCCATCTACAATTTCTTCAACAATAACAAATTCTTATGAATCATGTTCATTTCTACCAGACTGGCAATTAATTGATCGAACAGCAACAGAGCAAGTACAACGTTGGCTGAGTGTTCATGGATTTCAAAAGAGTCGTTATCAATTTAAGTTTCCAGATGATTTTAGAAAGTAATAAATTGTGTATTTCACTTTTTTCAATTATAAATTATACTACCTAAATATTTTTTAAATTATTAGAATTTATTATACACTTATAATCAATATTTTCTGTTTTAAATGAGAGATCGACAAAATAAAGTTTAAAACAATACATAACAATGTTAGAGGAAGACTTTAAAATTCATAAAAACAATCTACAATTCTCAGAAGGGATTTCGTGGGATTTTTGAAATTTCACTGATTGAAATCATGAGTCAATTGAAGCTAGACCACCATGGAAAGCCTGAAAGCACTATACGGCCGTTCCGTCCTAGTATGTGATAAGTCGTGTAAGTTGAACGCTATATACAAATCCTAAGCTATTCCCGTAACCCGCAGACTAGAACTACACAGCAACTTGAACTCCAGAGAGAAGACACAAGTAGGAGAGAAAACACTTTATTCCCAGGTTCATTCTAGTACAGAAAATCAAGGGTATTTATAGATGTTGGCGTCTGTTAAATCACCATCTTATTTCAGCCAATCCGTTAACGTCATATTATACTACCGACCAATGGTAGCACGCCACACTGGAATTCTCGAACGTTCCATCATACTCTGATTGGCTGGGACCTTTTGGCTCCTTTTTGGGCCTTTGGAGGCTCCGTTGAAGTTCTCCGGAAGCCGACTCAACAGTGTGGCACTCCTCGGCAGTGCACATCCACGATCCCGCCCACCCCACCCCCGAGATTCGAACACAGGACTTATCAGTATCGTGAGTGAGCGCTTAACCAGCTAGACCACTGAGCTGGCCGGCATCCAATGGTGTTAATGTCTAACTTCAATCAATCCACGAAATTGTGCCACCGTACACTTCAGTGAGTTGATATCTCACAACAGACCTGGTTGAACTCCGTCGGATGCCAGCTTCAAATGACTCATGATTTCAATCTGTGAAATCTAAAATTCATCAAAATGTCAATTTTCCTTATACCATTATAACTTGTTATAATCATATTAAGTAACATTCAGATAATGAAGAAATTTTATCAAAGTTTTTATAGACAAATTAGATAGTTATTTTTTTACAGATCACTTACACACTTTCAGATTTTCAGGATTAGTTTTCAATTGATCCTCCAGTAATCATCACCATATAGACTGGTACAATGTCTATGTTGGCTTAAGTCATCATACCACAAAAGTACAACAGGATGAAAATAAAAATAAATAAATACTAATCGATATCAAAACAATATAGTAGCATTGGTTATGAGAAAGATTGAACATTTGAAATATGGTTAACTTACTTTTCATTTGTCATCTCCCTTCACTGTTGTCTGAACTTTCTCGTTTACATCTTAAAGAATATATGACATGTGAATATATCCATTCAACTCAGCAATATCATTGATAACTTATGATCATATTTAAATTTATCAAATATTCTCATCAGTTATTATTATTTATTGTTTATTTGTTTTGCAGTTGTATATCATTGACAACTACAATATTGAATAAATCATTATTAGGTGAAAAACAAAAATCCTATACTATATCTCAACAGAATACAACAATAAAAGAATCTAGTCAAACTAATATGAAACATGAACTAAACAATATTAAATTGAATATTGATAATATAAATGAAACAGTACCATGTAGCATTAATCCATTGTATAATTGTTTATTACATCTTTGTGGTAATAAACAACCACCTGGTCTATTACCTACAATTAATTTACCAATAAATAATCCTTATGAAGCTTTATCAATTGTTTATTTTTATTGTTCTTCATTGTTAACATTTGCAAGAAGGTTAGTTTTATTTTTGTGGAGTAGATTGAGTGATACTGTTATGACTTTATGTCCGGCTTTTTACCACGTGATTTATCCACCAATCAAAATACGACTTATACAATCTTAGCACTGTGTCAAACCAATGACGTTCGACCGGTATGAGCAGCCTAGCGTCCTTATCGGTCCTATGTTCGCCTAGCCCGTCCACTTGAGTCCAGAACACCAATACCAGCTTCCCCTATGCACATCATATATTTCAAACATGCTGTGTTTATATATCAACCAAACAGACCGCAACGCACCATAAAATAGGGAATAATATTTGTACACAATAAAGCCAAAAAGTGGCTATGAACGTGGGAGGCGGTAATTAATAAACTGAACATAGCTTAAGAACAGTGAATCGTATAAGAATAAATGATAGGTCGAAATAAAGCTTATAATAACAGGAATATAAATATACATAATCTAATTATTGAGTAGTTATACCATAAGAATGTATAGATAATATTAGTCAATTAATATGTCTCAGAAGTTACTCGTGATTTAATCTTCGCTCGGATATAACAAATACCGATGTTGTTTTTTCTTATCTGATGTATATATTATCTTTTGTGTGTGATAATTGAAATCATCTACAAATTTGTATGGATTGACATTATAAAAGTTTGAAATTATGTATTAGGTGACTGAAGAAAAAATTGCCAGAACATTCTGGATCTAGGTTTCTAAATAATTTAGTACTTATCAGAAGGGGACAGCTTGAATTTTGAGAGTATTTGTGTTGTGCATGGAATTAAAACTATGTTATTTAGTGTTAGTCTTTGAAATTATCGGTGACACTTATTATCAAGTGTGACAATAAACATCTCTCAAGATTCTAATCAAACCCTACTGACTACCGCCAAATGGCACATAGCATATTTTACGGTTTCTTACGGACTCCTATGATCACTTAATATAAAATGCAGTGTATATTAATGTCCATCTACTAAGTTTAGTGACCTAGTTCTATCATGTTTCGTAGAGTTTCTTCAGCACTACAAACTAAACAACAATGTATTAAATACTATTCAGTGATGACTCCATGTATACAGGAAGATCATAGTGATAAAGTTGACCTCAAGTAAAACATAAACGTCGTATAGCACAATTAATAAACGTTTCTGGTTAGATTACGTACAAATCAATCTTTAAACATTTTTTTCAGTAATTAGTTATGTTTTTCACTGACCTAAATTTATTCTAGCATTTTGTTGACTTCAACAAATTGTTTTTTTTTTTAATTGGTCAAGGGATCATTACTTCAACAATCATCGAATGATATATATTAATAGGTCGATCCTAATAATTCCTCTGGTTAACTATTGCTTATTACATAGCGTATCACTTTTTTCAATGAACATTGTTGGCGGGTTTAAAAAACATCATCTATTTTCTATGAACATATATTACTGTTGTGTGTTCTTGTTTTGAATAGTATGATAATAATTTTGTGAATTGTTTTCAATAGTTGACAACTAAACACGTTGCTCGTTTAGATGCATAAAATCTTCAACTATTCATTTACATATGGTTCTTGTCATAAATTAACATTAATTGGAACGCAACCACAAACTACAAACTAATGGACTCTTGTATATTTCTGTCTAAAGAGAATCTCATGAATCTACGCTAGCCTAAGTTCAGGGAGTTTTGATATGGTTTTGAACAGGATATCATTGAATCACTAAGTAGAAATCCAATAGTCTGCATTTTTAATTCTAGTCAATCTAAACCATAGTGCAACTCATTTGGAATATTTCAAAATTATTACTTCTTCTTCATACTGTTAAGCCTATGAAACATATACATTTTTGCTTATTATTCCTAATTATATTATTTTCTATTTTAGTCAAGGCAGTTGTCTACCTCATATCTTACCAGAACATTTAATGGAACCGAATGATTATCATTTATGGCATAAATATGGATGTCCAGGTTTAACAGAATCTGCACGTACAGTGTATATATCATTATCTCAAAAAAACAATATCATAACAGTAACAGATTGGATAAAATCACAAAAAATTAAAAATGATAATCAATCAAATGATGATTTAATAAAAATTGATATAAGTCCATTAAGTGAATCTGAACTAGATCGATTTTTAATAATATCTGAAAGAGCTTGGACAGATTTAATAATACAACTTATTAAAGTAAGTAAGAATAGTGGTTTATTATACATGTTTCGTAACAGATATTAAAAACCGATATTCCTATTATTGATTTTCTAATATACTTAAGTTTTGTGATGCATAACATTATTTTTACTACCTCTCGTTAATCTTCTTCATGGTGCTTTCTTGTAGCTCTCTAAAAGATTGTCAATATATGTTAACAAGCTAGTTTTCACTTTAGTTAACATCCTTCAGCTAAGTTTATCTTTAACCTTTAGGGAACCAAGACTTCATCCGCGATTTAAACTCATGTTACCTATTCTAGTTAGAGACGTTAGTAATGAGGAATTCCGGTATGTGTTTTATCATGTGCAACTCAGATATTAACATAGAAATCAATCACATGATAGTAATCAATGATCAGTCAGTCAGTAACAACGTAGAACTTCGTACGTACATACATCATTTTAAGTTGCCATACCACATCAACACAGATACAATTCTCGATTCAAATCCTATAGTGGTAGAGGTAGTAAAAGTATAAGTAGTAATCCGAAAGATTTGATTTGAAGATGTTATTCAAGGAGTGCAATCCAGTGAAATAAATTCGGAAAGAGAAAAAAAGGACATGAAGAATTCAGAAAATTAGAATTTGGGAGAACACAAAGAGTGAATGCACCTGCATCATTGAAAACAATTTTGAGCCATGTCATTCAAGGTCTCTAACCATCGGTTGCTATCATCTCGCGGTCCCCAACCAGGTAGTCTACACCTACCAACATGACTCAGTCCACTTGTCAGTGACTTCATGGACTTGTGCCATGTTTTGGTCTGGCCGCCCCTAGCTTTCTTCCAACCTACTTCTATACCATAAAACATCGCACGTCGAGGCAGTCGGTCGTTGGGCATACGTAACACGTGTCCCAGCCATCTCAACTGATGAAGTTTCACTACTTCATCAATTGATTTGCCATCCTTACCTAGTACCCGTTTCCTAACAACTGCATTACTTACTCGATGGTCCCACGATATACGAGCAATATTTCGAAGACACCTATGATCAAATACTAGTAACCTACGAATATCCTCTACTCTTACCGGCCATGTTTCACTGCCATAAAGTAGGACGGAACGAACTGCTGCGCAGTAAACCGTCCTTTGGTTGATAGACGGATATCTCGCCTACGCCATAAATGACGCAAGTTGGCAAAAGCTAGTCGAGCCTTCTGTATCCGTGCTGAGATTTCGTCACACACCAGACCACAAGGGCTGATGAGACTTCCAAGATAAGTGAAGCGGTCGACACACTCAACTACTTCACTCCCTATCACTAGTTCGGGTGTCGATGTAACCCAATCCTGAAGCAACATTTTGCATTTCGAGGGGGAGAATCGCATCCCGAACATGCTTGCATTGTTGCTTAGAGTGGTCAGAAGACTCTGCATTTTGTCAGCGTCTTCACCAAATAAAACTATGTCATCAGCATATTCTAAGTCAACAAGTGAACCTCCCGGTAGAAGTTCAACCCCTGGAAATTTAGATGAGGAGAGTGTTATCTCTAAAAGTACGTCGACGACAAAGTTGAACAAGAATGGGGAGAGTGGACAGCCCTGACGAACACCACTTGAGGTAATCAATTCTGATGACAGTTCGCCATAAGCTCTCACTCTACCAGTTGTGTTCGAGTAGAGAGCCTTTATAAGGTTAATGTACTTCTTTGGTACTCCTTTCAGTGACAAACACTGCCATAGAACCTCACGATCAACAGAGTCGAATGCCGCCTTAAGGTCGAGAAATACTACCATTGTGGGGCGTCTGAATGTGTGTCTGTGTTCTAGAACCTGACGTAGTGTGAATATCTGATCTATACAACCACGTCCAGGTCGAAAACCAGCCTGGTTTTCTCTAGTCTGCTCTTCACGAGCTTTGTTAGGCGTCGAAGTATTATTGAAGCTAATATTTTAGACACTATATTAGTCAAACTGATTCCTCTGTGATTGTCACAAGAGGACTTTTGTCCTTTCTTATAGACTGGCACAATCAGTGATTGAGACCAGTCAGATGGGATTACGTCCAGTTCCCAAATTCTACCTAAGACCTCAGTTAATCTCATTGCTAATACTGGACCACCATCCTTAAAAATCTCAGGAGTAAACCTGTCAGGGCCTGCTGCTCTCCCTCGTTTCAGATTTCCTATGGCTTTTTCAACTTCGTAAAGAGACGGAGGACCTACATTAACTTGCCATTCAGGTTGACTGGAGATCGTGGGAAACCGAAGTGTGGCTGAAGGCCAGTTGAACTGATCCCTAAAGTGTTCTGCCCATCGATCCAATCTCCTGGATTGAGAATGAATAATATGTCCATCTTTCTCTGAGATTGTTTCGCTAACGGTCGGTTCCTAATTCCGGTTTCCTTAACGAGTCTGAACAATTGTCTGCTATTACCTATTGCCGCTGCCTTTTCCATCTCTCTTGCTTTCGCTACCCACCACTGTTCGCGATCATTGCGTAGACTTCTTGTCAGCTTGCGCTTAAGCTGACTCCGCTCTTCATTATGTTCAGAGCCAGGTGGAATGAGTTTCCGAGCATCTATCAGTGCGATAGATGCTGCTGAGATCCAGTGTTGCTCCCTAACCTTCCGGTTTACCTTACTAGCAGATATCACTGCTGTTTCCACAGCTTTTCGGATATCATTCCATGCTGCATCGGGGTGGGCATCACATACATGGCTGCCTAACTGTTTTCCTAGTTGTTCCTGAAATATACTCTTAGCTTGACTATCATTAAGTAGGCCCTAAGAGGTTTCCTTGCAGCGTCTTTCCTACGTCCAGTAAGACGCAAGCAAATACGCGCTCGCACTAGAGCATGATCTGAATCTAGGCATGTGCTCCAGAATGAGCGACAGTCTTCTATCGAGCCCCTCCATCGGTGGCTGATAGCGATGTGATCTATTTGGGTCCAACGTTGGGACGAATTAGGGGGTCGCCATGTTAAAAGATGTTTTTCCTTATGCTTAAAGTTAGTATTTGCAAGGAACAGGCGGTTATCTGAGCATAGCTGCAACAGACGGTCGCCATTATCTGTTCTTTGAGCCACGACCCATAAGATCCACCTAGGTGTCTTTCCCTATCGCTTAGTTTACCTACTTGAGCATTAAAGTCACCGGCCACTATTACTACATCCGAGCGCCTAGCTTTTCGGAGAAGGTCGAAAGCTTTCTGTAAAACTCATCTTTTACATCATCTGAGCTGCAGTCAGTGGGAGAATAGGCAGAGACGACGAAGAGGCAACGACGAGTGTCCCTATCTTTCCGGATTCTTACTGTTCCGTTCAGTCGGACAGCGCACAAACGACTGTCTACTGGGATCCACTCTAAGAGAGCTAGTTCTGCCCTAGGACTCAATGCTATACCTACGCCGGCGAGGCCACGGGAAGCAGAATCAGGGCTTCCAGATACACGAAGCGTAAATCGAGTCGGTTCTTTATTTTGGCATGGTGAGGTCAAATGAATGACGCTACTGGGATCCTGTATGCGCGTTTCGGAGACGCAGCACACATCGATGGCGCGAGATTCTAAAGTCCTAGCTAAGGAAGCCTGCTGTCCTATTTGGCAAAGTGTTCGTACGTTAAAAGCTCCTACGTGTAGTTTAGAGCGTGGTTTCAGGAGACCAGGAATGGCGTTCCACGTACTCGAATCGTTTGCCCTAGCGGTGCGAGGTGATAAAGAGACGTGAGGAGGGTTAGTCATGGAGATAAGAGAGGTATTAGGAGGTGTAGGAAGGATTTGAATGTGACCAACTTGGTCTCTTGTGCTGTTACGGGTATGAGGGCTGATGTCACTTCCCGGCTGCCCACACCGTGGAAGGGTATTTCTTGAGGAACCTGAAAAGGAAATTGGATTAGTGTTGGTCTTGACGACCTGGGAGCGTGACCGCAGAGCCCAAGGGACAACTGCTTGAGGCCGGTCGCGCACGGCCTTTTTGTGGAAGGTTTTTAACGTGTTAGCTCCGTTCTTCAAAGGGCCTTACCGCCGGAGACGGAAATCCGTGAGGTAAGGTGAGGTGTGACATTTTTAGGGTCGACCTTTTCTAACCCCACCCCTCCTTGTGGGAAGGCAGCATCGCTGTCATGCTGGTTGTCCGAGGGAAACACCTTACTGCTGTCACACCTCTCTACAGTCAGCAGTACGACTTCGCCCTCAGACCTTGAGTTGCTGCTTTTAGTCTTACCGTTCTCCAATCGACCTGCCTGGCATGGTAGAACCTACAGGAACATATGTTCCAGCCAAAATAGCTCGGTAGGCAAGCCCGACCACTGCGTCAAGGTAGCAGCCTCGGTCGGGAGTAATCAATGATACCATTTCTAGATATCTGTGCTAATTAAGTTGTATAAAGTAGATCAGTAAAAGCTTATGAATTACTCAAAACAAAACGAATTCTTATTTTCAGTTTAGGGGTTGTGGAAATTGTTAAGATTTTAATTGAGATCATGAACCGATTGATGTTAGATCTCAATCGAAAACTCAACAATCCCCAGAACCTCTAAATTGATAATAACCATGCTCACTAGTGACTAGCTTCGTGAGAAAATTCTCGGAGTTCTAGTGAGAAGCCGTGACCAATCGAGCTAATCTGCGTCGGGTAGAAATAGGTGTCTACCTCAGTACAATAGAAGATTGTCGAGCAATTTCGTGCATTGGTTGAGGTTAGCCATTAACATCATTGGATGCCGACTCAGTGGTCCAGTAGGTTAAGCGTTCACGCGCGAGACTGAAGGCCCTGGGTTCAAATCCCGCGAGCGGGGCCGTGGGTGCGCACTGCTGAGGAGTCCCACAGTAGGACGAAACGGCCTCCAGTGCTTCCAGGTTTTCAATGGTGGCCTAACATCAATCGGTTCATGATCTCAATCAAGAATTCTTATTTGATGAAGAAACTATTGTTTAGTAGATGCTGAGATAAATTAGAATTCTAGATCCACTTAACTCAAAATAGTACTTGAAGATCATTGATAACTATCAAGGATTTTGATCCAGTTTTTATTTTTGTTTATGGTCAGTATTAGTAGCATTTAACGTTTTGCAACTAAAATTAAATTATACTCATCGATTCTCTACTTTCATACTTTCATTCATAATATTTTAGTGTTTTCTATTTAATCATATAACCATCAATTCACTGGATACTATTAACTTACCACCAAAAGATCTTTTATTACATAAAACAAATGAATTGTTGTCATCAACGCCAACAGTTTCACAACAATCTTCATCACAAAATGAATCAAATAAATCGGATCGATTAATAAAACATACAGTTCGGTTATCAGATCAAAGAGACAATGTACAGAGAACAAGATTAACCAATTCCAATGAAATTCAAGTGAACAGCTGTTACTCATCATGTGAATGTATCTTATTGGCCTGGTTAAATTATTGTTATCATCAGTATGCATGTCAATATGGCCTGAAAAGAAATCCGTATTTACAATAATAATTTGATTGTTACTAATTTTGATAATGATTTATGTGATGGAATTATATTAGCATGTGCTATCGGTGCATATGTGCCTTGTCTTGTTAGTTTAATTATATCATTTTTAATTTTCTTTGGTCATAATTAGCATTGTTTTATGTTTTAATGTTATCATGGCTTTTGTTCCCAATTATCTAGAACTGTTATGTTAATCAAGATAGTAACCTGACATATTTTGATGAGTGAGTAAAGTATTCCCGACCTAGAAGGTAGAGAATTATGTTATTGTTTCACAAACACAATAGTTCAACTTTAATTGATCTAATTAATGCATCAGGAGAAAACGGAGGTTTGATCTTTGCCAAAACGGCTTTTACTAAAATTGTGAAACTTAGAACATGACATAATTAATTTGCGATAATTTTTTTATCAGTCACTTTAAAGAACATAAATATACAGTAATGGTCAACTAACCAATAAATGAAAAGCAAGTTCACCATGGAAAATATAAAGTATCAATTCAGGGCAGATGATTAGCATACAAAAGTAAGGACTTAAATTATGTGATAAAAATATAAATAATGTAGGACCCTTCTAATACGAAGATTGGTATGAAACCGCACGTTTCAATTTCGACTAAGTTGAACATTGGGTAGATTTTACTAATAAAAATAATATGTTTGTCTCAGTGAGTAGAAAAATGAAACTTTCTGACGTTTCGTGACTTAGTGTAAGCCACTTCTACAGAGAATAAATAAACGAATTAAATAAACTCAAAATTCATTTGGTATTGTTTGCTTGAATCTTTCCATTGGTGTTTAGTAGTGTAACTGAACAATCTCTTATTGGCATATGTGCATCCTGTACTGACTACCTCGATAGTGCCTTAAGTCACAAGCATTATCAGCAAAGATGGATGGTGGCTAGCAGTGGAGGCAACCCTCACAGGATGCACATATCTCAATAATAGACTGGTCAATTGCAGTCCTAAACATCAATTGGGAAGATTCAAGCAAACTATACAAAATGAATTTAAACTTCACCCCATTTTACAGGCAAGTGGCTATCAGGACTCAGTAGCTGAGTGGATAACATGATGGTGTTTGAAGTGGATGGCACTAGGTTCGAGTCCAGGAGTGAATATCAAATCTGAGATGAAGGTACATTCAGCTAACGAGTTCCAAATAGGACGAAACGCGTGTCCTGGTTTCCACTGCTAGTCACCATTCATCTTTAAATAAACCCAAGTTTAAATAGTACCAAGGAACGAAGCAAAAATATTTGGTAAGATCAATCAAAAAACAGGTGAAAAATATGGCATTTGTGATGTAAAATGATGGAGTTGAATTTGTATGTATGATAATATTGTGAGATGTGAGTAGAAGCAGAATTGGTAGCTCGGATAGATGGTCCAAGCCCAAGCAAGGCCTTCTTTTCTATTAAGGGCAGTAGGATTTAGGAACATATAGAAAGCTTCAGCTACTCGCCTTTCTTTGTAGTTGGAAAGGCTTTTTACATCATTTGAATAATGTCGACTTGATGGTTATTGAAGATGAGAGGCACTGCTATTTCCAATTCACTTTAAAGCCTTTCAAGTTCTATAGGATTATTAGGTGGATTTTTGTGTATCTAAGATATTCTTTGACTAGATCTCACGATTTCACAAGATGACTCTGCAATGTAGAAGGCATCACAATCGGTACACCCTAATTTGTAGATGCAGTTCTGTGATGATGTATAGGGGATCTTATATTTCATACGAGACAAATCATCTTGAAGGGAATGAGTTGTTTTGTAGGATGCTTTAATTGTGTTATCTTAAGACTCTTTGGAGTTCTTCTTTTGTGCCATAGCGGTATGGTAAAACTACGGTACCAATCCATGGTATTTCATCTAAGCTATTACTCAACAGTAAGTCACATCGTTTTGTTGCGTTTCTAATGATATTGTAAGATATTGCTTATATGCTTACTCTGAGTCAAGAGACATCAGGAAATTTCCTACTCACTGGGAAATTAAAAATATATTATTCATGTTTTAATGTTTTAATCTCGTACGACGCACCTGTCAGAAGTAGATGGGTATTTCTTTTAGAATAATGTCACTCATGGTTGCCACTAAAATAGACTAAACTTTTCAATTGTAATAGTACATTTTATCCGTTTTAGTGTTTAATGCAATATATATATGTAATTATCTCAACTTATTATTAACATTGATGGTGATACGACGATTCACAGTACTGATATTTTGAAATTTTTAGGAAGATGAACCAAATTAACAGTTGATCACAATGTTATCAGATTATTCTTGACTAACGTACATACCATGATCAGTTCGCATTTACTTGCCAAATAGTGAAGAGTTGTAGCTCAGGTGAATGGTTTTGGTGGCATTATTTTCTCTAAAACGAACAGATTAATTATGTAGTTGTTAAGTTAGACAACATTAACTGCTCATATTTTTACACGAGAACAATATACCACTAAGAACATTAAGTTATGGACCATAGATCAAAGGAAATATATAAACTATTACTAGATTTACCGTAGCACTAAGCTGATAGAAATTAATTAATTTAGGTTTTTTGTTTAGTAAAATTATTATTTCACAAAATATTTTTTCCGTGGTCTGATCTCACTAGTTTGCCAGTTCCTAACATCTGACTTATCCAGAAATGAAGGGAGAAAATATCAGGGACTAGGTAGAAAGCTTTATTACCAAAGCTAAATATTTGTTTTTTAACTTCAGATTTCAAATGACTAGAAATACATTTATCTGACCAAGCAACTGAAAACAAGGGGCGAATAATACAGGCTTTCTTGAATCAATAACGTAAACTGTTTGGAGCTAGACGTGTAAACTATTGAATTACGTCCCAATGGTCTGAAGACCCTATAGACTCTGAAAGATTAATAAAATAAAGTGATGAAATTGATAATTTCGCTCACAGGACAGACTCTAAAATCTCAACAAAGGTATCAGCCTTCTCAAATCCTTTCTAATGAGTATAAGCCAGTACGAAACCTTCGTCCTGTTGAATACCTCAAGCTACCCATCATCTCAGCAAAGTACACCCAATATTAATTCACTCAGACCAGTGATCACACTACAAATTCATCAATGGAGTTTGGCTAACATTAAAAGACTAGCAAAACGTGACATTGGTCACTACTCAGTGATCAGCCGATTGTATGTACAAAGTATTCAGTTGAGATAATACAACAATAGGCTAGCTATCAATTAACAATTGACTCGCCGAGGATGAGAATAACGGTCACGAAATAGTTAGTGATTATTCAACTCCAGTCATCATAACAGAAATGCACTCACCCAATCCTTTTATTGAAAGATCAAAACACAAACAAGTTTAATTCAATGATATTTAATGTTTAATAATTTTCCGTTAACTTTTAAAAGCGTGAAAATATTTTATGGCCTTTGCACTACTGTTATGATTTTAGATCCCCAATTACTTCTCCAAAATATACACACAACCTAATTCAGGAGAACAGTGTTTTCATAACGCGATTATTTTAGTTCAAGCACTAAGAATGATTCATTTTGAATTTGATTTGAGTCCATCTGATATAACAAGTCCACATCCATTCGGTATGGCGTTATTATGTTTACATTTATTTTGTCAGTTGCCGGATTATTTACCGAGACAAACAATAAATTTTACAGGTAGGAATAAATTAGCTAAGACCCATGCTTGTTACTATATATATATATATATATATATATATATATATATATATATATATATATATATATATATATATTCTTGAACAAGGTTTTAAAAGAATCAGAGTTTAGTAGTCGCTAGCACTAAAAACCAGGATATAGATTTCGTCCTACCCTGGCCTCGCCAGCTGAACGTACCCGCACTCTAGTGTCGACCTCCACACCTGGACTTAAATAAGATTATACATAAGCCCTGGGTTCCACTACAAAACACTATCGAGCTCCGCTTCAAAATAATTGTGATTTAATGGGGTAATCGAGGAAGTCCTCTCATGATCCATACAGGCCAAAATGGACTGACCATTTGAAGTTCTTAACATTGAAAATAAAAGATTCAAACCTTTTCAAATGACCACCATTGAAAACCTGGAAGTACTGGACAGCTGTTTCATCCCAGTATGGGACCCTCAGCAGAGAGCATCCGAAGGTCCTGGGTTCGAGTCCTATGTGTGGGATCGTGGATGTTCACTGCCAAGTAGTCCCATACTAGGATGAAACGGCCGTCCAGTGCTTCCAGGTTTTCAATGGTGGTTTAACATTGATCTATTCGTGATATCAATCTAAACTCAATAATCTCCACAACCCTATACCGATGACTAATATTTTTGATTAGTAATTTTTTCAGAATATCCTATTCTCTCTTCTACAAGAAAATATCATTTTGATTTATAAATTAATATGTTAATTCAAATTTGTTGTCAAAAAAGTTTCTAAAAGAAAGAACATCCTATTGAAATAATTTCATGAAATTTACTTTACTGTTTACCTTCTTTTGTCGATTTCAAGGTCTTTTAAATTCTACAACTAAACGTCAATTATTATTTACCAATACAAGTTCTCAAATGTTAACATATTATTGTGTAATAATTGGTCCGAACGCAAATGATTTCAATTGCTCTATTATAAATACATCGAATAAAATTACAAAACGCGAAAACAATAAAACAAATTCAAAGAAATTGGATGTTAATGAATTAAAACGTTTAACGAGTGATAATTACATAAAGCTCAATGATACTAATAATACTGACAAGTTGTATAATGATGTTAAAGAAATGAAAATGATTATACCACAGAAAGGAAAATTACAAATATGTCTTGAATATAAGTAGGTTTGCTTGTATGGATGAATGTCACATATACAGACCTACATATGTTCTCAAAGTAGTAGTAGTAGTAGTAGTAGTATTTATTAGTAATTTGTTTCAACAATCAACTCTTTAGTGGCATAAATGTGAATTATCTGGCAGTCTACTTTCCTAATCAAGATAAGTTTTTAGATTGGTTGGAACCATAGTCGTTGAAATTAGTGAATTTGAACATGTTTACGTCTGGAATTACTTCTTAAAACTATATGAATATCATCTTAAATAGACACGACATGCCGTATCACTTTATATGGTATAGTTTCAAAACATCATTTTTTGTGGAAATTCACTATCGTTAAAAAGTTATACCCTTCAGTTCATTTCTTCAAGGTTTGAATTGACTATATCACTTATTTCCGATTAGCACTAATATAACTAAACAAAAGTCACATCAGTTATTACTTAACCATATAACGTAAATACCAGGTTTTCTACTGAAAAAGACTATTTCTTTAAAGTCCTGACTGATATTTATTAGGTTTAGATTGATATCATGAATGGAACAATGTTAGACCGCCATTGGGAATGTGGGAACACTAGATGGCCGTTTCTTCCTAGTACGGGACTCAGCAGTGCACATCCACAATCCCGCACGTGGGATTCAAACTCCAGACTACTGCGTTAATGTCTGACTTCAACCAATCCGCGATATTGCTCGACTGTCCACCATTGTTTTCAGTGAGTAACAGTCTCACGACAGACACTATTGAACTCCACCAGTCACGGCTTCTCACTAGAACACCAGGAAATCCATCTTGAAGCCAGTCACTAGTGAGCACATGATATTTACTAATTTTTTCTTTATTTCCATACCTTCTTGAGTTTTATTCAGAACTCATTCAATTTTATTTGATAATCAATTCAGTTATTGTTGTTGCTATTATTACGAATCGTTGAATATCAATCTTTTCTTCTAGAATTTTCACATTATTTATCATATAAACATTCTGCCATTTGAATACCTTTGACATTTCTTTCATGTTTGTTACCGTTTTATCAATCCTTATCAATGAGAACATTTCTGATATTATTATATAAATTATATACACTGATTTCTAATGAATAATACTATTATGTCTAGGTTCTATGCACGAAGTAAAGTAAATCCAGTTTATTCTGCCACATTTGTTATTTTTTGCTCGACTCGAATTTATATTTATAACACATACTTATTGTCTTTGAATATAGTAACTCATTATTTATAACATCTAGTTCTCGTATGCTAAACTCAAGTGATTGACAGACTGATAACTGATTCAATAAGTTTGTTAGCTATGATCTTTAAGAAGCCAGATTTATCTCACATACAATTGGTTCCCTTTATGAATTTAAATAGAGCAAGAACAAACATTGATGCAGAATAGTATGAATTCATATTATTTCGAGGTTTCTCGTCAGCTGCTTACAAACCAAAATTGTAAGCAGCTGACGAGAAACCTCGAAATAATATGAATTCATACTATTCTGCATCAATGTTTGTTCTTGCTCTATTTATCTCACATAATCTAATAATTTCGTTCGTATGAATAATTCCACTATTTTATACATTTTTACAAAGGTATCATTACTTTTCTTTACTAACTCATTGTAGATCACGTTTTCTTAAATTAACAGAAGCTGTATTTTTAGCAGTTTCACAACGTCAAAATGAATTACAAGGTAAAACTGTATCATTTATACTTTCTGGAATTGTAGGTGGACTTGATACATTAGTAAGTGATTGAGATAACTATATTTTCTTTCTACCAATTACATTACTTTATTTTACGTTGTACGTTCATTAGTTTGTTTACAACAGAGTTGAATAAAAAGATCACTGAAACATTGGTTTTCCAAATAATTACAAATACACTTGTCCGATAGAGTAATTGCAATTATGAGATGAATGATACAAAACTTTACGAATACAACATATTCAGATCATACAGATAGTTATCTTTAAGGAATTCATAAACACCCGTTCCTTTCCAACACCCTAGAAGATGATCATGAACTATCAAAAAATCGTTCCTGTCAACTAACCTCAAGTAATTGGATGTTTTACGTATATCTAACCACCGCCTACCTCAACTGAAAATGGTTATTTGAGTGGAAGTACATCGGAAAAAAACTAAGAGCGACTAATACAAAAAGTAACACCAGTTCATGAAGTTACTAGCTATCGGTCTAAGTCATGTAGGTTGATGCAAACTAATTGTCTGGAATCTGAGCCACATCAGTGGTTGGACACTGCGTGATATGACTCGGAATAACTCGGTAACAAATTTGTAAATCATACTAACGTCATGGATTTAGTTTTCTTATCCCTCAACTAACATGATTTTGTTCATCCTACAGTGCTAATACTTCGCAACTTATTACAATTTATTTAGTCTATATTGTGTTACGTTATATTCATTAGTCCCTCAACTCACTAACTCGTGATGAAAATCAACGTAATTTGATAGTTGCATTCATGAGTCAATTGAAGTTAGACCACCATGGAAAACCTGAAAGCACTGGACGGCCATCCCGTCCTAGTACGGGACTCCTCATCAGTGCGCACCCACGATCCCGCCCCGCGTGACTCAAACCCCGAACCTATCGGTCTCGCGCGTGAGCGCCTAACCTCTAAATCACTGAGCTGGCCGGCATCCAACGGTGTTAATGTCTAACTTCAACCAATCCACGAGCATAATTATTAGTTGGGTAATATATAAAACATTTTGTAAATAAAAACTTTAATCATTTATTGTATTTCTTTTTTTTATTCAACAAAACATTTTGTTTTTAACTCCAAAAGGCAAAATATTAAAATTCTCTTTCTATTCTTTTCCTTTACGTATTTTTTTTGTTAGCCAACTAAAATCATTAAATCACCTTGTTACCAAATGGCAGAATTTAAAATACCAATTATAAATCCATACAAATTAAGTGGTACATTTAATATTAAAATAATTGAAAGTTGTAATGATTTATTCAATGCACTATGCCAAACACAAGGTTTAAATGGAAAGAAAAAAGAATTTACTTCAGGTAATTTATTATCTACTGGAACATACTCTGCGACAGAAAGCTCATTGGATCAATCATCATCAGATAATAGTCAATTACCACCAGAAATCATGAAAGGTGAGTTCATTTTTTATTGAGAATACTTCATTATCATGAACTTGACATTTATTAGAAGATTGATAAGATATATTGGGCATACTACCAAGTAACTTAACTAGGGAGTGAGTGAGCGTCTGCAAGCTTAGTTTGGAAAGGGCCAGACGAAGATAATATGTAGCGCTATCTTAGCACACTCGGTTGACTGTGGTCATATTGGAAATAATATTAAGTCATTTCGAGTGATCTGTCATAAACCTTTATTGTTTCCTAATGGATTTTGTTCACGTCTCCTATGGAAGCAATAGGAACAGGAATCCACAATCGTAGCCAATGTATTCAAGAAAAGCTTGTGACGCCCTTATCCGTCACTTGGCTGGATGTGACTTGATAAAGGCTCGACTAGCTTTTGCCAACTTGCGTCATCTATGGCGTAGGCGAGATATCCGTCTATCAACCAAAGGACGGGTTTACTGCGCAGCAGTTTGTTCTGTCCTACTTTATGGCATTGAAACATGACCGCTAAGAGCAAATGATATTCGTAGGTTACTAGTATTCGATAATAGATGTCTTCGAAATATTGCTCGTATATCGTGGGACCACCGAGGAAGTAATGCGGTTGTTAGGAAACGGGTACTAGGTAAGGATGGCAAATCAATTGATGAAGTAGTGAAACTTCATCAGTTGAAATGACTGAGACACGTGTTACGTATGTCCAACCACCGACTGCCCCGACGTGCGATGTTTTATGGTGTAGAAGTAGATTGGAGGAAAGCTAGGAGCGGCCAGACCAAAACATGGCACAAATCCATGAAGTCACTGACAAGTGGACTGAGTCATGTTGGTAGGTGTAGACTACCTGGCTGGGGACCAAGAGATGATAGCAACCGATGGTTAGAGACCTTGAATGACATGGCTCAAAATTGTTTTCAATGATGCAGGTGCATTCACTCTTTGTGTTCTCCCAAATTCTAATTTTCTGAATTCTTCATGTCCTTTTTTCTTTTTCCGAATTTATTTCACTGGATTGCACTCCTTGAATAACATCTTCAAATCAAATCTTTCGGATTACTACTTATACTTTTACTACCTCTACCACTATAGGATTTGAATCGAGAATTGTATCTGTGTTGATGTGGTATGGCAACTTAAAATGATGTATGTACGTACGAAGTTCTACGTTGTTACTTACTGACTACTGATTTTTTCACATCCTATATTTCTCTGTTATTTTTCACTATCCGATTGTTTACTCAATTCAAATTTCAATAAATTTTTGTGACTATTATTTAAAAGTTTGTTTATTCGAGTTTGACCTAAGTTTTATGTTGAACTGCTGATCAGAACTTTGTTATTCACTACTAGTACACCTATCTTCGTACTATCAATTTGTCCCTTTTATTCATTATTTATTATCATGGAGTCTGTTATTTTGACCAGTGACTCATTAATTGACCTGACCGTATTAATATTTTCATAAACTCGTATAAATACTCAAATGTACTACAATAATTCCTGATTATAATCTAAGTGGAAACAATATGGTTCGCTTATGTGTATCGTTCTAATTTTCTCAGTGAGGATCTCTAGTATTTTTGTAAGAAATGCACAATCATTTTTGTAATACTGTCTAAAAAGTTGAATGCTATCGTACTCATCTATGTAACCTGAGGATCAAGGGTTTTGGATAGAATTCGATGTTGGCATGATAAAATAATGTAGGATTTGACAGATGATTGACTCATGAAGTAGGAATAAGAAGATCAAGTCTTCTCAGTGAAATTTTTTCAGTAGGAATGACTTATAAAAGAGGCAGAAGGATAGAACGTAACACAATAAAATGAAGGGACATTATATACTTCTTGTTCATCTGTGCCACTGTCGAACCAAGCACATTGAGAGAACATGATCGTATGACTGATACAAATATAATCCGTCAAATGAACCTATTTGATTCATCATAAATCAGATTCGATAGAGCTAAATTGGTGTTTTGTGTAATTCTACACAAAACGCCTTCGACCAAATAACAATAAAACACATTAGTCTGCAGATTATTTATGGAAGTCTAAATATATACACATGCATAAGTATGCTGTATGACAATCTGCTATTTGAAGCAGTCTTGAATTATTAAATCTTTCGATGAAATATTCGCCAACAGTTTACTAAGAAATTCACTAATTTGTCAGTTAGTAGCAGTCAATCTCTCGTATGATTGCTGTGTTAACTGGCTCAGCATTTCCATACAATTCGTCTGACAATCGATACATAGGTCGAAATCCGGATTTCTTTATACGTGGAACTAGTCAGCATAATGCATCTACAATTTTGAAAGAACTGACATTATTCATACTATTTAGTCCTATATTAATACTCAGTGTCATAGTGAGTGATAAAATTAAACTCAACTGTTTACACAGCAAATGGTCTTCCCTAGAACTAATCTACCATTTAGTAGCGAGTGATTCCATTTGATCTGTTCCAATCTTAACATAAAGCATCAGCCTCCTCAAGACTGCAAGTAAATCTTGATAATCAGTATTGACTGACACTAGATCTAGGTCTAAACCATCCTTCCAACTGTTTACAAAGATTCAACATGTAACAACATCAACGTAATATGTTGGCTATAATTCTGATAATCATTTTAACTATTTCAGAATACTATCAAAGAAATCAATATCAATCATTTCATTGTCGTGAAAATATCATTAATCTACGTGGAACTACCAATGATAATTGGACAGATTCACATGTTATAAAACAATCAGATAACAAAGTGAAAATTAGGCAAAAACAACAACAACAACAAACAACTGATGAAAAACAAAATATCAAAGAATTATCAATTATTTATTTGCCATTAGGATGGGTACAAGAGAATGTTGTTTATTATTATCAAATGAAAAAATTGGTGAATTTGTTATCCTGTTAAAAGGTATTGCTCAATTACCACAACCAAGTTTATTACCATATACTGAACAAAAAGAAAGGGGTTACCGTATTAAATCTGCTGTTGCAGCTGCTTGTAAGTACATTACATTAAGTAGTAATGAAAAGTACATTGTGTGAAATAATATTTATTAGAATAATTATTTATCAAAAATTTTATTACAATTCCCTATAGTCAAGGAACTTGATTTTTTGACCATGAAATTTCACTTTTATAGTCTAATACATGTAGTTTAATCTTCTCAATAATATTGCTCAAGAATTAAGCCTAACAATCAGGTGTTAATTGCTTTGAGAGTGAGTGAGTGATCTAATTACTGGCTTCCTTACAATACACAAACCTGTTATGAATGAAAACTAACTATCAGTGGAATTGTGATTTTAAATTCTTTGCATTTAACCATGTTACTGTCTTCTTAATATTGCTATGTTTAAAGGCATTACGAGGTCACCTTAATCTGAGAACGGAACGAAAACTCAGTGACACAGTGATCAGATAAACTAACTATTTCGATGCGTTTCAGCCCTGATAACTAGAGACAGAAGTCCAGATTCAGAAGTGGGAAGATTTATCCTACAAGCATTCAGAAGTACAAACAACAACAATAAGCACAACTCAAGCGTATATCTAGGGTTTAAGAATGTCTTTGAAAAGCGTTACAGGATCGCATATCAAAATGAACAACGAACCAATGACATTTAAGGTCCTACCAAGTGGTAAATATGATATGAAGATGAAAATGGGCGCTTTTGGTGCAAAAACAAGAATTTCAATTTTTCAAAATAAAATTACAAAAATAAGACATTTACTAAGTAAATTCTAGGGATCTAGCATCCTCAACAGGTATGATAATGAAAATTTTAGCAACTTGAATCAATTCCTATTTTCTCCCATGTTCAGTGTTGTTAATAACCACTGACTGACTGAGTTATTAAAGAAATTTACTCCACTTCTCGACCTTACATTAGTTTCATTGAAGGAAAAATAGTTTATTTTTAGTAGTACGTTGAAATGATAATAATAATCTATTAAACTGTTTCATACTTTTATTTTAAAGCTTTTGGACGATCAGGTGATCCAAATGTTATATATTTCCGGTGTCCAATAAACTGTGAAATAAAAGAAACATTATGGTTACCAGTAAAAAATGATTTACGTCGGACAGCACTGTTAAATGCTATTCATATTCGACTTGCACCATCAGAATTAAAGCGTCGTCAACTAGCAAATACACTTGAATCAGATGAATTACTTGAGTTGGCTAATAAGAGATTAATATTACATAATTTTGATCAAAATTCATCGGACAAAAAGTTAAAACTTCAGGTATTTTCTACAACAGTATTCAAAATATTTTTTAGTATCAGGAGTTTTGTGGACATTGTAGTAATTTCAATTGTTGAGATCATGAGTCCAGCTCGAGACTGATAAGTCCTGGGTTCCAACCCCGAGAGGCGGGGTCGTGAATGAGCACTACTGAGGATTCCACAGTAGGAGGAAACAGCTGTCCAGTGCTTCCACGTTTTCTATGGTGGTCTAGCTTCAACTGACTCATGATCTCAACTATCGTGATTACATCTCAGTCCTACAGAAGGTCGGTCGCGGCCCAGATAGCTCAGTGGTAACGTCTCTGACTGTGAAGCTAGGTGACACGGGATCGAATCCGTCAGGGATCACCAGTTCCCCAAAATTACAGGTACACCTTGCCGATTAGTGCCAAGTAGCACGAAACCCGGATCCAAGGTTTCTTGTCGACTACCTCCAACCACTATCTAATCTCAACATAGTGCACGCACTGTCGAGTCACCTAGACTAGTGGACACATTGCAACTTGGTTGATGGCATCCGATCTGCACTAGTAAGGACTTGACACACATGACATTGATCACCACCCAGTGATCAATCAATTGTGAAAATAGAATATATTTGAACACAAAATTACAGAATTTCTTAGTAAAAATCATACAGTAAATACTTAATATGCAAAATGTCAATCAATTGTCTTAGACTTGACTGTTCCTTCACTTTCATGCCGATCGCTTTCTGTTCCCGTTCTTTCCTTCTCGATCTGCTCTAACTTCTGCTGCTGAATAATCTATTCCTAACTAGCGTTAAATACTACTTATGTCGATATAAGTAGCACATACATCACAATACTCGGTTTATCTATGATTAATTTAAGATGAAAAACTTAGTAATGTAAGTTTTAATCATATCCCGTGTTCACTTAAATGTTCTGTAATATATAAAGTTATATGAACTAGGTAAAAAAAGATTAATGAAGTAAATTCTGGGTAAATCGGTTTGATTTATATATACATTTCGTATCGAATCAGATTCTAAATGTTTAGTCTTTCTCATTATCATTACTAGTGTGTCTTTTAGACTTTTTTTTTTGCTTTTCATTTTTTTGTCGTAGTAATGTAACATGGAAGCTTGGAATAACATGCGATTTCTCTATACTCTCTATTGATTATAATTGACAATTTTCCAACCATTAGTGATTAGTATAGCAAGGGTGTAAATAAATTTAATAGACTGAATATTGTAAATATGTGATGAAAGAACATTGTGACAACAGTTCAAACGGTTAGAAACAAATAAACCTTGATAGGAATAAAATGAGTAGAGTTCAGTTGATAAAATAAGATAGTTGGAATAAAACTCAATGGTGTAATAAATGCAAGAAAGAGTTTAAGGAAAAAGAAAAAAAAATTGTTAAGATATAACGAAGGAATATTAATCACCAAGGCAAGGAAAGATTAATAACCATCTCCTTTTGAACACATAAATCAGGCTTTTGGCGCCTGATAGCAACTGCTTCAGCAAACTTCAGATGACTGGAGCTTCTTAATACTATAAACAAACTGTAATTGACAGTTTAATTTTCTTTGTCGTGATAAAGCAAATTCATTTTATTTGACTTGAATCATTTTCAAAATAATTGTTACTACTTTATACCTGTTATGCAACGGATAGTTTTTTTTTCAGAGTCGTTAGTACTTATGAGTAATATGTATAAATATAATGCCCATTTTGTATTTCATTTAATTTTAATAATAAATATGTTTTCATTTAACTCTTACTTATATCAGGTTTTCCCCTTATTTTGTTTTCTTAAATATTCTTAGAAAAGATTACATATATCTCGATATCTGATATATAGTGTAGAAATTGATTCAAATATGATCAAAGTCCCACCAAAAATACATGTGCCAATATCTGTGGATTTAGGTAAGAAAGTGTATTAATAATAATGAAATATTCTTATTTGACTGGTAATATTCATGATGTAAATTTCATTTTTTTGTTGTTTAAAATTGAACTGGTTTCAACAGTTTGAATCTACTATCGTTTTCTAAATGAAATTACTCTGTTTGGTGAGACTATAATTTATGGACAAACTTTGAGCAACGCTAGACTGACCTTGAGAGTGTCCAATTAATAACCAGGACTAAATGAGGATTATGAACCTGTGTGAGGAATTGAAATTATGATTTATAGTTGATGATTAAGTTTAGAAATCAGATTTAGGGTTCTCATCATGAACTGACATCAGCTATAATGTCAAAACTCTATTTATCTAAATGGATGAGTGAATTTCGCGCCGAAATCCGAGACCTGTTATCTTATACCTGATTGGTTCGTCCATAAGTTATAGTTTTGCATATACCATACAATACTTCTCATTTAAATACTTTGTTCGTCATGTTGAAACCTTGTTTTATGTAAGCTTAGATATTTACCATAAACTTTGAAAATGTACCTTGTTTAATTTGCTATTGAGTGATTTCTATTCTAGTTCAAATTACATCCTAATACACTTGCTTATATGTTGCATACAAATTTGCTTGTAGCCATACAAATATTCTCATCTGATCTTGAATTTACTCGAACCAAATTTGTATCATCGGTATCTAAGTCATCAGATATTTTCAATAATTAGTAGGATTGCACATCAAAAGAATCAAACTTTCAGAAAAAAAACCGTCCTCCTTTACAACGTAAATGGAATTAAGATTGAGGGTTGTCTCAACATACTGACAATAGTAAATAGACTGCTAAAAATAAGAAAGCAATGAACAGTTGTTTCGCTTTGAGTTTGTATACTCCAGTAGTGTTTCTCTACAACCGTAAAAATGGATTCGGACTCGTGATCTAAGTGTTTTACAGAGAACACAGTACTTCCTAACTATTGAGTCGAAGTACAATGTTTCGCATGTTCAACTGAATAAAGTTATTAAGCCAGATTATGCGAAACTCACTCGAGATCACCTATTACTTTGTTCAGTTCACACATCATAATCTCTTAGCAGGACTTCGGAAATACATATGAAATCAGATCACTAGTAAACAAGTGATTATTATTAGTTCAAGTAGTTTTTGGAAGATATTTTCTAGCAAGCACCCGTGACCAGTGAAGTTTAACCGTGTCAGGTGTAGGGCAGTTGGCCACCGAAGACAATGGTGAATGATCGCGCAATTTTGTGCATTGATCAAAGTTAGACATTAATACTGTTAAATGCATACTCAGTAGTTTACAAGTTGAGCATTTTCACACGAAACTGAAGGTCCCTGGTTTGATTCCCATGTTCTGAGTCGTGGTTGCACACTGGATAGGAGTATGGTGCTTAGATGAATTGGCCGTCCAATACTTCCATGTTTTGAATGGTGGTCTAGCATTGGTCGGTTCATGATTTTAGGGAAAATAAACAATCTCCACAACCCTATACTGATATTTCTTCATAATCGAGAGATGATTTCCATCACATCATCATATGTTTTCACAAATCGAGTTATCTTGGATATCAATACTCAGTATCTCACACAGTTTATATAAGGTAATAAGATTATTTTCAACTCAACATTTGTAATTTTGTTTCAAAGTTGTCTAGTGAAAATACTTAAGTTTGTTGAAACTTTAGCCAGACGAAAGCTCACATCCTCAAAAATAATTTGTACTTTTATTAAACCTATGTTTACTTATGTTCTAGATTGTCTATTTTGATTTTTATTACCCGTTTAATAATTTTAACAATTAAATGTGCTATTAAGCTGTTCTAAATGTATTGTCCTCATTCATATCCTATTGTTTGATAAACTATATCGTCTCTTTGCATTATTTAAATTTATCAGAGGGACTATTTATTCGTAAATAAAATTTAACTGATCTAGTTATCTATCTGATAATTGGACATTTAATAAGCTTGAGACTTCTGTTAACTAACAGTATTTTGAGGGATATTCAGGCCTATCTTTCCTCAATATCCTTTCGGTACTACAAGGTATTTTTTTAACACTCGCCTGTAAAAGTAAACCGAAAACATCATTTTACGAAGACAAAAATGAATATTACACTATGAATGTACAATTGTTGTTAAAGCAGAATAAACATGGCGATATTTAAATTGGGGATGAAATTCGGTTGTTTTTCAATCCTACATTTGTTAAAATGAAGCAACAGTTTAAGAAACACTAATATTAATGACTTCTTACTTCTACTTACAGATTCTGATGAAACATTTCCTCTTCCTCTCAAAATCTTTGCTGATAAACCCGGTTTAACTTCAGCTAAACTGGTAATTCAAGGTCCAGATGATATACGACTCTATCGTATTGAATGTGTAGCTTTACCTGGTAATGAAAAAATGGTTTTGACTTTCACATCACCACTAAATCATCCAATTACTCAACCAATACCGATTGTCAATAAAACAGCATATGATTGGGAACTATCTTCGCAGTTTATTGGTAATCCAATATGGTTTACTGGGCCATCCATCATAAATGTCCCATCGAATACAACAGTTCAATATTCTATAACATATTTACCTAGAAGAGAAGCCGAAAGTCAAGTAAGTTACTGCTCGTTTATACTTATTTTATAAATACACATGATTTTACTCATAATTTACTTAATACATAGCAGTTTGGAATAGGATTTAAATGAAAGATTTCTGTGTTATGTTTTCAAAGACTCAATAATTAAATGCAATGAACTTTAAATTCCTAAGTCTTTTATGTTCTAAATAATTAAAATACGAAGTAACACGGATAAATTGCATGAAAACTTTTTGTGATGAGTGGTCTTAAAATATTTTTAGACTATCATGAACGGTCAAAGACATCAAGTGGGAATGGCTCTAATACAGATGTAAGGAATTCACTCATGGGTAGCAAACAACGAAAATTAACAGGTGGTCGTCAAAAGTGTTTCCATGAAAGTAATATCAGCGCAAGTTTTCGATAAGACGAAACTGCATCAATTGATAACTTCACTTGACATCAACTCTCGGAGGAGAGCACGAACTATGAAACCACTAGGTATTCAGCTAATTAAATCTTAAATAAATCTTACTTTCTACTGTATCAAGCACTGAGATTGGAGTCGAATTGAAAACTGACTTTAAAACATGATTCGCTTTTGTTAAAACATTACCAATTGAAGACTGAAAGAACTTTGTGGTCAATATCGCGGTTAACGTCTGATGCCAGTTTCTAAGTCGTTTCTGCTGTAACTCGAGCAGTAACTTTAATGGGTCAATCGTCAGAGAAATATTTCAAATTTATCCCAGTTTTCACTTGATATAACTGAACAAAGACACTGCTGTAGCTCAATTCAAGAGAGAAATCAAAGATGATAGACAAAGATTTATTTGACTCGAAACATGAATCACAATTATATCCGAACGCATAGATGTTTGATATATTTTACATACATTGACCAATAGTTTGATCTGAACAAAATAGGTAGCTCTAGGGATTAATTAGTCAGTAATTTAACGTATGAACACAATTTGCGGTGTCAATAAAATGAACTGCTATAATCAATAAGTATAACCAATTTACCAAGTTACTTATTTACTCTTTCCTAATGATGTCTGGAATAACATTGTTCCTTTTAAAACTCACTATCTTCATTTTAGTCAGGCAAAAATCAAGACATTATTAACACTTATCCTTATCTTCTTTGGTTTCACGATGAGAACTTATACAAATAGAATTAAGCAGAACTAAAAGCTACATTCATTAAACTTCTTGCTTCATTCTATGCTATCCATTGTGTAAGATGCTATTTTTAACTGGTGTCTGGTTTAAGTGTAAACATTAACCGCCAGATACTTACCTACAGGTTTTTGTTTCAATTACCTACACATTTTGGTTTATTTAACTCAGTAAAGGTAGATTAGGTTTAAATGAAGGCACTGAAATAGGATACAATAATATATGTAAATAAGTGAGTTTACCAAAGAAAGCTAACCTGGATTATGCAATCAATAATTTCTTTTGAAGTCGATAGACGACCTCTTCAAAGAATGCAAAATATCCTCAAAGCCAATGAACTTATGAATGTTGACTTACTTGCCAATAACTAGCTTCTACATACATTCCCAACACTATACTGGGAAGCCATTAGCTGTAAAAAAAACCAAGTATGGAATATGAAAATAACTTATAGACAACACTAGGTACAGATCATGCTATGGTGAAAGTTGAATGAAACTTAAACTGTAGATCTCTAAGTTCTAAAAGGTTAGTCCTAGAGTGGAATACTTCCTCCAAGGCTAGAAGATCTCGAATTTCTTTCGTCTTGGTTAGTAATGCATATCGATGATAGGTCTTTAAACTAAAACCAGATAATTTTGGTTTCCAATGGTCCTCCAACTTTCATAGAAAAACTGTCTTTGAACAGTAAGTATTCTTCATAAAATCATTCTGCTTTGTAGTAAACATTTCATTTTTCATCCTATTAACAGACTAAACTTGTTCTTCGAAATATAACTGATGGCAGTCAATTAGAATATCAATTAAATGGGATTGTATTGAAACCACTATCACTTGGAAAAATTAATCTCGAATTTACAATTAATACTTGTGATATAAATGATGAAATATGCAAAGTTTCGAAACAATCACATTTACAAACTTTCACGCTGAAAGTTCCCAACTCAACTTCAATAATGCAGTGTTTCCGACTGCAAACAAATTTACCTAAAGGTCTTATTGAATGGATACCAAACAATCAGAAATATATGAATCGTATTGAAGTTATGTCTGGTCGCACCGATGAATGTAAATTTCAAGTTTCTGTGTCAAGACGAGGATCTTTTCGCGGTGTTATAGTGTTTGTTGCAGATACTCCGAGGAATAAGTAAGTTCCAAGGCTTTAATGAAAACAAGCCATTTTAAATAACTCATTGGAATAAGAAATCCTACAAATACCATTTAAATATTTTCGTTCAATTCTCAATTAATTGCTGTGTAAAACAATCGATAAAAAACTCTGAATATAGGTTTCTTGCCACTTGTACCCTTCAGTAACATATGTCCGAAATCTTGAAAAGACTGATGCTCCCTGTTAATTAAAAGAATTCATATCACCTAGTATCACAGATGCGATGCATACTAATTAACACGATATCTAAATCCATGAATCCCTGCAAAATTATTTCAAACTAGCTAAAATTTAATAAGATGTAAAGCAACTAAGGGAGCTTCGTTTACTATTTGTCATTCCTGAGATTTTGAGTTCTAAAATTATTTTATATTCTTCTAATCTACGAACCTACATTCTTTTGTCTAATAACATTTTATATGTTTTCTGCCACTACTGATGCTGTTACTACTTATACTACTCTAGGATTTATCTTGATAATTTTATTTCGGTGTGATAATTTAGCGTAGAAACTTGAACCGACGCACATACTCAACACATTCTTCTTAACTTAGGAATGACTGATTGTAGTGTCAAATTATTCAGTGTAGAGACCATATTACAATTCGATCTATAGGATTAGATCAACTCTCTAAAATCTAAGGAGTATCACAGTGGTTACTGATAACAGATGATTAATTAGTTTGTAAATTATTTCCTTCCTTCTTATTATTATGTTATTCTACTTTGGTTTACTCAGTTCGGATAGTGATGATGAAAATGATGAAGAAGTGTCACCAAAGGTTAAGGATAATCAAACTAGTGAAGCATCAAAAACAATAAGTGAATTGGATGAAAATTCGAATCCAGTTTATCGACTTTGGTATGAAGTAGAAATTAATATTAAACCAGGTAATTGAACATTTTTATGATGAGTTAACGAATAAATTAGAAACTCGCTTTAAATATTTACATACCTTGTGTTATAACTTGTGAACCTGTGTGCCCTGTTTATTGTATAATGCAACGATACCCCCAACCAGAGAGCAGCGAATTATCGATCGGATCAAGGACGCGTAAAACATGTGCGAGCAGCCTAGAGTGCTGATTGGTCTCGCTTTCCGCCTAGCCCTGCAAGTCCAGAACGCCAATCTCAGCCTCTGCAATATGAATCATTTATTTCAAACATACGGGGTTTATACACCAATCAAACAGACCAAAACGTACCAATAAAATATGAAACAACATTTGTACAAGAGTTAGCCAGATGTGGCTGTGAGTGAGGGAGATAGTAATTAAGAAACAGGCTATAACTCAAGAATAGTAAATCGTATAGTAATAGCCTATGGGTCAAATCAAAGCTTATAATAATAGAGACATGAATATGGACAGTTTAGTTACATAACAATTATACGATAAAAATATACTCATAGTATTGGTCCATAAACGGATCCCAAAAGTTACCGTTCATTATTCTTATCGGGATATAACACCTTGATTGGTAATAAATCAGATACTTTTGTATTATTTGAAATTAATTTTTAACACAATGACAAAGAAATGTAGATTGTTGTGGAGATGAAAATATAGACCATTATATTTTGATTAGATGATTTATAGATCAACTGCTCATTAAGTGACTATGAACCTCCACGTTTGATCTTGTACGAATTTATAACTCCTTAATACAAGGTGAAACAGTTCTTCAGTCTTATTGTTAATGAAGCCCTATCTGCTATCGACTCGTAAAGAAAATCACCTTCACATTCTCTTTCTGTTTAAAGTTGTATCTGAATCAGATTAAAAACTAAAAAGAAGTTTCTCATTAAGGATCAACCTTAGTTAAAAATATAATTGAAAACCAAGAAGATCATTGAATGCTATTTGGCTATGATGATGATTATAAAAAACATCACAACATATTTAGTTAACATTCATACCTGACAGCCAGTGATTTCAAGAAAAAAATCATAAAGTATACGGTTAATGTAACATGTTAAACATGTTAAAGTCATCAGTGTTAACAGATATTTCACTGTGCTATAAAGACGATCTGAAAATAATATAAAATATAAACCATTCATAATTCAGCTGAAGTTGTAATAACCTCTGATCTCCACTGAAATAAGTCTATCAAATTAAATTTTTCTACTCATTTTCTTTCATACTTTTTCCTCTGATATGTTTATCCTCCCGAAGAAATTGATCTTTTCAATAGAATTATCACTAATAGATTAACAGGGTTTTTATAGTAATGTATTAATAAAAGGACTACAGAAACTCATTTTACTTAAGATAGTTTACATCTCTAACATATTCAAACCAGATAATTATTTAAAACTAGGAAACATTCTCATCCTCAGTAGTTCTCATCCACAATTACACCAGTGTAATCACTGGTGTAATCACTTAAAACCTTTATGCTTTGCAATGAGTATCATCAAATTTTAAAATTAGCACATTATTTTCATATTCTTTTTTATGTGGTTACGTTCTCTTCAGTTAATCATAATTAATAATATTTACATATAAGCATTACTAATGAATGGTATAATACTTTCATAAGAATGAAACTGATCTGAAGTTAGTGTAAACTACTATCAACCTAATGTATCAAATATTACAAAAATTACTCATAGTCTAATAACAAAATACGAAAATAACTTATTATTGGTGACTAATCAGAAAATGAACGTATTATACATTGTACAACAGTATAAATTATCCTGTATAACTTGATTTATGAAGTGAAGTTTTGCGTATAAAATAATTTCTATCATAATATTGACAGTAATTAAGTTGAAATTCATTATCACTTTTATGGCTACAAATAAAATGAGTATGATGTAATTTCATATGAATTATCAGTTAGATTGCTGTGTTGGGGATGATTGGAAGAATGTTAGGGGGCACTAAACCAAAACGTGACACCAGTCCCTGAAGTCACTATCTTCTAGTTTGAGCCATGTTGGTAGATGTAGACTACTTGGTTGGGGTCCGCGTGACTATCCTAAGCAATGGTTGGAGACTCTGTGTGACATGGCTCAGAATCGATCACAATTGCGTCGGTGTATACACTCTCTGTCTTCCCTTAAACTTTGAGATTATAATTGCTTTATATCTTTCTTTCTACCAACTAATTCTTTATTCCTGTATTATATCCTTATATGCATTCTTTCTTTTATATGTTACCAATATTGAATTAACTACTTCTATGAATTCGGTGTTCATCATGTTTTGCTAATGAGATATGGCAACTTGGACCGATGCATATATGTGCCTGGTCCTACGTTGTAGCTGAATGACTGAGATTGTTGTGAAACTAGAGTGATTAGTAGATACATTTTTCCATATAGTAAAAACAGATGGTTCTGTTTAGAAACTGAATTCTTGACAACAGTTTTCGATTAAAGTAAAATAGAGACAGTTTGTTTGTTCATGTGATATTTCCAATCTTGGTTGTCTAGTTTGTATCATCAAGCTTATCACTATAAAACAATAATCGATTAATTATGCTCATTATTTTTATTTTGTTTAAAGGCCCACCTATTAAACAAATTGAAATTATCTGTCCATGTCTTAGTTCCAAAACAGTTGAATTACCATTTACTATACAATCAGAATTATTTAAAAATAATCAAACAATTGAATTTGATGTAATTATTGAAGATAAATGTTTAATTGGTCCGAAAACACATTGTGTAACTTCTGTTGACAATTCTGGAAAACTTTCATCAATTTATCAACTGAATTGTATTCCATCTATTATTGGAACTAGTAATTCAACGTAAGTTCATCAGCTTATCAGTACTTGAACAATTGTTTTCAAATGTCAACAAAGTGTTCTAATTATGAATGATCTAAACACTGAACAATTTAAAACACTAAACTTCAGTACAACTTCTTCTGATAGTTAAGATCACAATACTATAGATTTTTGCTTACATGCACAAAATATAAGTTCACTAAACAGCTACTGAATATTCTAACTTTCGATTGCCCGTTCGAAATACTCACTCATTCTTAATCTACCAGTTCAAATACTAGAAAGTTAGTTGAATATCTTTCTTAGTTCAGACTTCGAAACCATGTAACTAATTAAATAAATTAAAAGACTATAGTTCATCACAAATAACAAATCTCAATATGTGTCGAACCTGGATATTAAAGACAAATCTAAATAACGAGTTTATAAATAATTTACTGTAATAATAGATGTTACTATATATTTTATCAGTAGTATAAGTCAAATAAACATATAGAATTGGGACAATATGAAAACACCACAAATCAGTTACATATATACACATTAATTTATACATGTACTGAATTTACAAAGAATAACTTTTAGGGTTCCATATTCTTCACTTCTCGCTCAACTTTCACACTGATTAAGATCGATCGGTTATTACTCTTCTGTATTAAAATGTGAAAATGTGAATTCTTATGACTATTTGTAAGATGTGTAATTATTCTAAATATCAACAATTGATCGTTACTAATAAGATACAATTTACAGAAACAAAACAACCGTTTGTCTTAATGTATTATTCTATTTCTTTTTTATCTAGTGTCATTTTTTACAATTCAAGCTGTGGGGAATTTTGGATTGAATTAATAATAAAAGCCATCAAACCAGAAGCTGTCAACGTACCAATTATAGAAGCTGAATTAGGAAGGTAATCAATTTGAAATAAATAGTGATTACTCTATTATTTTTTGCATGTTTACTATGTTACATAGCTATTCTAATGATTTATTTACTACATAATTTCGTAAATATCAGTCACTAATCTTATCTTGCAAGTGGTTTATAACTTCTTGGATGATATCAGTTTATAGGTTTTGAATAAAAATAAAACAACTGATAAGTTTTCAATGTTTATAAAACTCAATAAATTTTAGTCGATGTTATGGCCTAGGACAGAGTTTGATGGAGAATGCCGGTGGGTCCCTCCATGAGTTGTAACAATCACAATACTAATCGTATGAAATTCTGACTACTATGTTGTAATAATGTCTCAAGAGTTTAAATGAAGTTATCAAGGATACATATTTCATCAATCATAATCAGCTCATGGAGTTATATGTAACAATAAAACTCACTAAGTATTATACTGAAATTCTAAGTCGAGGATACGTTTAATATTTACATTCAGATGCAGCATCTTTCACTAGTTCATCTCTATAACCAAACGCCATTATCACATAAATATATAAACTCTGATAAGTTTTTGGTCTACACCATTTAGTAATATTTGAATGCACATACCTATTAATGAGAAAAAAACAACAAAGAACGTAATAAAAGTGTTTCTATTTAATTTATTGAGATCATAGACCGACTAATGTTAGATCAATACTCAAAATATGGAGGCATGGGATAGCTGTTTTGTCCTAGTACGGGACTCATCATCAGTGCGCATCCATAGTCCCACATACGGGACTGGAACCCAGGACCTTCAATCTATAATAGAGTAACTTCTATCGTTTTATTCTGAAAAATATTTATATAACGATAAAAATGAAATTTCACTGATTGAAATCATGAGTCAGTAGAAGCCAGACCACCATGGAAAACCTGGAAGAACTGGACGGCCGTTTCGTCCTAGTATGGAACTCCTCAGCAGTGCGCACCCACGATCCCGTACCCTGGTAGATTCAAACCTGGTCTGTTGTGAGATATCAACTCACTGAAGACAATGTTGTACGGTGGCGCAACTTCATGAAGTGGTTCATGTTAGACATTAACACCGTTGGATGCCGGCTCAGTGGTCTAGTTGATTAAGCGCCTGACGCGAGACTGATAGGTCCTGGGTTCGAATGTCGCGTGGTGCGGGATCGTGGATGCGCACCGCTAAGGAGTCCCATACCAGGACGAAACGGCCGTCCAGTGCTTCCAGTTTTCCGATGGTGATCTAGCTTCAATTGACTCATGATTTCAACTGTTGAAATTTTTAAAATTTCTATGAAACCCCTTTAAGTTGATTGTATAAACCTGTATTGAATTAATGTGTTGTGTCAAAATTAACTTTACCTACACTGAATTATGATTTATTAAATTTACTCAAAGTATTGTTTGTTTTATTTTATTAAAATCTCGTAGCTCAAAAATCACTAAAATATTATTAGATAATCCTACAGAAGAGCTGTACATTTTAAAACCAAAAATATTTAATTCAGATGTTTTCAAATTACAATTATCAACATCAGCTAAACAACTTGCTTGTTTATCACCATCAATAACTACAGAATTAGATGAACAACATCATTCGCACTTACAAATGTCAACATTATGTCAATATTCTGATAATGATATATTAGATATAAATGAAATGGAAAATAATTCTTCACGTATGTTATTAACAAATCGAAGTATCGGTTTACATACTACAGAAAAAATAATTAAATTAAAACCAAAATCTAAATTATATCTTGGATTGAATTCACTCCATGTGCTATTGGTAAAGACGAACATGAAGGATCAATTGTGTTCTATTCAGAAAAAGTATGTTCAATGAAATCACTTTTAAGTTCGACTTACATTTTTTTTCTCCAAAAAAATCTGGTATTTGTTTTAGTTTGTATATTAATCAATCACTGCGTTGTAAACAAGTTCATGTTTATCAAGCATTTTGTCAATTTAATTGCAATGTGGCCAAACATCAAATCATAGAGTATATGATGTCAAGTCGCTTAAAGTAGTGGCCACAATGCAACCAGATCAACAGAACGTTGTCAGTACTAAAAACTAGATAAAAATAACTTTGGTTGCTATACAGAGATCAACATATTGCAAGTACATGGGTACTACAGCAGTTAAGTCATGGAACAAATAGTCCAGTGATTACGCTTCAGACTCAGAAGCTGAATGACTCTGATTTGAATCTTATAGATGGAATCAGTTCCCTGAAGATTATAGATATTCTTTGTTGAAGAGTGGAAACAATAATGGGACTTATGTCTAAGATTCCCTGCCGGCCGTATCCAAGTACCTAACAGATCACTATCTATATAGAATTCTTAGTATATTCATCAGTTACAAATTAGGCACATGATCGATAAGGAAATTATTAAACTCAAAGCTAGTTTGAAACCTCCACACTAGCGTTTCCTTATTTTTAGCCGAATGTTATCAATGAATGTTACTGTAGCGAACTGGACATCATTCTATGCTATCTTAAAATGAAAATCCTCTTCATACTGCACTAAAGATCTTGTTAGCTTAATAAATATAGCATTGACATTTGTATTTCCGAGATAAATTGCCATTATGAGATTAATAAATCGAAGATTCAGGTGAACTCCCATAAAGTTATAATTGAAGTTCTAATTTGATCAAGAAAGAACCATAATCTCTTAATAAACCTCTCCATGAATGACTGAAGACTTGATCTATCTATGTTGGAGCTTGCTAGATTAAAGTATTTCTCTCTCTTTGTGCCTGTTGTTCCGATTTGCTAAATAGGTATCAGGGCATAGATTAAACAAACAGTCCCAATTATCTGACCTTAGATATTACAGAGCCATAATAAGTATCTTTTTCTACTTAAAGCAGTTGCATGGGATCTGAAGAAGACTGCCACACTAACTAGATATGAAAGCCTAGAACTTTGCAAGGTCTTGAATAACTTTCGATGAAAAACATTTTGCTTCAGAAAGGAAGTATAAACAACGCCGAATTCTAGCTGTCCCATTAAATGAAACAGCACTGAAGAAACGGTAGATTAAAATCAAGTTCTGATTTGAAACTTAGCCCTACGCCTACGCTCATAAGACAACGAGAATTTACCTTAGTATCTAGATTACCAAAAGATGGTATAAGTTAGTTTACCAAACTGGTTAGATGAGGTCATGTAGATAGACACAGCTGTTTCCTGTTTTATGAGACTTTGAAATCTTCGGTACAACGTGTAGTTTGGGATGTTGTCTGAAGAAACCAGTTGTAGTATTTCGTAAGTTCAAACCCTTGTATTACAATAATTTCAGATATAAAAAATCTGGGCAAGGAGAAAGGCTGATATGGTGAACTGGATTACTGCTAGGGATGTTCGGATCATTGTCACTTCTAGACCATCAGTGCCGTCAAAATTAAACTTTTTCTTTGAGAAGGTGACTAGAAGACTGGAATATTTTTGGTAGTTTGATTAATATAGAAATATGTTCGTAGGGCCTACCATACAGAAGCTTGAAGCCAGTCACATAAAAGTTTGTTATGATAGTTTTCGGTGTTTTAGAGTTGGTTTCATACTTCGTAAACCTTACTACTAGTATCGAGAGATTTCAGCCAGTAAGATAGCAGCAACTATAAAGGTGTAGTCATTTATAAAATACACCTCATGATCCGACTTTATTTCTAAATTTGCTACGGCTATTATTCCACTGACCTGCTCACTATGATAGGACCTCGAATAAGTTATCCCGCAAAAAGAATTTTGCTTTAATTCTGATTATACAAAATAGGTATCTGTCTGATTTTGTTTCTCTGTGGATAATTCTTTGGTCAATTTTTCAATATTCTTTTTCTTTATAATATTTAGTTAACAGAATGGTGTTTTAATTTGCATGGTAATGGTGTTGCACCACAACCAAGAGATCCTGTCAGCGTATCAGTTATGATTGGTTCAGCCACCACATTAATAGTGCCAATTACAAATCCGTTCAAATATGACACTGTATTGGATATAAGTTTATGTGAAACCACTTTATCTGGTCTATTCAAGCATTTGGAAGACACACGTAATTCTATACTTAAAAATCAGTCGGACAATAAATCAATCAACTCATCTTCAGTTGATAATCATAACAATAACAATGAAGAGTTCAGTGATCAACTAATGGAACCAAATGAATGTAATTGTGATGAAAATAATCAACCGTATAGTAAGAGTTTATCAACGAATCCAGGCAATATAAATATCTATTCAGCTTTTCAACTTTTAATAAAAGAGAAAAAGTGAGAAAGTATTTGATTCTTTTAGTTTATGTATATCACATATGCGATAATTATTAGTCTCAAATAAATCTAAATAAATGATGAATTTGTATACTAAAATAATCAATAACTCATTCTACTTAGACTATGAACTGGCCCAAGTTAAAGAACTATTCAAAACCCGAGAACCCTAGACATATGTTTTATCCTAAAATGACACTACCCGACAGTGTATGTCTCATACTAGGACAAACGGCTATCCGGCTATCCAATGTTTTCAGTGATTATCTAACACAGGTTATTTCTTATCCACAATAATATTCAACAATCTTCATAAGACCCATACTGCTAACTCACCATATAGTTGCATTTTTCAATATTAAGGTCAGGTTTAACTAATGTGTCATAGAATAAAGTTATATTTACTGCTTTTCATCTATCGTTGGCGACAAGTGTAATATCCCGTTTGTTAGGATAGTCGGAAAAATATACCAATAATTATCGTGTTAAGTCTATAGTGTCCTTGGACCTTAAATGTACATTTCTTATTGGTCGATGTTTATTTCACTTGTTAATTATTTTGTAAATGTTGTTTCCTATTTTATGGTACGATGTGGTGTGCTTGATTGGTATATAAACAAAGTATGTCTGAAATACAACGATTCATAACTCAGAGGCTGTGACTTGCGTTCTTGACTCAACTGGCTAGGACAGACTGCGAAGCGGGACCAATCAGGGCACTAGGTCGTCCATACGTGTTTTCCGTGTCCACTGTCACAGAGGCGATCGATAAATACGCTGCTTATCAAAACCTGCAGTCTCACACTCGCGTCACAACACAGTTAAAGGTTGTTTTCGATGACCATTAAAAAAGTGAAGACTTAAATTGTTATATAAAGTCATCACTTGAAGACCGAGTTGAAATATACGAATATTCGTTAAAATTAGAACGAATAGTTTGACAATAATTGGCCCTGAGTATAGAGAAGTCATTATATGTGAAAATTATATTTGAAATAATCTCGGTGATTGAAATTTAAAATAATTCCAACGTTTCGTCCAGCAAACGTGTCTGGACTTCTTCAGGGTAATAATAATAATAGTAATAATCAAAATCACCAAAAAAATATATATCGTTTAACAATCAAATCAGATCAAATCGACACTGTGCTAATCCAATTATATTTGAATGTTGATTTTTACTGAATAGGATAACGTGAGTAAGTTAAATGCGAGATATGTGGAAAGTTCACTATGTGAAAATAAATGACTGAACGAATTGTGTGTGTGTATGTGTAAGATTGGGTTATTAATGAATGATATTCCGAGTTGATATGCTGTTATATGAAGGAAAAATAAAAGTGTAAATTGAAGGTTGAAAAAAAATTGTTTCTGATACATTGAAGTGCAAGTAAAGATGAGAATCATCAAGTCAAAATGGTATTGCTAGAAATAATTCACATTAATTTCAGTCAAAATAATGATGCATGTAAAATAAACAGGCTGAATAAAGAAAGGGTCCAATTACTCGTCAACGAATATTTGTCAAATAGTAGATAGTTGAATACCACACTTTCGGTTCAGGCTGTTCTTGTTCGCTCATATATAGAGCACTTCTGCTATGTCTTACTTTCTGAGTGTTCAAACCTTTCTGAAGTATTTTGGTCCCTTCGAAATTGGTTTTGTGTCCTTTTTCCAACGTATGTAACGCTATCACAGACTTATTCTCAAGTTTCTTTAGGTTGACTGAGGATTTGGGAACATTTTTCAAACACTGTTTGTGTTCCTTCAACCTTACATTCAATTGTCTGAATGTTTCTTCCACATAAACTGTATGATTGGATTAACACAGAATAGATTTGATCGTTAAAACGTTATGTATTTCTTTGACGATTTTGATTATTACCCTGAAGAAGTCCAGACACGTTTGCTGGACGAAACATTGGAATTATTTTATATTTCAATCACCGAGATTATTTCATATATAGTTTTCATAACTTGACATAGTTTTCTATGATAGTACTTAGTGATTAAACTAAACTAGTGATATATACACAGTGATAATGATAGTTCGGTTAGATTAATAAGAAATCGAAATGAATCAATTAACAAAAACTAATTATGTGGTGTATGTTACTTATGTCAACGGACAAGTAGTATGTAACACTAATCAGAATGGAATCGCTGATAGTTGAAGGTTGAGAAGATCTAACTGAAGAGAACAAGAATGTAAACAGAGAGTAATTGTAATGAAAACAGGAGTGAAGAAATGATTAAGTTTGTAAGAGACAATGATGAAAGATGTCCAAATGAAGTACGTAATGTATGGTTTTCATATTTTACCAAAGCACTCTGTAATCCTGCATTCAACAGTAAACTGGTATTCCGTACTTGAGTGTTCACTCGCTATAATTATACCCCAGAATAATTAATGAATCAGTGAATTAGTAAGAATTACTAATACGGAGATATAAAACCTTACCATACTATATATGAATAAGATGTTAATTGTTTTAAATCCATTAGTGTCCCATTATCCTCTCTCTTTCTCTAATAGAAATATACGTCTGTCAAGTAAAACAGTTTTTGATATACCTATATCATTCGCTCCGCTGGAAATGAGAGAATATGAAGCACTTTGCACAGTTATTATGCATAAGTCAAATTCTGGTAAATGTGAATCAAGTAAATCAATAAAGTCATCATCTTCTTCCTCTTCTGTACGTTGGCTAATTCCAATTAAAGTAAGTTATAATGACAGTACACAATTTTTATAATTTTAATAAACAGAACTATTTGTGTTTTATAATTGTAACAATAGGGAATATATTCAAAAATATGACAATTAAATTTGAGAAAGGCTGAATAAAATTGTTGATAATAAAATTAAGAATCAGGTATTTTAGCATACAATACATTAATTACCAATAAGCTACTTTAGTAATTTGGATAAACACATAACAATCACATAATGCTTGATTTACAACAAACATCTTGAATATTTTGTTTGTTGTTTAAGTTATTATTCGAATCTCGCGGAGGGGCGGGACCGTGGATGCGCACTGCTGAGGAGTCCCACACTAGGATGAAACGGCCGTTCAGTGCTTCCAAGTGGTGGTCTAGCTTCAATTGACTGATGATTATAACTATTGAAATTTCTAAAATCTCCACAAAACCCCTTCTAATATTATAAATTACTTGAAAAGTAATTTTACCATAATTTCCATTTTTTTAATCTTCCAATTACCGAATTACTGATTGAATATATCTTTCATCCAATAATCAAACTCTACACTCATTTATTATTTTTATCTACAAAGTTTTATGATCACAATATCACATCTCATTATGCAGTATGTATCTTTAATCTTTAGCATTTCGTATTTCACAGAGTTGATAATCAATCCGATCATCCATTAACTTCCTTGAATTATTAGCGAGTAATAGCTAAGCTCCACGAATTGCACTTTTTTATCAGCATTCTTTGAAAATAACTTTTATTAAAATTGAAATTAACTAGAAAAAAATACCGAACAATTTTACAACCTTAAAGTTTATTCATCTCATCACAGTGATTTCCTGCTATTATATAGGATCAAACTTACAACCTACCATTATCGAAGAGAACGATATCTTCAAATTATTGAGTTAGAATAAAGTAGTACTTATTTCTAACTTCAAATCAGAGCTAAAGTCTTAATCAGTATGATTATCTAGTTAATATGTCAACTTGTACGACGAAAATTATCTTCAAACTAACCCTAACTACACATAAATAAGAACTTTCGTTTAAATTTGATTAAATAGTTTCGCAGTATTTGGGCGCCGAGTTGATGTGAGACATTAAAGAGGTGGAATGTATTTGTAAAATCTCAGCGAAAGAATTTGAAGTAAATTCAACGTTTCGCATGGCAATCTGGTCCAAGATTTTTTCAAAGAAAATATAATCAAACAACAAAATTATCAAATATAAATAGATACATGGTTCTCTGGTTTATTGTATACTCAATAGATCATCCGATCAACGTTAACAATGTTTAAAGTAGGTATTTACATCAGCGTGTTAGAGACACGTGGTGTGAAACGAAAAGTGTTAAGATAACAGATTGTGTGTATACGTAAGTCAGAAGAGGATATTTCATTCACTATATATTGTCTTCGGTCGGTGAATATTAAGAATACATATAATTTTTGTATGTGCTATGAATCAAAAATGTTACGGCATGCATAAAATGAAGAAAATAAACAAACAAGATAAAAGAATGAATTCAAAGAGGAAGAATGAATTTATAATTGAAAGTTTGTGTTATTTCAATGTTCTAGTCAATTGTTTAGCATATTCAGATAAGATAACTGATGTATGACCCGAATCTATCGAGTGTAATGCTATCACGTGACCAATGGAGCTAATGCGTGTCGGGTAGAAACAGGTGTCTACCTCAGTACAATGGAAGATGGTCACGCAATTTCGTGGATTGGTTGAGGTCAGATATTAACACCATTGGATGCCGGCCAGCTCAGTGGTCTAGTTGGTTAAACGCCTGGCGCGAGACTGATAAGTCCTTGGTTCGAATCTCGTGGGGTGCGGGATCGTGGATGCGCACTGCTGAGGAGTCCCAAACTAGGGCGAAACGGCCATCCAGTGATTCTAGGTTTTCCATGGTGGTCTAGCTTTAGTTGATCTATGATTTCAATGAAATATAATTACTTTCTTTTTTTTTTAAGGGTATTCCTGAAATGAAATCATTATCATATCCATCTTCTAAAGAATTTCCCATATCATATAATCCATATCATAATAATAATAATACTACATCATCAATAATTATTAATGGAACTGTACGATCAAAATCATATTTTATTATAACATTAAAATTATTAAATACATTTATATATACAGAAAGTCATTTAACACATAATGAAAATATAAAAGATATTGAAATACAAATTATACAATCAGAAGAAGATAAAAAGTTATTTCATGAAAAAATGTTTAATAATAAAATTAATGAATCATTATTATCATTATGTAATCAATATTCAATATGGGATAATATAAAAATCAATAATTTAGAATGGATAATAAAACCAATTATTAAAAAAACTAATGAACAATTAATTAAATTAATTGATTTAAATAAAATTTTAACTAATTCATTAATAATTAAATTATTTCAAATAAAAAAATTGGATGATTTAGAAATAACAGAAATTAAATTAGGTATGATATTTTCACCGATGCTTTCATTTAAGTAAGTTAATTTATAATAATTAAAATATATAAATTTTTATTATAAGAAAGGGTTTTATGAAGAGTTTAAGTAATTTCAATAATTGAAATTATGATTCAATTGAAGTTAGACCACCATAGAAAACCTAGAAGCACTAGATAGCCGTTTCCTTCTAGTATAGGACCAGTGGAGTTCAACTAGGTCTGTTGTGAAACATCCACTCACTGAAGACAATGGTGTACGGTGGCACAATTTCGCGGATTGGTTGAAGTTAGACAGTAACACCGTTGGATGCCGGCTCAGTAGTCTAATGGTTAAACGCTCGCACGCGAGACTGATAGGTCCTGGGTTCGAATCTCGTGGGGGGGCGGGAGCGTGGATGCGCATTGCTGAGGAGTACCGTACTGGGACGAAACGGCCGTTCAGCGCTCCTAGGTTTTCCATGGTGGTCTAGCTTTAGTTGATACATGATTTCAACTATTGAAATTGTTATTAATAGAATGATTAGTACAGGGGTCGTGGAGAATTATTAAGTTTTAGATTGAGATCATGAACCTATCGATGTTAGACCACCATTAAAACCTGAAAGCACGTTTTTTAACTGCTTTTGCATAATACATAAGATTCCCGCTTATCCGTGCTTAGCAATTTGTAAAAAAAAGGACAATGGGTAATAAATGACCTACAGTTATCCAGAAATAAACTTATATTTATATTATCCAGTAATCAGTTGTTCACTTCTAAATTGTCTAAATACTCACATGTCTGGATATATTTTCCTACCTATTTGTCTTTGGTTGGAATTATCGATAAACAAATCATCATTCATTTTAACCATGAATACGAAAGCTCAAAATTAAAAGCAAATAACATTGTAAGGTACGAACTGATTTTAACGAAATGTTGAAATTAAAATATAAAAAAATAACACGATATTGAGAACAACAACCCTGGACGATATTAAAAGTGTAGATTAGGTTGTTCTGTTCATTATAATTGAGTTGAAGTTGATTTTCGGACTTGATTATTGAATATGAAACATTCATATAGCCCTAAATGATAATCACGTTTTTAGATATAAAGCATTTTATGTAACCAGAAATATTTTTCATAATTGTGGCTTTATTTAATTTCCCTTTTACCACTACATCGTGAATTGTTAACAATATACTCATTTCAATTAACCAATTTTAAATGACTTAATGACTTTCTTACACTAATACATCAACAGAGGAAATAAGCGTGAAGTAGCAGATTTGAAAAATAACAGCAACTGTAGTACAAAACATTTCTACAAATGCTTTAAATGTTTTTAGACCTTTGAGTATGTCTTGCTTCACAAGTTATAAGGACTTTAAATGTTTAAACGTTTTTATTACTGAACCAAAAAAGTAAACTTTCTTATCTGTTGTTACTTTACACCGACTCTGGTAACCCTAACAAATGTGAATATCTAACACGAACAGTATATTACAAAATAACTTGAATGACCTATTATAGTAATTATTGTTCCGTGCTCTCCGCTTCCACTGTATTTTCTCTAGTTGTAGATTATTATAATCAATTCTATATGGGACAAGAAATGACTTTGAATGTTACGTTGACATATCAACAGGATGACCACTTAAAAAGAATTAGAAGTCCGCGGCTGACGCTTCTCATTACTGAAATACGTGTTAAAAAAAGTGCTACCTAAACGAATTTTTGAATTACAACACTTTAAACAATCTAATATCACACTTAATATTACCATCTATATCAAGCTGACCGTGCCTGTAAAGTGGCATGAAGTCTGTAATTATTTTTAGAATGTATATACATATTATTTAACAGCCAAAATTATGAAGTGATATTTAGTTAGACTGCTGAATGAAATAACTGACAAATTACTTTTTACTTAATTATTTCAACCTTGAATTACAAGTGAACTGAATCTATTGACTATTTTAAAATTAGTTATTATTGACTTGCCCTTTTAAACTATTATGAATTAGGTTTTCTTATTTCCAGTAATACCAACAACATCTATTCTTTAAAAGAAAATTCTCTTGCAATAACATGGTTTCCTCGAAAATTTTAGGTGCAGCGCAGATTTAATGATAAAAACGTCTCTAGGAGCGATTTGGAAATTTGGACTAATTTTTAAAGCAAAAGATCCTCCAATTGATGATGTAATTTATATTCCTCATAGAGGTATTGGTCGTCCAGTTAAAGTTCAGTTGCATTTAACTAGTCAAACCAAGTAAGTAATCCAAACAGTTTTTTAAATGCCATCAGTAATTCAATCTAACTAGTAAAATACTGGATACATCATACTTTATTCAAAGCCATAGCAACATACACATTTATTGTGATCATATTTAGCTTATTGCTACTGTACTTACTTACTTACGCCTGTTACTTCCAATGGACCATAGGCCTCCTGGAGCCCCTCTGAGGCCACTACCGGTCCCAAGCCCGGATAAACGAGGAGGGTTGGACATGGAGTTAGCAACCCCATTCCGTAGAAAACCAACTCGCTAAAAAACGCAATTGCTACTGTGAAGAATACATATTCAAAACAACTACTATGATAAGATCCTACTTATAAGGATAATATTAGTAATAAAAGGGATTAGTTTTATAATAGAAAATAACTTTATAATTAGCAGCTTTCGCTGACTAGAATATACAAATAATGCAGACTCATAAAATTAACAAATTATTTGACAGATCATATTAAAGTAGAATTTATTCGTGAGGGAATGTTTCGCAATATTCGCTGATAAATGGAAACTATTTAGAAATCACTTAGAAACCTTATGTTGTAGAATTATATTCTGGATTAGCTTACTTGCTATACGGAAATAATTGTTGAGTGTTTGTTAACTAATGTCATATAGAAGTTTAGACCCTTCGTAGGTTATAACTGGAATCTACGCTTATATATACATAAAACTAAACTTTTAATATGATAAGAAAAAACCAAGTTGTCAGTCCAATAGAAATATTTTTCATACGTCTCGGGATCAGTAGCTAATTTACTGTTTGAATGTTATTGAAACTAAATCTATAGAAGATATCTATAATACCTATGTTCCGAAACCACAACAGTGTCAAAACACATTGCCAGATGTGAACGAACTTTCGAGGACAACGACGACTGTCTATGAAGTTGTGAACCGAAACATTTTGGTTTGATAGATGGAGTACATCGATAGTACACGATGTACATTGGCTCAGAGCTAACCTTTCATGTTTTTACTAATAAAGACAGTAATAATATACTAAACGTACACTTATGAATCTGTTTATAAACTGGTTTAATATAAATATATTCCAAACACAATTTAACTATTAAGTGCTATGTCCGTATAATTTCTAATCATTACTTCACACATTTTAGTGAACCATTAAAATTCATCGCAAGTTTATACCCTAAAAATCAAACAGAATACACCATTGAACCTGAAGAAGGAATTTTACAACCAATGAATAAAGATAATGAAGCCAATATAACAAATTCACCATTGATTATAACATTTACACCAAATTCATATGGAAAACCAATAATTGCTCAATTAATAATACAGGTAAGTTAAATTTCAAAAACATGAAGTATTTAATTAACATTTCATGAATAAAATATTAAGCAACTAATAATTAAAACAAAAAATCAACAAAAATACCCCAGTAAGATAAAAACGTTAAGGTACTGGTTAAAACAATAAAATTTGAAAACAACAATTTAACCTAAACATTAAAAATATCCATAAGAATTAAAAAGTACAAACTATGAAATGTTCAATATAAAAAACAAGGACAAGAATAGCTCAAATGAAAAACAAGGCAAGAAAAATATAATAAACGAGGAACTGAAGTTCTTGAAGAAGGACAAACGAGATATAAAATAAATGAGAACGTCGAGTAAAAACGAGACAACGAAAATCATCAACATAAAACAAACAAACACAAGATAAAATGTATTTTTTTTAAAAAAAAAACAGACAAAAAGTGAAGAAGTAGAAAAAGTCATACCGAAACAAAATAATATAGGAAACAAATTACGGAAAACCACTTATAAGCAAAATGATCAACAAAATCAAAGATGACAGAAAGAAACACGAATTATTAACAAAAACTAACAAGCTTTTAAATAAACAAAACAATACATTAAGTTTTTAAAACAACCAGAAAAGAGTGGCAATATAAAATAGTAGTGAAGCGAGCGAGAACACAAGTGATGGAAAAAACGAATGCATTTCACAAAACAAATTAGAAAAGCTCATGGTAAAACCTCAGAACCCCACAGTAAATAAATCATATAAAACTGTCGATAAAAATTTTCAAACTTTAAGGTTCAAATTTATGCACACGAAGAGTTGACTACTAAGACTGAACATGGACGAAAATATCAAAAACCGGAAAACGAAAATTATCATCACTCGATTAGAAAAATTATTGGAATCAAAAGACATACACCAAAGCAAAACAAACAACGATTCAAACCACTAATTACCCAAACACATCCATCAACATTCGCCAATCGAATGCTGAAAACAACCAATTCGAAATAACCTGTCGCAATTGAAATAGGAAACAATACAAATTAAAACTCAATATACTTTAACAATAATTCTATGCATTCTGAACAGAACAATAAATATATAAGCAGACTTTTATCAGACTAGTAATACGATCAATTTTAATTCATATGACACGCAATTAGTTCATCATCAGGAGGAGTTCAAATGTATACACTTATCAACGAACCGGCACGAATATCTGAAACTAACAGGAAAAATCACTGCATAAAATAGTGATCAGTGTGAAAGACGAATCAACAATTCATAAGAGGTGTCATACACTCATCATATAACCATTACTGGGAAACATGAAAATACTCAACAATAATATTAGGAACTGACTCAGTAGTAGAGTTTACCGTCTAACTAACTAACTAACTAACCTGGAATTTCCGCACCAATATCCACGAACACTGACCAAAACCTCCTGATAACAAATACGACTGATCACCATCGTCAACACAGGAAACCTATTTCAATCAATACATAAGTACAATTATCATCGACTTACCACAAAAACTCAGCGATTCCGCAAAAACCCATCACCATCAGTCGGCCAAGACACTACACACTACGCACACGGTCGCCAAATTCACCTGTAGGCTTGCAGACAATGCGCCAAGCATCCCTGAAAACAAAACGACTCTTGGGAAATTCCTCAGCTACACCCTATCCCACTCGCACGTATTCCCATCTCTACAACCACTGTAGGCTATGTTAGCTAGCGTATCACATACTTAGATGCCGATTTACATAGAACTACAAATTGAGCCAAGTCACAAAACACACGATCTAGGAGTCCCACATATCCATAATCGTCAATCACAACTTCTTTCCCATACACAAAAGCATAAGTAAACACTAAATGTCATACAACCAGATCCCTTGATACAATTAAACAGAGCAAGAACAACAAGCTTTGCATGATAAAATGAATTCATCCTATTCAACGGCTTCTCATCAGCTGCATACAAATTAGAATTACAATTCTCAATGTAATTCTCAACAATTGTTTAGTATACTTTAGTTTGTGAAGTTTAGACAAATATTCGAAACGTAACCGAAATCATAATAGTAAGAAGAATACGGATACAAAATTTATGAATAAACATAGTTAAGATCGATGTGCATTTACATGTTGGAGTGTAATAATTCAGAGTAAGGTAAGCATTATAATCACCAGTAATCATAACCAAGGTAAAAGAGATTATGTAAAGGTAATGAAATTAATAATTGGTCGCGTAATCACTCAACATGATAAAAGAAAACAAATATGTGGACACCAACAAGAATAATAAAGCTAAGGAAGTTGGGGACAGGGTTGGAAAGAAAAATTAAAAATCAAAACTAATGAACGTTATTAGATAAACATCCGACCATCATGTCAAATGAAGGTTAATCACATTTCCCTTCTGTATACATAGGTCAGGTCGGAAACGTTTGATGTCGATCACCTCTGCCAAACGCAATAACCTTGGTGTTCGTTGTCTGTTAATTATTTTGAATGCATTACTTACATTCACCTCGTGTCCACTGTCCAAAAGGTGTCTGACAATAGCACTTGTAAACACTTTACTCTCTTTCAGTCGTACGATCCTAGGAATGTGTTCAGAAACCTAGTACACGCCCTTCTATCTATCATTCCTGTATACATGCTACCGCAAGCAAATATAAATTCATAGATGCGATTTGAGGTGACGTCGGAAGGGTGTTGATCTATCCTGGAATGATATAACAAGTAATTGGTATTTTGTATACCTATTCTTCGTACTATTATGATTTCGGTTACGTTTCGGACATTTATCTAAACTTCACAAAATAAATTATGCTAAACAATTGTTGAGAATTACATTGAGAATTGTAATTCTAATTTGTATGCAGCTGATGAGAAGCCGTTGAATAGAATGAATTCATTCTACTCTACAAACCGTGTTCTTCATGCTCTGTTGGAACACTAAATACACAAACTAAGGTGTTTCTCTACCCAAGAAAAAAATCCATCGACGAGTCTCTTGGTTATTATGGAATCAAACACTCAAACTATCGCTCGTCTCAACAAAACATCCACTTATGTTATCACCTCCCTAAGCAAACTGCATAATTCCCAGGAGACTTCCATCAAGTGACAGATGTTCGTCACCTAGTATCCAACTATAAGCATTTTAGCAGTAGTAAAAACTAACAGATATCCATGCCCCCACAAGTCCAATAGAGCAGATCAAATCACATAAGAGAAAACGTACTAATAAACATCTTGGTCACGTAAAGCAAAAACCTACACTTAGAACCCCAACCAATCTACAGTAAAACTGTCGATATTGTACACGTAACATTTCAAACACCTGACAGAAACCATACCAAATTCACTGAGTCTCTCTATCTCTTCAGTCATACATCTCGACCACAAACTCATCCATGTGTCTTTCTCGCCTAAATTCCCCAACACTTCGAATAAACACTACGTTCCAATCAGTACTAACTGAATTCACATCTATTTATTCACAAATTTATGCGAGTGTCTGAAGACACGAACCCCTGTAACTAACCCCACAGTCAGTAAAGACAATTCAGAACTGACTTAGTTTCTTGTAAAAATGTATTACATATTACCTTTTACATTCTTACAATTCTCTTCTTATCACACTCTTTACAGACAGCCAGAATGGAGTGGCACTATGAACTCGTAGGACACATCCCAGTCTACAAACCACCAAATGGAAAACCACATCCATCAACATTCGCCAATCGAATGCTGAAAACAACCAATTCGAAATAACCTGTCGCAATTGAAATAGGAAACAATACAAATTAAAACTCAATATACTTTAAAAATAATTCTATGCATTCTGAACAGAACAATAAATATATAAGCAGACTTTTATCAGACTAGTAATACGATCAATTTTAATTCATATGACACGCAATTAGTTCATCATCAGGAGGAGTTCAAATGTATACACTTATCAACGAACCGGCACGAATATCTGAAACTAACAGGAAAAATCACTGCATAAAATAGTGATCAGTGTGAAAGACGAATCAACAATTCATAAGAGGTGTCATACACTCATCATATAACCATTACTGGGAAACATGAAAATACTCAACAATAATATTAGGAACTGACTCAGTAGTAGAGTTTACCGTCTAACTAACTAACTAACTAACCTGGAATTTCCGCACCAATATCCACGAACACTGACCAAAACCTCCTGATAACAAATACGACTGATCACCATCGTCAACACAGGAAACCTATTTCAATCAATACATAAGTACAATTATCATCGACTTACCACAAAAACTCAGCGATTCCGCAAAAACCCATCACCATCAGTCGGCCAAGACACTACACACTACGCACACGGTCGCCAAATTCACCTGTAGGCTTGCAGACAATGCGCCAAGCATCCCTGAAAACAAAACGACTCTTGGGAAATTCCTCAGCTACACCCTATCCCACTCGCACGTATTCCCATCTCTACAACCACTGTAGGCTATGTTAGCTAGCGTATCACATACTTAGATGCCGATTTACATAGAACTACAAATTGAGCCAAGTCACAAAACACACGATCTAGGAGTCCCACATATCCATAATCGTCAATCACAACTTCTTTCCCATACACAAAAGCATAAGTAAACACTAAATGTCATACAACCAGATCCCTTGATACAATTAAACAGAGCAAGAACAACAAGCTTTGCATGATAAAATGAATTCATCCTATTCAACGGCTTCTCATCAGCTGCATACAAATTAGAATTACAATTCTCAATGTAATTCTCAACAATTGTTTAGTATACTTTAGTTTGTGAAGTTTAGACAAATATTCGAAACGTAACCGAAATCATAATAGTAAGAAGAATACGGATACAAAATTTATGAATAAACATAGTTAAGATCGATGTGCATTTACATGTTGGAGTGTAATAATTCAGAGTAAGGTAAGCATTATAATCACCAGTAATCATAACCAAGGTAAAAGAGATTATGTAAAGGTAATGAAATTAATAATTGGTCGCGTAATCACTCAACATGATAAAAGAAAACAAATATGTGGACACCAACAAGAATAATAAAGCTAAGGAAGTTGGGGACAGGGTTGGAAAGAAAAATTAAAAATCAAAACTAATGAACGTTATTAGATAAACATCCGACCATCATGTCAAATGAAGGTTAATCACATTTCCCTTCTGTATACATAGGTCAGGTCGGAAACGTTTGATGTCGATCACCTCTGCCAAACGCAATAACCTTGGTGTTCGTTGTCTGTTAATTATTTTGAATGCATTACTTACATTCACCTCGTGTCCACTGTCCAAAAGGTGTCTGACAATAGCACTTGTAAACACTTTACTCTCTTTCAGTCGTACGATCCTAGGAATGTGTTCAGAAACCTAGTACACGCCCTTCTATCTATCATTCCTGTATACATGCTACCGCAAGCAAATATAAATTCATAGATGCGATTTGAGGTGACGTCGGAAGGGTGTTGATCTATCCTGGAATGATATAACAAGTAATTGGTATTTTGTATACCTATTCTTCGTACTATTATGATTTCGGTTACGTTTCGGACATTTATCTAAACTTCACAAAATAAATTATGCTAAACAATTGTTGAGAATTACATTGAGAATTGTAATTCTAATTTGTATGCAGCTGATGAGAAGCCGTTGAATAGAATGAATTCATTCTACTCTACAAACCGTGTTCTTCATGCTCTGTTGGAACACTAAATACACAAACTAAGGTGTTTCTCTACCCAAGAAAAAAATCCATCGACGAGTCTCTTGGTTATTATGGAATCAAACACTCAAACTATCGCTCGTCTCAACAAAACATCCACTTATGTTATCACCTCCCTAAGCAAACTGCATAATTCCCAGGAGACTTCCATCAAGTGACAGATGTTCGTCACCTAGTATCCAACTATAAGCATTTTAGCAGTAGTAAAAACTAACAGATATCCATGCCCCCACAAGTCCAATAGAGCAGATCAAATCACATAAGAGAAAACGTACTAATAAACATCTTGGTCACGTAAAGCAAAAACCTACACTTAGAACCCCAACCAATCTACAGTAAAACTGTCGATATTGTACACGTAACATTTCAAACACCTGACAGAAACCATACCAAATTCACTGAGTCTCTCTATCTCTTCAGTCATACATCTCGACCACAAACTCATCCATGTGTCTTTCTCGCCTAAATTCCCCAACACTTCGAATAAACACTACGTTCCAATCAGTACTAACTGAATTCACATCTATTTATTCACAAATTTATGCGAGTGTCTGAAGACACGAACCCCTGTAACTAACCCCACAGTCAGTAAAGACAATTCAGAACTGACTTAGTTTCTTGTAAAAATGTATTACATATTACCTTTTACATTCTTACAATTCTCTTCTTATCACACTCTTTACAGACAGCCAGAATGGAGTGGCACTATGAACTCGTAGGACACATCCCAGTCTACAAACCACCAAATGGAAAACCACATCCATCAACATTCGCCAATCGAATGCTGAAAACAACCAATTCGAAATAACCTGTCGCAATTGAAATAGGAAACAATACAAATTAAAACTCAATATACTTTAAAAATAATTCTATGCATTCTGAACAGAACAATAAATATATAAGCAGACTTTTATCAGACTAGTAATACGATCAATTTTAATTCATATGACACGCAATTAGTTCATCATCAGGAGGAGTTCAAATGTATACACTTATCAACGAACCGGCACGAATATCTGAAACTAACAGGAAAAATCACTGCATAAAATAGTGATCAGTGTGAAAGACGAATCAACAATTCATAAGAGGTGTCATACACTCATCATATAACCATTACTGGGAAACATGAAAATACTCAACAATAATATTAGGAACTGACTCAGTAGTAGAGTTTACCGTCTAACTAACTAACTAACTAACCTGGAATTTCCGCACCAATATCCACGAACACTGACCAAAACCTCCTGATAACAAATACGACTGATCACCATCGTCAACACAGGAAACCTATTTCAATCAATACATAAGTACAATTATCATCGACTTACCACAAAAACTCAGCGATTCCGCAAAAACCCATCACCATCAGTCGGCCAAGACACTACACACTACGCACACGGTCGCCAAATTCACCTGTAGGCTTGCAGACAATGCGCCAAGCATCCCTGAAAACAAAACGACTCTTGGGAAATTCCTCAGCTACACCCTATCCCACTCGCACGTATTCCCATCTCTACAACCACTGTAGGCTATGTTAGCTAGCGTATCACATACTTAGATGCCGATTTACATAGAACTACAAATTGAGCCAAGTCACAAAACACACGATCTAGGAGTCCCACATATCCATAATCGTCAATCACAACTTCTTTCCCATACACAAAAGCATAAGTAAACACTAAATGTCATACAACCAGATCCCTTGATACAATTAAACAGAGCAAGAACAACAAGCTTTGCATGATAAAATGAATTCATCCTATTCAACGGCTTCTCATCAGCTGCATACAAATTAGAATTACAATTCTCAATGTAATTCTCAACAATTGTTTAGTATACTTTAGTTTGTGAAGTTTAGACAAATATTCGAAACGTAACCGAAATCATAATAGTAAGAAGAATACGGATACAAAATTTATGAATAAACATAGTTAAGATCGATGTGCATTTACATGTTGGAGTGTAATAATTCAGAGTAAGGTAAGCATTATAATCACCAGTAATCATAACCAAGGTAAAAGAGATTATGTAAAGGTAATGAAATTAATAATTGGTCGCGTAATCACTCAACATGATAAAAGAAAACAAATATGTGGACACCAACAAGAATAATAAAGCTAAGGAAGTTGGGGACAGGGTTGGAAAGAAAAATTAAAAATCAAAACTAATGAACGTTATTAGATAAACATCCGACCATCATGTCAAATGAAGGTTAATCACATTTCCCTTCTGTATACATAGGTCAGGTCGGAAACGTTTGATGTCGATCACCTCTGCCAAACGCAATAACCTTGGTGTTCGTTGTCTGTTAATTATTTTGAATGCATTACTTACATTCACCTCGTGTCCACTGTCCAAAAGGTGTCTGACAATAGCACTTGTAAACACTTTACTCTCTTTCAGTCGTACGATCCTAGGAATGTGTTCAGAAACCTAGTACACGCCCTTCTATCTATCATTCCTGTATACATGCTACCGCAAGCAAATATAAATTCATAGATGCGATTTGAGGTGACGTCGGAAGGGTGTTGATCTATCCTGGAATGATATAACAAGTAATTGGTATTTTGTATACCTATTCTTCGTACTATTATGATTTCGGTTACGTTTCGGACATTTATCTAAACTTCACAAAATAAATTATGCTAAACAATTGTTGAGAATTACATTGAGAATTGTAATTCTAATTTGTATGCAGCTGATGAGAAGCCGTTGAATAGAATGAATTCATTCTACTCTACAAACCGTGTTCTTCATGCTCTGTTGGAACACTAAATACACAAACTAAGGTGTTTCTCTACCCAAGAAAAAAATCCATCGACGAGTCTCTTGGTTATTATGGAATCAAACACTCAAACTATCGCTCGTCTCAACAAAACATCCACTTATGTTATCACCTCCCTAAGCAAACTGCATAATTCCCAGGAGACTTCCATCAAGTGACAGATGTTCGTCACCTAGTATCCAACTATAAGCATTTTAGCAGTAGTAAAAACTAACAGATATCCATGCCCCCACAAGTCCAATAGAGCAGATCAAATCACATAAGAGAAAACGTACTAATAAACATCTTGGTCACGTAAAGCAAAAACCTACACTTAGAACCCCAACCAATCTACAGTAAAACTGTCGATATTGTACACGTAACATTTCAAACACCTGACAGAAACCATACCAAATTCACTGAGTCTCTCTATCTCTTCAGTCATACATCTCGACCACAAACTCATCCATGTGTCTTTCTCGCCTAAATTCCCCAACACTTCGAATAAACACTACGTTCCAATCAGTACTAACTGAATTCACATCTATTTATTCACAAATTTATGCGAGTGTCTGAAGACACGAACCCCTGTAACTAACCCCACAGTCAGTAAAGACAATTCAGAACTGACTTAGTTTCTTGTAAAAATGTATTACATATTACCTTTTACATTCTTACAATTCTCTTCTTATCACACTCTTTACAGACAGCCAGAATGGAGTGGCACTATGAACTCGTAGGACACATCCCAGTCTACAAACCACCAAATGGAAAACCACATCCATCAACATTCGCCAATCGAATGCTGAAAACAACCAATTCGAAATAACCTGTCGCAATTGAAATAGGAAACAATACAAATTAAAACTCAATATACTTTAAAAATAATTCTATGCATTCTGAACAGAACAATAAATATATAAGCAGACTTTTATCAGACTAGTAATACGATCAATTTTAATTCATATGACACGCAATTAGTTCATCATCAGGAGGAGTTCAAATGTATACACTTATCAACGAACCGGCACGAATATCTGAAACTAACAGGAAAAATCACTGCATAAAATAGTGATCAGTGTGAAAGACGAATCAACAATTCATAAGAGGTGTCATACACTCATCATATAACCATTACTGGGAAACATGAAAATACTCAACAATAATATTAGGAACTGACTCAGTAGTAGAGTTTACCGTCTAACTAACTAACTAACTAACCTGGAATTTCCGCACCAATATCCACGAACACTGACCAAAACCTCCTGATAACAAATACGACTGATCACCATCGTCAACACAGGAAACCTATTTCAATCAATACATAAGTACAATTATCATCGACTTACCACAAAAACTCAGCGATTCCGCAAAAACCCATCACCATCAGTCGGCCAAGACACTACACACTACGCACACGGTCGCCAAATTCACCTGTAGGCTTGCAGACAATGCGCCAAGCATCCCTGAAAACAAAACGACTCTTGGGAAATTCCTCAGCTACACCCTATCCCACTCGCACGTATTCCCATCTCTACAACCACTGTAGGCTATGTTAGCTAGCGTATCACATACTTAGATGCCGATTTACATAGAACTACAAATTGAGCCAAGTCACAAAACACACGATCTAGGAGTCCCACATATCCATAATCGTCAATCACAACTTCTTTCCCATACACAAAAGCATAAGTAAACACTAAATGTCATACAACCAGATCCCTTGATACAATTAAACAGAGCAAGAACAACAAGCTTTGCATGATAAAATGAATTCATCCTATTCAACGGCTTCTCATCAGCTGCATACAAATTAGAATTACAATTCTCAATGTAATTCTCAACAATTGTTTAGTATACTTTAGTTTGTGAAGTTTAGACAAATATTCGAAACGTAACCGAAATCATAATAGTAAGAAGAATACGGATACAAAATTTATGAATAAACATAGTTAAGATCGATGTACATTTACATGTTGGAGTGTAATAATTCAGAGTAAGGTAAGCATTATAATCACCAGTAATCATAACCAAGGTAAAAGAGATTATGTAAAGGTAATGAAATTAATAATTGGTCGCGTAATCACTCAACATGATAAAAGAAAACAAATATGTGGACACCAACAAGAATAATAAAGCTAAGGAAGTTGGGGACAGGGTTGGAAAGAAAAATTAAAAATCAAAACTAATGAACGTTATTAGATAAACATCCGACCATCATGTCAAATGAAGGTTAATCACATTTCCCTTCTGTATACATAGGTCAGGTCGGAAACGTTTGATGTCGATCACCTCTGCCAAACGCAATAACCTTGGTGTTCGTTGTCTGTTAATTATTTTGAATGCATTACTTACATTCACCTCGTGTCCACTGTCCAAAAGGTGTCTGACAATAGCACTTGTAAACACTTTACTCTCTTTCAGTCGTACGATCCTAGGAATGTGTTCAGAAACCTAGTACACGCCCTTCTATCTATCATTCCTGTATACATGCTACCGCAAGCAAATATAAATTCATAGATGCGATTTGAGGTGACGTCGGAAGGGTGTTGATCTATCCTGGAATGATATAACAAGTAATTGGTATTTTGTATACCTATTCTTCGTACTATTATGATTTCGGTTACGTTTCGGACATTTATCTAAACTTCACAAAATAAATTATGCTAAACAATTGTTGAGAATTACATTGAGAATTGTAATTCTAATTTGTATGCAGCTGATGAGAAGCCGTTGAATAGAATGAATTCATTCTACTCTACAAACCGTGTTCTTCATGCTCTGTTGGAACACTAAATACACAAACTAAGGTGTTTCTCTACCCAAGAAAAAAATCCATCGACGAGTCTCTTGGTTATTATGGAATCAAACACTCAAACTATCGCTCGTCTCAACAAAACATCCACTTATGTTATCACCTCCCTAAGCAAACTGCATAATTCCCAGGAGACTTCCATCAAGTGACAGATGTTCGTCACCTAGTATCCAACTATAAGCATTTTAGCAGTAGTAAAAACTAACAGATATCCATGCCCCCACAAGTCCAATAGAGCAGATCAAATCACATAAGAGAAAACGTACTAATAAACATCTTGGTCACGTAAAGCAAAAACCTACACTTAGAACCCCAACCAATCTACAGTAAAACTGT